AGAGAGAGAGAGAGAGAAGCCAGCTAGCTCGACAACGAGTCAGAGCATGTTCTGCGTATCTAGACTGGCCCATACTAACATTGGACTTTCGATGTAGGTGCGGGCTGTCGCCGGCTTTTGACCATCTGAACAAAGCAGAGTGTCACAATGCGATACACCTTGGAGACGCCGGTCAAGGGGAACTCGATGATGCATCCGTTCCTCGGATAATCAGTCACTGAATTGGAAAGCACTGACGGCACGGGAGCTGCAGACTGTGACGATCATGCCTGCTGAAACAAAGCTAGGTCTCCCTTGATCCACTTTCAGTGTCTGGAGGTCGTCCATCAGCTGACCTCAGAAAGCATCTAAGAATACATGGAAACTTGGCCGCAGCTTCTTTTCACAGGGGAGGTTTAGGTGCTGCCACAAAGAGGAAAACTGCTCAACTCTGCCAGGATGCAATGTATGACGGAGTAGTCTTGGTTCGAACCCAGCTGCGTCAAGTATCTCCCCCTGTGCATGTCCAAGGTGAAATCCTGGAACATCTTCAGCAGAAGCTCCTTTTCCTGCTGCTCCTCATTCCCATCCTCCATAAAGAAGTCTTTGGGTAAAGATGGGTATCTGAGAAGCTTCGGTAGCTGGACGGCCTCTTTGAAGCAGTGCTGCCGCGGAGTCATTATGTTGGGCTGGGACTTTGGCTTGTTGCGGCTGGGCCCGAGCGTAGTATCGATTGTGTCATGTTCTGCAAGGTCGTGCGATGGCTTTGGCAAATGATCCGGCACATCACTGCGAAGGTGGACTACCTTCGTCTCACCGACCACAGAAGCGCTGCTCTGCACGTAGCAGAACGGGAAGAGCGTTAGGAGACTCCAGAGGCCAGGCTCTTCGTCTCCACTCCGATCGCTTGCGGACGCCATGTTCGCAGGCCTACATAGACATTCTAAATCAGATGGTCACTTGCAAAGCTCTGGCTTTGGTGTATATGAGCACGACGTTTGGAGTGCCCCTGTGATTTTCGATTCAACTGCTCCTACGCTCGACGTTGGCCTGAGCCAGTTCCGGGCGACGCATCTGGCTTTTGATCGCGGCTAAAAAACTAGAGCACGCAGGAAAGCTTCAAGCACCGCACGAATTGGCATCCATGAATCCAAGCTGAAGCTCAAAGTTCCTTGGTGCCGTCAAGACCTTGGCCAGGCGGCGGCTTAGCATCGGAGCTCGTGTATGAAGACAAATCAAGCAGAGGCGAACCCCCTACGCTTTTACCCCAATTCTCAACCAGCACGCTACAATCACACCCCCAAAACCCATGTCACATAACCCAAAAACCCAGACAAAAGCAGCGAAACTAAAGCAGCACCCCATACCCCCGACCTCAACCCGAAACCTTCCACAAATCCGAAGATACCCACGACCTCACAACGTGCAATACCCAACCCCGTAAAACCAGAACCCCAAAAAAACAGAAGCTAACCCCTAAGCTCCCATCCCGGCGCCACATCGGACTTTTTTACAACTAATTAGTAAATGCCATTGATTGTTTATCGCTTCATTCGTGCTTCTAAATAACCGTGCAATTCTGCTCCAGTACTGTTATACTTCTTTTTTCAATATCCGTAAGTAGTCAAACAATTCTAAGAATTATTGCTTTCACGACTTCGCTGTTTTCACATGTCGAAAATAGTGATGATCTACAAAGGTCCATATCCGTCCATTCGTATAGAAGCTGCAAGGGGGATTTAATAATCCCAACCTCTCGGGTTGGTTTTGTGTTCTTATTATTGTATTTTTGTGGTCCCTCGTTGCAAATGTCGGTTCATTAGTTCCGTCGTCAACAAACTGCATTATTCAATAGTCTAAGACGTTCCTCGCCCTAAAATGTTCTTTGTTTTTTCATAATGTTTTTATACTACCTATTTACGCTAATACTTGCACTACATGTTCGACACATATCATATTTTCGAAGCATATCAGCAACAGCTGCTGGCAGTTTATTTTTCAATACCTTGTGGTTGCCTTTGATTTCCTCACGCCTAAAGAAATGCGATAATTTCAACGTATATTACCAAATATATATATATATATGTGTGTGTGGCAATATTTCTTTAAATGTTTTGTGCCAAATAGACAATTAACTTTATACAAATATGTTTTGAATAAACCTTCGTTTCAGCATCGTATTTGATTTCATCACATGGTCTCTGTTTAGGATATTTAATATTGACATATACACCCTTTTTGGTTGTGCATCTGCTGGTTTAGGTTTGTTCATAACTATCAATTTATCAGTTTATCATTTATCAATTTTCCTATTCACTTCTTTTAACTCCCCAATACTTGTTCAAAGTACGCGGTTTGATAAACGGGGTGAAAGCGTACGGGGGGTTTATAGGATGTGAGGTCGGGGGCTCGGGGGGGGGGGGCTCTTCGGATTTTTGGAAGGTTTCGGGTTGAGGTCGGGGGTATGGGGAGCTGCTTTATAGTTTCGGTGCTTTGGGTTATGCGACATGGGCTTTTGGGGTGTGGGTGCCGGTTGAGAATTGTGGTAAAAGCGGCGCGGGTTCGCCTATGCTTGCTGACAAATCATCCAGCACACGCGTTTCGGTGCCTGAGGCTCTAGGCAAGTCTGTCCTGAAGCCATGCATTCGCCGGCAGGACAAAGTCAATGACCTAGGTTGGGCCGGAAGTGCAAACTGTGACGGATCAGTAGCTGTCACGATCTAGTGTTGTGAGAAGGTCAACGCAGTAGGACTCTGGCAAAGTTGGGAACCAAAGCATTTCCAGCAGTCACCTTGGACCGGGGGCTGCACCAACACCCTGTCGTCAAGGACAGCCATTCTCATCACTTGACTGCTACCGCTGTCCTCAAGTTCAGCTTTCAGTCAGAACGAGTTTGCAGCAAAATTCGTTGAGAAGGTTTGGCCCATTGGAGGGTCTAAACATGCAGCTCAGACACTGCAGGAGCAATGGTCTGCGTAAACCTTGCGTTGCCGCCAAGTGTGCGATGCCACACACACACACACACAGACAGAGTGAGGGAAGCTGAAAGTCAGCAGAATACTTCGAAAGACGAGCTAGCCATCAAATCCTTTGGAGGCCAGGACACTGGTTGATGCCCCCGGTGTTACTGTGCTCGAACAGGGTCATCACCCGTCTTACCTGCATGCAGGGGACGCGACTTGGCCTGCCCAAGTGATTATGGGATGGCCAATGTTTCCAGAACTGTCAGGCGAAGCAGACTAGTCACTGTGGCTCATGCTTAAATGCAAGGCCTCCCAGCCCATCGCGCTGCCAATATCCAGCTCTTCCCCGGTCGGGCTGAAGCTTTCAAGCATCCAGGCCTGGAGCATACAGTACACAGGTATTTTGGCTGCCCCAGCTCTCGGAGTCAAGCACGAACGCTTGTGTCATGCATGTCGCAGGATGTCGCAGGCAAAGGTGGCAGCTGGGACCTGGATATGAGGGGCTAAGAGCAAGCAGCAAGGGTTGTGGTTTAGTTTCCGCATACGTTCCACCATCTACCAGGCGGATCGTTGGATGCTGGAAATAATAAGTTAGGTAAGGGTTGTCCAGCACTGCTGCCGCCCCATGCACATGAGGCTGCACATTTCGACGTGCCTCTGCTGGACGAAATGTCATTGGAGGATGGATCCAGAAGTAAATGACGAAGGTTGCATTCGGGCGAAATGCCTGTCACAAAACGGCAGCATGCAGGAAGCACAAACCTTCTCTTCCTCTCTCTCATTCTGGCTTGCCTGCTCTCCTCAGTCACGGGCTCTCTCCCGCACTCTCACTGTCAGACACAGGTCACTTTCGCTAGTCCGCAGTCTGCCTTGGGTGGTCTGAGATCAGCCGGGTTGAATTGATAGCGAACGATGATGCGGACCTTCGCCAGCCCGGTATGCAAGCAACACTGTGGGAACCCAGCAGGAAGATGTAGGCGGGCAAGGCACTGTGCGAGTATCTCCGGTCCCCGTGCCATCAAGTGGATTACCTCGATCCACAATCACGCAGTCCCGCTCCTCAGTACGGAGTTTCAACTCCCGTCCGAAAGTCACGAGGACATGATGCATCAAGCTCTTGCAGCCACAGTCTCTGCCATCCGCCAGGTGTAGGGGAGCGCCGACATGTTGTGGTTTTCGTACTCGCGAATCAAGCAAGGAGTCTGCTTGTCTCCCTCGATTAGAGGTGCGTTTGCAACTGGGTCGAAGCCAAATTCCAGAGGCGCAGTGATAATCATTTGCCCGCTTGTCGACACGACATTCTGCGTCCGGAGGGTTAGCTGAACGGGGATGGCCACCCCTGCCCCGGCCCCGACGCAGTCACCCTGGTAGCAGCTGGGACGAGAGTTTCGAGCCAGGCTCGATACGGAAATCTCAGGGAAGGCCCAGAGATTGAATGAAGGTATTGGCTGTGCAAAGTGGTCCAGGAGCGTCATGGTCCAGAAGTTGGAAGCCGTCTGGATGCCCGGATTCACGATGTCGATGCGGAACCTCATGGGCTGGATCACTGCCAGCGAGGCTCTGTTCAGAGGCTGAGTGTGGTCAAAAAGAACAGCTCTCAGGTGATCGCGCGTAGACATAGGAGGCGACCAGACCAGGAGACTGCATTGCAGCATCATGAATGACAGACATCAGGCATGTTCAGCGTCTTTCTCTGGGATGCGGGCCAAGGAGATCAGGGCTGTCTCGCCGTTGCCCTCGCAGCCGGTGACCTGCTGCAAGAGGCTGCACTGCCGCCTTCTTAAAGCACTGGTTCACTAAACATGCCGTGGGCTCTGGAGAGTTGGGGTCCCAGACATTCACCTGGCACAAGGCACAAAGGACACGGCATCTGATGCCCAACTTGTCAAGAGAACCTTCTAACACTTCCTATTGTGGAACATGAGGTCGTAAGAGACATGGGATTTTCACACTTTCCATGGTTCAAGCCTGGTAGCTGTAGGATCCTCACAACTATCTGTGTCTGGCAATTTCTCGAAGACAGAATGTGTACGACAGAAACAGGTTCAGGCCGTCCCGAACCAGAAGCGCTATAAACCACTTGTTACAGATCACATCACCTGTAGAGTCCACACGAGAAAGTCTCACACAGCTCTGCGCACTGTGCGGGAAACCCAAAGACCGACGATACGGAAAGGCCAGGAATGAAAATGTGGACATGACAGAGGATACGAAGATGACGTTTGAGCCACCTTCTCTAGACTCTAGACACCCCGAGCACCGCTCCCCCGTCGCAACATCAAGCCAGGAGGTCCCCCAGCTGTGTCGCGTTGAAAACACTCCCGAAAAGGTTCACGACCCGAGTCCTGAGGTGCTTCGTACTACTATGAACTCAAGCACTATGCAAGATGCGACCCTATTGCGACCCTGGTCGGGCCGCAGATCAACTTGCACCCACTGCGGTGAATCTCAGGGCCGCGGCTCTACCAGATGATAGCAGCGCGTCGGAATTATCTGAGCCACGGTGAGCAAGGTTCAACGCATCTCTGCCAGGCTCCAATTAGTCCGTTCCTCATCCGACGCCTCTTAGGTCTGTGCCGTGCCAGGTGGTCCAACAAGCTCAAGCTCGCCGGCAGGCATCATGTCCTCTCTTGATCATGTCACAACCGGGCATGTGCCCGGCCCTACCAAGCAATACAAGCATGCGACAACAGAAAACAGTCCCCTGCACGGTATGGGCCAGCTGTGCCAAGGCTGAAGTGGAAAATAAGCCTTGCAGCAGGTCACTCATGGCCACAATCGTACGGCAAGGGCAAGAGCGACAAAGAAGCGGCGCATCCAACAACCTATATATTGTGAGGATTAGGGGATGGCCTGCTGTTCTTGTTTGGCCGATCATTCCGCCCGGGCGGCCATATCTGCATGATCCTCCGAGCACAGAGGGAGCTTTCAAGCGAAGCGGCCTAGCGCAGCTCCGAGGATGCGGCCCACCCAAGGCCATCTCCTTAGAGGCGCCGGGCTTGCACAAGTGAATCCAATCAAAACCCTGCTACCAATGTTTGATCTAGCGCCCTCTTTGAGCTGTCCGTACCACTGCAGGACACGATCCTCGGTCCGTGGCAAAGGGTGGCGGTTCCGAGGCCACTGTCTGAGGCGCGTCGATCAATTCCCCTGTCGACCTAGGGACCAACGATTCGGACGCATTGCACGATGTGGAGCAATTTGATTTTAGGGGCAGCTTCTCTTCAGGCAGGATCTCAGACATTTACAGATCCCGAACCACACACTAACATCAGCTGGTGAAAGAGCAGGACTTGCCTGCACCAGTGCTGCTGCTTCCTTTCTCCACCAAGAACCCGGCATCTGAGTCTGGAATCTCCAACAGGCAGGGCCGCAAATTCGATCCCTGACCAATGCTGTATCTAGGCAAGACAGCAGTCAGGCAACCGAGTACGTACGGATGCTTACATAACTCCGCAAAAAAACGTAACTGAGTTTGACCATGCCGTGCTGAGAGTGAAGGCCATGCGAAGCTCTGCAGACACGCTTGAGTCCCTGAGACATGTGCCCGGGCGCAGGCTCGTTCTCGATGTAGAAAGATGACAGCTCTCCCGGAGGGTTAATTATCTCAGCAAGCCCAATTCTGTGGCATCAGACTCCTACGTGCATGCGCAGATTAATCGGTGTCCCGTGCCCGCAGAGCAGTCCATCTGTTCCGGCAGTGAAAGCGTTGCTGCGGCTCAGGTCGCAGCATCGATGCGAAACTGAACGAGCCTGGGGTCAACTGTAGCCAAACAGCACATATGTGAATGTGTGGGTTCTCTGCCGTATGGACAGTGCTGGCAATATAATCCCAGGACCCTGCCCCGGCATCAGTGGAAACGAATCCATCGGCGTGATCCGGATGCGGAAGACATCGTACTGAGCAGTTGACTCATATGCCACCGTCGGACTTTGTGCGTCGCGTTGCTGGGCCTCCTTCTGCTCGTAAGTGATGGCTGCGACGTCGCGCTCGAAGCTGCATGTTGACAAGCCGATCGGGCTTGTGTCACTGGCAGGGCAATGGAATCTTGATTTGGCGTCATGGAAACTATCAGAAAGCTGTTCTTCCGCCGAAGGCCTGAATTCCAGTTGGCCAGGCCAAGGCCTCATTACGACGCAGATCAGAACAGCTGTTTCCTGGAGCTGTCGCAGTCCCAGCCTTTTGCCACACTGCCCACCTGCTCTGTCAACAGTTTACACTGGCTAGCAGCTAGACAACCGGTATCTTCGAGCCCCTCTTGAGCACATCCCGTCACTGCTGCAAGAGAACAGGTACCAAGCAACGCAATACGAATCTACCTCACTCGCTGTTGCACGTCGTATCGGAGTGCTGAATGAATGGAGCAAAGGTGTCAAACTATGCAGCTCCGTCGTCATGTGATCCTCATGTGATCCTGCAGCCATGACTGATCCCTGTTCGTGTCTGTAACAATGAGTGTGGAGCTAATCACCACCCTTTGCGGTCTCCGGTGTCCCTTCCCGCTGGGCCTGGGAGGGGAGAGTATCCCGGAGGCATCGTGATCTCAAGCACTGAAGGCATCTCCACCATCGTGGCGATGCGAAGCTGGCACAGGGCACGCAGGAAAACTTAGAGCCGTCAGAGCCCGCAGCTGGTGCTGGAGCCCTGCTTTACATGACCAGAGGCATCAGGGCTAGCGGCTATCGGCGAAAGGCTAACATGCACCTAAGAACCAGAACTCGAAACAGCCCGAAGCATCAGCAGTTTTCGACATTAGTACACAGTAACAGAATGCCTTCAGCATCAGCTCAGCAGTCGTTCCCGGCAGTTTGTTGGAGGACTCAGAGCAACATCACGCAATCATGATTCCGCGGTGTCCCAACTCAAGACTTTTACCGGAAGCTTGGCCGGCGCTGTTAAGCCACCGACCCTCGCCATCGAGTCTACGATTGCCCGGACGGGATCCGCGAACACCTTTTGGGCTTCTGCGAGTTTTAAGACGCCGGCAAAGCCAAAGCTCGTGCAGATTCGGGAAAGAGAACTGATGGCCGCAAACTGCAGACTGCGCGTGAATCCACAGTCTACGCTGGAACTCAGAGGGCCTAAGATGACGCGAGGCACAGACGAGGTGCTGAATACCCACTGCTTCTAGCATGTCTCCTTGAGATCTAAGATTCGGCCATCACAGAAGTGCTGGCGCCTGGCAGCCTAGCAGCTGGGGCAGAGACGACGGAGCTTATGCCTTCTGGAAGCGCAGGACCTTACCGTGAGCCGCCGCAGCTCCAAGTTTGACATTTGAAAGAAGAGGTCTCGGCCGAGAGGATCTGCGACTAAAAGGCTGATGTAAAACCTGAGCGGCAGGGCAGAACGTTACATGCTGCAATGCTGGCTCGCCCAGCAGGAAGTGATTCGAAGCCCAAGCGGCGCCGACAAGCTTGTGACGGGGCCAACGTCAGGCACGTAAATAGGAGCCTGGCTGCGGCACGTCTCGAGAGACTTCTGGCTCATTCGACTCGCAGCGACCAGATCAAGGCAACTTGCGATGCTCTTACTAGCGGCTCACATCCGGAGCAGCAGTCTCGACCAGTGCGCGCCGGGCTTAGGGGAAATGCGTAGCCTAGCATCACCTACCCTGACGACATGATACTGGGACACTGGGACACTCTCAGTCAGACATGAAGTCAAAGATGGTGCCCAAGCATCGGCCTCGAAGCCGTAGCGGACGTTCTTGAGGAATGTCGTTTCCAAAAAGCGCAGCATTGCTCCTCAGTCACAGGAATAATTAATCGGCGCTTTTCGCCGTGTGCGAAAATGCGGCGCTGACAAGCTCGGACGCACAGATCTCAAGAGTTCTCTCACGAAGAAGTCAAAACCTGGGGCTTCACACCTTGCGAGCTGGAACTGACCTGCCAAGCGAGAGCCACCCGCACTGTGATCTCCCTCTTCAGAACTCAAGATAGGGCCTCTGGTAAGTTCTGGAAGGTGTACGTCTCCTCACAGCTGACGTATGGATAATCAGCTGCCTCTTCCGTGCTCAAAAAAGTGCCGAGTCGGGGGCATTGTAAGGTGCTCCCGGTTGCTTCTGCACCAAAGAAGACAGCCACTCGAAGCCTGTGCTGTTTTGCGTCTGCCGTGGCTCCAAGTCCCCCATGCTCCTGAAATCCTTTCCTGGCTGCTCAATGATCTCAGCCTCCGGCCCACTGGCGCAGAAATTTCCAGAGAACCCTGAAAGTCGACATCCAGGAGGAACACCATCTCGGCTGACTCTTCAGGCAGAGGTGCTTGGATCCGTAAGTAGAGCGTGCTCGCTACGGTATTCTGCTACGGTGCGCGCGAAGGCTCGTAGTGAGCGCCAGTGATGGCTAAGCAGGAAACTTGACGGCTAATCTTCGTGTAACCCATGGTACTGCACAAAAGGCCACGCCAGCCGCCAGCTCCTTCGGAAGATGTTATAAGTTACAACAGCAATCAGCGAACTTGGTTTAGTGGATTTTAGTGGGCGACTGCAGCCCAGTTGAGGCTGTAGCTTCAATTACCATGCAATGCGTCCATAAGTTGTTGCTGAGGCCGGGATGGGTTCTCTGGTTTAGTTGCATACCTTCGTCGTGAATTCCATACACCCTCGGCACGACAGTTCAAGCTCCCAGGCGGAAGAGTTGCCCCATTTTCTGAGGCAGGGACAGTAGCTGATGTTGCTACCTGCCTGACGGCGAAGGGTAGCCAAGACGTGAGCGTCACCTGAGCTTTCACATAAGGTCTGGCCGAAGGGACTTCCAAAACTGCAACGAAGTACAAGTAAGATGGTCTGGAAGTGTGCCAACCGTGGCGGCATCAAAAGCGGAGGCAGAAATCCTCTTTCTGCGCGTTCAGCCGGCACTGCCTATCTACGAATCAGCTCCTTCAAGAACACCGAGCCCGCCTTAGCCGGCGCAGTGGGCCACCGAAAGGCACTTCAGACTAGCTGACGTTCTTTCTTGGATTCTGACATTGCCGGCCATCGTGATCCAACCGAGCGCACTGTCTGAGGTTGCCCGAACAAGTAGTCGGGGGAGCTTCATCGGGCCACACAGGACGGGCCCTGTCTCAGAGAAGCGCCATAGCCGTCCTTCCCGCTAAAACCTGCATAGCTCACGTAAAGCATGCCGCCTTGAAGAACCTCCAGGATTTCGCCCATCTTCACCTCCCTCACCGTCTGAACAAAGCCATGCGGGCTGAGACTTCCATGCGCCCTGCACTGAAGCTGCAAGTGCTGCGCAAGCGCTGCGCCTCGCCCAGCATGATTTCATTGTGCTGCGTCATCGTCGTCGGCCTCACCACCTGCAACGCGCACATGCAGAGAGCGACTCTTTCAGAGTGGGCACCGGGCCACTGCCCGCGCCCGGCGCCTGCACGTAGCGGATCAGGAGCCGCTCGAAGATGCTCAAAGGGAGGCCGGACTCGCCCTCGAGGAGACTCCGCTCAAAGAGCTCCGACAGCTCCTGCGCGATGCGCCGATGCGAGGCTCTCCCGCGGGGCGCTTCTCTTCGCGCCTCCAAGGACGGAAACTCTTTCCTCTTGGTCTCCTGACATCACTCTCGGAGCGGTTTCCCGCATTTCTTAGCACGTCTTGCTTGGCAAGATTCGTCGGCCAGCTCCATGACTTCGGTGAAAAAGTTGCGGAAGTCATCTTTGCCAATGACCCCGTCCTGGTGCACATGCTCCATGGATCCGCTCGACATCTTCCTGCGTTAGATAGCACACCTGGGACATGCACAGCCATAGAAGTACCTGCACCGACTACAGACATCGCAGGCCAAGTCTAGCAGTCTTGCAATACATCCTTCATTATTTCCGTCTCCTTATCGGCATCCATGATGGCGAAAATGTCCTCTCGAAATCAGCTTTACATTTCAACAGTGGCACATGAAATCAAGATTTCAACCGGCCTGCGAGGGGAGCCCTTCCAAGCCTTTGCCGCTCTGGTCCTGAAAGGTGGGGCACCTTAAGCAATTGGACTCGAGCTGCCAGGAGCTGTCCTCGCGGAATAAGTCCATCACCTTCAAGGCTTTGAGGTGGATTTCGCTGCTGCGACTGACCTCTTTCTGCTTGATCCTGGGTGCTTGAACAACTCGCGATGTGCTGAGAATCGCCGTGGCATCAAACATTCCCTAAAACAGAGATATGCCAGAAAGCCGGATCCCCAAAGACGGCCTGCGCGAACCCCTAGCGGCCTAGCGGTGGGATGCAGTGAGTTGGCGTTGCAGTCCGGCAAAGCAGCACGAGCTGCAGCAAGGACGTATTGGTGGCTGCTCAAGTGAATTCTATCAAAACCGCGCCCTGCACTGGCTGCAGGGTATGCAAAAACATCCACTGAGTTACGCTGGCCATGCCTTCTGAGCGGTGCCTGATCTGAGATTCTGAGATACTCAGAGCTTGGAGTTTTGCAAAGGGAGGCTTCGGCCTGTGAGGCATGTGGCACTGATTGCTCATTAACCTTACGTAAGCGGCCCGAGTACTACAACTACTACTACTGACATCTACCAGTACAAGTACTACGACGAACGCTGCCGACGCACTCTCACTCAAACCGGAAACTCTGAGAAATTCCACGTGTGAGCGTGGTCCCGGCACGCACATCGTCGTACCGTCATTGGGGGATCCTCTCATGCCAAGGCAGTTGGAGCCGAGGTGCACGAGACGGCCCTTCTCGACGAGGCTTTTCATCCTCTTCAGGCGCTGCTCCAGAAAGAGCAGCTTCGTCTTGAGGCCTCACGCAGCAAAAAAAAAAAAACAACTGGAAGGGAGCCCCCTGCTGCAACTCTACGTCTTGATGGCAAAAGATATCGAGGCAGGAGGCTACTTTTCTTGGACAGCACATGCTTGCAGAGGGTCATCCTCACGTCTTCATCCACGTCCTGCATCGTGATGGCAGGGGCTCAGAAGTCAGAAACATGGTGCTGCGGTTCCGATATCCTTGACAGGGCAAAGCATCTGGGTCACGACATCCAAGCTCTCCCGAGCCGCCTGAGTCTTGCCCTGGCCAAGGCAGGTGCACCAATGGGGGATCACGTTTTCTCTCTTCAGATATAAGGAAGGCAGTTCGGGATCCGTGTCTTTTCCGACCTCCAAGCTTTGCAGCTCTTCCTGGCAGCCAGGCAGCAAATACCAAAGCAAAAGATTACACGGGGGCCTTGGCCCCTCATGCCCCACCTGCAGCTCGGACATTGCCATTGTCTCCATCTTGCTGAATTTTTCTGACTGGCCTTCAGCATCTTTGACCGCAGCACTGGCCTCGTATTGTCACTAGCTGACAAGCAGCGCAATCCGTAGGAGCAGTCAGGTGCATTATGTTCATTCATGCTGTCTGGCCCGTCAGAAAGCCAGAAAGCAAAACGCAAATACGCCATGAGAATGAACACGCATCGACCAAAAACAGTCAAGAAAGCAAGCAAACAAGCAAGCCCACCACCGCCACCACAACCATCACCATCACTACCAACATCACTACCAACACCAACACCAGCAAGAAGAAGACTAAGAACAAGAAGAACAACAATCAGAAACTCAAGAACAACAACAAGAAGAACAACAACATGAACAAGAACTCGAACAATAAGAACAAGAACAAGAACAACCACATCCACAACCCAATTACAACCACAACCTCAACCACCACCACCACCACCACCAACAACAACAACAACCATCACCACAAGAACATCAAGAAGAAGAAGGGTCACAGTTGTAGCTGAACGTCCGTGCAGCCAGCCTCCTCTGCTTTCTCACTCAGCTTGGAATCCTCAACCGTGCGTCGATGAGGACATGCAGCCCAGGACTCTGCCGCCTTCAACATTCTTCAACGTGCCTCGATCAAGTCGAAAGCTTTGGCTTTCAGCTCGCGGATGATCTGGCTGTTCTTCTCATTTTGGAGATCCTTCCTGAAAGCTTCGGACCGCAGCAACTAAAGGCCGAACGAAGGGTGTCTGAACACCAATATGCTCGAGAACCCTGAAGCCAAGCCGCTGGTAGTTGGACACCAGGTTTCGGACCCTAGATATTCTCTTGTCCAGCTGGCCCAAGCGAATCCTCGGTCTGTCTCTCAACCAACGAGGCACCTACGCTACCTTGCGGCCGGTTCTGTTGAGATCTACAGACTCGATGACTGCGTGGAGTCTATAGAGATGCAAAGGTCGCGCTTGAAACAAGACTCTGAAGCCGCTTGGTCTGATCCTGGATGTACTGCGCAATATCCTTCGACGTCACATGCTTGTAGGGACCGCAGGCGAAAGCTGATCATGAGGAAGCATGAAGCTTGTTCAGGGTACTCCCTCGTACGATTGCAGAATCCGAGGCCATTATGACACGGGGTAGGAGGCAAAACTCCAAGCCTCACAGAATCCATCCCATGCCGAGACGGTATCAGGAAGGCCTCCTTGATCTCGTCCTCCACTTCTACATCCGTCGACTGCGAGCTTAGCGTTGTTCTCGCAGAGCTTACGCCATTGCTGGCTGAGCCGACCATCTCATCGAGCTCCTGCGGAAATCTGCGGAAATAGGACTTATAACTTATAAATTATACCTGCGAAAGCTGCACACGTCTCTAGGCCGAAGAACTTCCCAGATCTGCAGCCGTCCTTGGCAATCGACTGCATTTCGTGCTCGTCCTTACCCTTGTGCTTCGGTATGCCGACGAAGGGCTCTGCCTGTTCAGAGAACATAGTATCATAGCGAAGCACAGAAGGCTTTGGGTGCAGCCATGGTATCCTAATCCTTCTCCCGGCAAGGCACCTTCTGCTCGCAGACGGCTACAAGCTGCTGGGCCTGTGCCGCATCATCACAACACGAAACATCTGACTCTGCCAACTGCACGTCGAATCCCAATGCAGTTGCAAAGTGTCTGCACGTCGAAATCCATGCTTATTGCCCTTCTGTCAGATGTAAGACATCAAACGGCCTGGGCAAAAGCCTTGGGCACCTCCTGAAGCTTCGCATCCAATCGTATCTTAGCTGCATTGAGGAGCTCCTGCAGTCATTGCAGCATGCCCGCTCGGTAAAACTGCATCAAAAGCGAGGTAGCAACACGATGGTTGCCATGATGGCACTGATGACTCCTTAACCCTTAACCCAGAGCCGACACAGTCACTCCGAGCAATCGTGCAAGTCTCTCCACGGATTTTCGAATCGTCCATGCTGGAATATTATCGAGCCACGAGGCATCAGCACCTGCAAACAGAGCCTGAAAGGTCCAACAGATCTTGGGAAACCAATGACTGATGATACAAGAGCTGGCGATGCTCGGCTCGTTCGCACCGGCAACCAGAAGGGCAGCTAGGTGCACAAGGCAGGCCGGTTTTGCAACATTATCCGCATTATCCGATTCCCACAACCGCGAGCCTTCCTGAGCACGCGGTGCCTACCTGCCTGACGATCCCTCGAAGCGACATCGGGAACGGCAGACAAGGAACCCAAAGACGCTACTCTGTCAGGACAGCGAGTTCTCTGACAGGCCAGTTCAATCAGTTGCCGATGTCGAGGTTCATTGCAGGCACCAACATCCGGAAAACCCAACAGAGGGGGTATGTCTATCAGGATCGGGTGCCATGCCAAGCACTCAGTTGCGAGCACTCCTTCTTTGCGAGGTTCTTTGCCTCCGTCAGAGCAGTGCGGCTCTTCTCGAGAAGCTCATCGGCCTTCAATACGTAGTGAAACAGGACCCATGGCAACAAACCAGGTCTCCAGCACGAACCTCCTTACTGGCTGTGGCACACGCGCGAACCTTTTCGAGCCAGCCTGAGCGCTTGGCGTAAGTTGGACGACGACAACGCTGCTGATCTGCATACGGAGCTGATGCTTGATACGTGAACGGTAGGCTTCGCGCCCTGTCGTACTTCAAGCGGCAGCGTCTGATTCTGGAAGTCCTTGGAGTGTTCCTGCACGAACTCCTTCGAGCAGAGGACGATGGGCTGGGATCTGCAGCTGCGACGCGACGGAAGCCTTGAGCTCGTCACGGAACTTTTTGGCCTTCGAACTGAACTCCTCGAAACTGTTTTCTGCGGTGCTGACCTGGACGAGGCAAGCGTCGCGCCACATCGGATGTGGTGCCGCCTCTTGCCTGGTCGGGAGAAACCGTGCCCTCTGCGCCGAGCTCCTGCGACAAGCAACTCTGACTCGCATATTGCAATCATTGCAACCATTGCTCACCTCGAACTCCAAGCAGCTCTGGCGAAAGCTTGCCAGCATCTCTTCCATCTCCTACCGTTGCAGGAACAGAACAAAGGCCACGTGCCATGCGCGAAGCGGTCTTGCAGTCTCCTGCAAAGTTTCTCTTGGCTTGCGCATTCTCTCTTCCTGGCGGGATGCGGATTGACACCAGTTTTCACGAAGTCCAACTTATCATGCAATGTCCAAGTCAGCAAGCTTGCATATCGACAGGCTCGGGATGTTTAACATGCCGGCAAGCCACCTCCTCCTCCCGCTGCTTCAGCACTTGCGCGACCCGCTTGTCTGCAATCTCCAAAGCCCGGCTACATTCCATCCGAACCTCTGGCAAGAAGTACACAACTCACTTCGTCTGGGTTACATATCGATGTTCGATTCTGTAGGCGTTGCGTGCCTGATCAAGCAAGCCTCCCATCTCGACCTCTCGCGAAGTCAGGATCTCGAACATCTCAGTCTCCAATACATCCTTTGTAGATTTGTAGACATGTGGATGGAGAGAGAGAGAGAGAGAGAGAGAGAGAGAGAGAGAGTGAGAGAGAGAGAGAGAGGGAGCGAGAGAGAGAGCGCGAGCGAGAGCGAGACTTTTTGTCTGAGACCTGATACACGCAGGCGGAGGAATTTGCAAAACGCACATGGGCATCTGGATATGTTTTCTCGTCAAGCTGATTCAAGACCACATTGGGCAATCTGCGACTACTCTTGGCCAAGTGGCACGGTTCTCTGGAGTGCAGACGCGTATCTGCATCAGATTCGGGAACACACCATGGGGCCCGGGATTGAAAGATTGTGATGAGTTTGTTCTTGTCTTTAGAATTCTACGTTGGAGTCTGATCTCACTGCAAGATGAACGTCATCTCCTTGACGTGCGATAGGCCTTCTGGATCGAGCGTCGCACCGGATGTGCAGACTTGGCCTGCCGGCACTTGGATAGCAGGGATGTCTGCCTGATTCCATGTCTTACATAGTCTAGGCTTGGTCTTGCCTCTCTCCATTTGGTCTGTGCATCGAAAAGCATCGCTGAAGCTTCTTGCTGCTGGGAGCGGACGGCCGTGAGAACTTACATCGTGTTATCGAGCAGTTGCGTTACTGCGCTGAAAGGCTGAAAGATTGGCCTCTTGGACTTCATGATGCAAAAACCCTAACACAAAGGTGTGTTCGTGATGGGAAGGGTTCTCTCTACCTGCTATCACTACGGTTGGGCTGAGGTGGCAGCATGCCCAGGGCTCATCGCACTTCAGACTTGAGCCATATGGTCCAACTGGCCAGACACGCACATGATGCCCTTACAGAGACACGATCATCCGAGGAATAGCCCCGATCCCAGTTTGAACTTGAAGCTGTGTTCCTACACTTCAACTTGGCTCACATACAGGCAATTAGAATGCATCACTCTGAGATGGCCGGCAGCAATGGCAGGGCCCGGCGTAGCCAACGCCTCACCTTGGCATTTCAACAGCCGCTTGAGAGAAAAAGTCCCCCGCAGTGACTTCGCCACTTGCCGCATTTTGGTCCACTGGTCCGAGACTACGGGCTCGTGGCTTGGCCTCTGGCTGACGGACACTTTCGGTGGAATCGACTTGTTCACAAGTCGCCTCAGCTGCCGGATGTGTTTTGAGATCGTGCTTCTGCCGCTTCTCCTCGGGCTCGGACCAGGAGCCACTGCCATCTGCAGCACCAGGTGCGCCGCCGTAAGTGGCACAAACAGGAGAACCTTCCTCGGCCCATGCTCTTGCTTCCATCATGACTAAACGCGTCATCTGCGAGGCGCACAGGCCCACGTGTTGTGATGTTCCAGTCCTGAGTCAAGCACGGCATGATGCGGCATGCTGAAGCCCTCTTGAACAGGCAACCACGAGCGAGGGCACAAGGCTTGGTGTGTCCCGCTCGGTACGAGAGCGTACAGCTTGGCTGGCGTGCATGCTGTGTGATCGCGCGGTAGCACCTTCCGAGCTCGCCTTTGATACTGCGCGGCAAACCGGTTTCAAACACTAAAATGCCATCGTTCGAGATGGGCAATGTACAATCAGATACACTGCAGAGTGCTTGAGTTTGCTCGCACATTGAAGTCTGCGTGCATCTGGGTATGCACACCGTGCTCTGAGATTCAGGCCACATCGGACCACGGATCATTCAAGGAGAGGATCTGATTGGCAACGTTGCCACATCGCACAGGCATGTCTTCCACATTTGCTGCACTATTTTGGGGCCAGTGGGCAGCCACTAGGCCTGCGAAACTTCATCAAGTGTTGGATTTCTCGCAATGATCGAGAAGCCGTAGATGTTTACTCCCTTCAACCTCACAACATGCACACAGGGAAATCCACAGAAACAACATGCAAAGTGCAAGTCTCATCCGTGGACGTATCCAGGTCAAGAGGCGGTCCCTCTATGAAAATGCGAGCCACATTGTACGGACCTGCACAGCAGCAGCTGGCGAAGCGGCTCGGCGCGCTCTGTTGCTTTGCAAGCTTTGGGCCTGTTTGAACGTCGCTGCTCCGGTGACTTTCACAACCTCCGAGCAGCTACGAAACTACGAAACCCTCACTTCACCAGCTACCAGAAGAAAACAGTAAGCAGGCGAACCCTCGCGCTGAGCTTCGGGCGAATGATCTCGGGAAGACGATGGACTGAAGGAACCGGACCAGTCACATAGTACCTGAAAGAGCAGCCGGCCGGCAAGTCGAGTCTTTGCGAAATTTGGAAAACCAAGGGCTGGCCCGTCGGATAGATCGGAGGCTTGGCAGGCTGCGCCGAAATCGAAGACACGAGGTGCCTCTCAACTGTAGCACGAGTGCACGCAGCGCAGGGCGGGGGCAAGGCTGTCATAAAGACTTGGCGGCGTGAGCGGCTTCAAACGCTTTTGATTGCTCGCTGACTCCGAATCCAAGGACGAGGAGATTCGAGATGTCTTGGGTCCCTCGGAGTGCCTGCTTCAGCGCTCGGGTCGTACAGTGCAGGAAGGGGGAGAACGAGCTCGCACGCGCTCTTGGCAGGTCGCGTTGAGGCAGGCTGCGCTTTGCTGCGCATCTGCACATTACGCTCCTGCGATCTGGTTGGTCACGACATAGAGACTAGGGTAAAACATCCAGAGGAGGAATCCCAGGCCCCACCACCAAATAGCATGGCCAACACGGGCGAAGCCCCAGAAAAACTCGTCCGCATAATCTGCATAGCACCATGCGACGTTGTGGCCGAAAGTAAAGCAGATCAAAATTCCTTGCACGATCTCTAGCATCCAGATATTTAGTGGAAAAAGCAGAATGTACCAACAGCTCAAGTCCTTGAGAAAGTAACCGTACACATCCACCAAAACAGGCATGTAGATCAGATTGGCTCCGAATTGTGCGGCACTGGTGTAGGACCGACCACGCTCGAAGTGTGTGAAGCAGGATTCCATGAAACTGTACGACAGGGCCAGCAGGCTGCATCGCAGCTTCATAGCTGCGGGGTAGGCGATTAACCAAAACACAAGCAGCAAGCCAACGAAGAGCCGTTTGGTCGGCTTCTGAATCGGATGGAAGGTCACGTGCAGAATCTGCCAGGTGCCAGGAGGCCTACCGTAGACTCGATCGACATGGCGCTTGGCCTCTTGGAGCTTCAGTCCGCTCTTCTTTGGAAAGAGCCACGGGGACCGGAAGACATCGTGAACGAGCTCATCTAGTCTCATCCTCTTAGGAGGAGTGCAGCCTTCAAATGGGCTGCAGACACCAAAGCTCGCCAGAAGTTATCCATCACATCGCACGTGCAGTGGAACGATTGTTTCACATCGACCTGAAATTGACACAAAGCCCAACGACACTTTGAACCAGGTGTGCCTCCACATCGATAGACCCCCCTGCATTGACATCCTCCACGGCTCTGAAGAACACGCTGAGCCTTGACATGTGCTTAGTGTGTTCTAGAGCGCGGCAGCAGGATTCCCGCTACAGCCCTCATGAGGAGTAAAGCAAGCCGGCAGTGCGACTGAACGGTCGGCGCGCTTGCGCTGGGGGAAACCATGGGAACCAGTGGCTGGATCAAGGCCTGCACAGCAAGAGGGCAGAGAGAAGAGAGGTCACACTTTGGGTGCGGATGATTTTTCGGGTGGGCTTAGGCTCAAACATTCTCGAGCCGTCCCAGCACTGGCACTCCTCCTAGGCCAGTGCGATAAAATGTCGCCTCGGTCACAAGCATGCATAGCATGGAATATCTTGAAAGAGTAGAAGGTGTGTGAGGACGTCACGCTGAAGTTCACCACTGTGAGATTGTGGTCTCCAGGAGAATATACCTTCCGGTCACTTCGCACTGCTCCAGACCTACTGGGCCGCTGTTCACAGTACCTTCTATTGTATGCCGGTGCGCCCGCCTGCACAGACCACAAGTTCAGGGTGTTAGTGATGGGCATGCTCGTATTGCCGGGGTACACACGCAAGCCTCAGCAGTCGTAACCCCTTCGCGATGCTTCGCACATGCACACGGGAGTGCCAGTAGCTACCGCTTGGCTGTAGACCGGTTGTCACTGCTGCAAGTTGCAGTCGTTCTGTGTCTGTGAATCTCTGTGAGCTGCAACACTTGCTGAGCAGCAGTCGAGCGATGCACTTGCAACCCAGCTGAACCCTGGGTAAAGATCACATGTAAGATCTGCACCCATCACGAGCGACGACATTGCAGGAATGAGCGAGCGATCCTGAGTCAAATGCTGTCCGACATCAAACGGAGTTGTGAGGAGGATGATGGAAGATAGCAATCCTTCAAATGCTGACAGAGCATGAGAAGGGACGAGAGCTATGTGAGCCAACATGGCAGTGAAGGTCCTGTACTCAGCTGGGGCTCCCTGCAAGGAGGGCGTACGTGGCCTCCTCGCCAAGCATCGACCAACCCCCAAGGTCAGGCCTCGAGTCTGAGTCTGCGCTGGTACTTGTCGCTTCCTTCTTCCACCGTGAGGCCGAGGGCAGTACGTTCCAAAGCCGGTTGGAGCAGGTTGTGGCATGGTGTTGTTCAGGCGCGATGCCTCAGCACGGGACGACAGCCTGAGCCGGACTCTACGTACATCAACTCGACACATCTGCAGCCCTGGTGCCGCATCACCATCTGGCGTCAAAGTCACCATGCCAAGGTCACCTCCTGTGCACGGAAGAGTCTGCAATGACTCAGCATCATCTCTCAAGCACTGGAAGTAGGCCTGTGTGGTTCACCTCGACGGCCTGTAGCATCCGGAAGCCCTGGCACTGCAGACATTGGCTGTGGGTGTCTTGTTCCGCAGCGTTGACGAATCATCTTCTGTGAAGTTAAAGGGTGTGGACCCGTCGGACCCGTGTCTCAGCCCCAAACTGGCGGGGCCCTGATCACGAAGTAGGAGCCAGGACGGGCATTCGGCGCAGGCCTGAGTTGCTTTCGATTGTCATGTGAACCCGTGCATGTCTTTCTGCAGCGCAACTCGCACATGCTTTGTTCAACAAGTTCATGCAGCAATCACTGGAGTGATGGCTTGAGCTGTCTACCGCGTCCTGTCCTGTCCGCGCAGCGGCACAGCCATCTGAAGCATCACCTGCAATGCGTACTCGACTCTCGGTCCCGGACAAACACAGACTGACATATAGTTCTAGGATGACTAGCAGTGCTCTCACGCAGTCAGGCCCGAGCATAGAGAACGTGACTTTGCACTCCTTCGAATGGCTCGAGGCCCATCTGGCAAGAGACATGAGGGCAGCAACTCACTGTGCCTGAAAAGGACACGACACGGACCTGAGGTGCACTGAGAACACGCCCAATCGTCGCGAAGTTACGAGTTGGCCTGGGCACTAAAAAATGCTTAGAGACTAGTTGTGCCACTGTCGCAGTGCTGGTTGGCTTCGTCTTCGTTGACAGCAACATCTATCTCCATCACCATCAAGGCAGCAGCAGTACTAACCATATTTGTAGCGCAGAGCACAACCAGACGGAGAAACAAATACCGATATTGCAGAAGCATGTTCAAACCGAAAGAGCATTACCATTTCTGAAACCACTAACTATGGCAGCAGGGGCATCAGATTCGGCAGCCGGCGACGCTCGTGCGGTCTGCTGCGGCTGCAACCATAATTCACTGCTTACCACTAGACTGCACTTGTTCCACCCCTGATTCCAGACGACGAGGCCACGGCGCGTTGTAAAAGCGACCGGTGGCCACCCTGAGGCTGCGCACTTAATCAGATGTGTCAGAGTGTACGTGCAGTAAGGCAGCCTTGCCTGAAATGGGGCTTGGTCCCATCTTCCTTCATCACTTGCACCATGAGACGGTGGGGGAGAGCCTCAGGCTAGAAAAAGCGGGATCCATCCAGCGATCTTGAATAACCCTTGAGGAAGGGACACCAGAAGATGGCAGTCTCAGGCTGTAGACATCCAGCTCGTAGATCTGGCCCAGTGAAGGTACGAGTAGCTTCTTCTGGTTGCTTGTTGTCTCGACACACCCTGCGAGGCACCAGCGATCCGAAGAGGTCGTTCATGTTCGGTGGCATCTGTATGCGAATCATCGGCACCTGTCCGAAAGAGGAGCACTTCGCACGCCAGGACGAGCCCTGGATTTGATTCGATAAAGGGTCAAGACATGTGCCACAAGGGAAGCCCTGCCTGTGCTGCGAAGGGCACAACCTGTCATGAAACTGGACCGGTATGCTCACCGCACATGCACTAACTTCCGCTATCCCGACTGTGAACAAAGACCAGGCAACAACGCGCCTTGATCCCAGCGCAGCTGACCACTTCACCACACCGGCGAAAGTTGCCGACAATCTGGCGACGCTGGTGCAGCTTGTCGGCACGGTCAAGTCTCCGATTAACAAGCGGTCACTCTCTTCTCAGAGTCATCTCATCTGGTGCAACATTTGGGAGTCTGACTGCTGGCAGGGCCCATCTACAACAAACGAAATGCAAGCCGCGGCCGCTGCTCACCAGTCATCCACGAAGATGACACGTGCATGAGCAGCACTTACATGTGCAAGAAAGCCAGGAAGACGACGAAACAATGGATGCGGATGCTGCCAGTCTCGACCCTGCACCATCCGTTCGAAGGTAGATTGCAGCTAGGGGCATGTGCAACCTGACCTCTAGCCACGACTGCTTTCTGCAAGCATCTTGGAGAGAGGTGGTCTCCATCATGCACTTGACTGATTCGTCTGGAGTGGCTTACGAAGGTCTCAAGAGAAATCCGCCCACAAAGCCTTCCTCATCATGCACGTACACGCAGCTGCAAGCATGACTGCAGCCTTGTATCTGTTCGATCTCCACACGTTTCGGGCAGCTGCCATGCCTGTCGATCCCATCATCGTCCCAGCACATGCTTGTTGAAGATGTCGTGACCGCTCTGAGGCTGTAACCGTCAACGGCTCCAGCCACATGCTCAGATAGTTGCCTCCTTAGTGCCAGATCAACTTCACGCCCTCCAAAGACTGCAGGCTTCCCGGCACGAGCACGGCCACCTTCTGGGACGTCGTGAGAAACGTGCAACAAAGTGTTAGGACTTTTGGGGTGATAGGGGTAGGGGCGACACTGCCTTAAGTGGGATTCTTGGACCCTTACCAGGTCCTGATTGGGGGCGTCCTCATGAAAAGACAAGTGAACGAGTCATTTGAAGTTGCTCTGAGGCTGCAGCTGGAGATTTTGGCAGTGGAGTATTCGCCACCCATCATTTGCAAGCGAAGCCTGGTGGAGCCGTCTTGCAACCTCGGCAGATTCAACAAGCAACAGAGCATCCCGCAACACGTTTGCCAGAATCTGAACTTGTGACATGCAGGAAGTAGGAGCGAAACGATACGAGATTTGTCTCCTGATCACCTCCAATGATCTCCTCAGCACGCTTCCAGTGCACGAGGCTGCAAGGAACTTCGGCTGTTCTTGCATAAGCTTTCTCTCCCTGTAGTTGGCAGCAACATCGCCAACATCGCCAACCGCGGCGGAGCGACAATGCCGCCCTCGGGGGCAAACTGAGGATCGTTGTTGCCGGCGCCTCTGCAGGCTGCACACGCGGCTTCTACAAGATGGGAGTTGCGATGCAAATGGCACCTAGCTGGTAGAGCGTGTCTTCATTCGTGAAGATGTGGCCAACCTGTCAAGCCCACACCAAAGAAATATGGCAATAGAGCTGGCATGCTCTAGCCACATGGAGCTGCGCGGGACTGTATATGCCTATGCTCACGAGAATCGGCGTGGAGCTGCATGGGATTGTGATGCGCTGTGGACGCAGGATCTGGTTGCCTCGAGAGGGGCATATCTGTAGCCCTCGTGGTCATCGTTGGAGCTGATGAAGAACAACTGGCCGCAAAAGCAAGTCAGCTTACTCCTGTCTGATCATGCTAGTCCATGTCCGTGAGGGCTCTCTCCGTATCTGAACAAATGTCGGCTGATGTGCAAATAGATGGCTTCGGCTACATCCACTGTCCATTGAGTACACAATGCCTGTGTCATCCACAGCTCTCGGCTCGGCGACTGTACAACAGAACCCAAGCGTCTTGTCAGGCAGACGAAAAAATCGCACGAAAGCGGGCAGAACATGCCAGATCAACGACGAGCCTGCTCCAGGCATCGCTGGACCGGTTCCATCGACAGCCGGTCCGGCTAAAGACTTAAGGCACGTGGATCTGGACTTGGTCCGTCAGGCAACTTGGGCTTGGGCTCTTTGCGCAATAAGAGCGTTCTGAACAGCGGGGATTCAGGGATCATCAGCTGGCCCGGTCTCCACCTGCTGTGCCACCAGCTTGTCCTGTTCGGCTTTCAGCTCGTCTTCGGACAGCACCAGGGCAGGAAGTACAACGTCGATCTGCTCCTGCTCTACAGGGCAGCCATACGGTTCTCTTTGTTGCCAGAGCTGCGCCTTGATGGTGCCATCGGTCTCCTCGGCGTGCCACGCACGCAAGACCTGTTCAAACTAGGCACCGGGTGCACTTACACCGCCAGAATTTTGGCGTCTTGCCCTGTCCAATCGAACACATGTGAGAACTTTTGCCGACAAGAAACTGTAAGCCCACGTGGCGTGTTTGGTATGACATCGGTATAAGGAGTGTGCAGGCTTGGGGTGAGGGGGCGATGTGTCACAACCAAGCAAACCATGTCGAGTAGAAAACACGGGACGAACAGCGAGTCGAGAAAAGGAGGGAGACGCGGACAAGCTGTGAGAGTGAGCACAGGAGAGAGTTCGAACGGGGAAGCATGCCAAGAAAAACTGAGGCCGAAATCAAGAAGCACACGAAGAAGTCAAAGACCGACCACGACATCGACAAGCAGAGTCCAAGAATCCGAGAATCCGACAAGTCGTACAGCAGAAGCCCCCAGGATGCCAGACGACCCTGCTGCTCTCTGCAAGCGTTTGGAAGTAGCTCATGTTCTGTGACAGCATCCAAGTCTATCCGATCACATTAAGACCACCCTGGTCTTGTATGTCCCCTCTCATCCAGCCTGCTCGCATCCGCTTGCTCGGAGATAATCTCGACCAGCAAGTGAGCGACAAAGTCCCATCAAACTTACAGCAGCAGCTGACCGAACAGCAACATCGCCTTGACCATGCATGGTGCATGCATGAAAACCAGAACAAAAACTGACAGCGAAATGGCAAAGGTTTAGAAGTGCTGCCCCAATGCCGTAGCATGCACGTTTGCGTACTTAAGCCCATTAGCCTGACACATTCTCTGCACTTGCTGCCTGTGAGTGAAGCACCATCTTTCTCGAGAGACTCCTTCAAGGCTCCCGGTAGCATGGACTTCGCATCAGCATCCAAAGACTCCCAGGGGCAGAGGAACCTGCACGAAGCGGGTAAGAAGCCGCCGAAAGGACTTACAACTCCGAGCCTTGCCATCTGGGCTATCAGATCTGTTGTGATGACTGTCTGATGACACTCCTGAGTTTCCGCCCATTTGGTCTGTCTGACCACAAGAATCCACTGCATCCAAGAGTCTGAATCTAAGCAAGTGTTCTTGACCGCATTGATCATGTCCTGTCTTCGGCCACGATCTGCCAGCTCGTTGAAGATCGTGGTAAGTGCATGATTCTCTCCCATCGCGAAAAGTTTGCGTCCTTCGGGCAGAACCAAAACGTTGACCAGCAAGCTTCCGAGCCAAAGTAGGGGATCCTCGTAGCCGTCCCTTGCAGCCGGCCGCGGCTTAGTCACGTATGCAGCCACCAGAAACTTAAGCATACCTTCATCGCCACATAAAGCCTGCTGACCTTTGGCGCTCGTAGAGATGTTGGCCAGTACCATGGCATACCAGTGGGCCATCGTTGCTCGACCCTCCAACCAACCCGATCGCAGGGCTTCGGTGATGCGCTTTGGCGCATTCAGGGAGACTAGCTCTTCCTGTACGCTGGGGATGGTGGAGAGGTTCACCAAAGCCTTCAAAGCCGACACACAGGCTTCCATGCTGCTGGCAGCCTGGATGGCGGTTGCCTTCTGAGCCTGAGAGCTTCCGGCCTTTTCTCCGGCCTCTGCTGCCTCTGAAACCTCTGCTTCGGTCCTCTCCGCCAAACGTAGAAGGGGCCTTGCCGCTTTGCGCGGATTCCGGCGGCAGTAGTCCAGGAAGTCAGTGTCCTCCGTTTGGCCTAAAACGCCTTCTGCCGCAAAGCGTCTCACTTCGGGCTTCTGGTCTTGCAAGAATCCCAGCAGCTCTGAAAACTCTTGATCCTGCGAGCTCTCAGCGTCTGCCATCGCTGCCAGACTGGAGCTACGGCGATCAACCGGCTTGGAAGTGGACTGTCTGCACAGGAGGGAACACTGTGCAGCATTGTGCGACTGCGCTGCGCGTCCTTTCGCTTAGCTGGGCTCGCACCTGTGTACTATGCCGTGATGTCTACCGTCTGCTACTCAACATGCGCATGCTGACATACTACTGCTTCAAAGCTGGATCAAAGGCCAGATGGAATTGACGAGACTCTGCAAAGACACCCCAGCCGCCAGGGTAAATCACACAAGAACAAGCAGTACAACCAAGGGCAAAAACGCCTGCCTCCTGGTCGGTAACCATCTCGTTCGTTGCTTGGGCATTCATAACGATCTGATAGGACCTTATAGTGCGGCCAGGCATTGGCTCGAGACTCTGGGAACTGGCTTTTCGCTGAGGGCACAGCGAATCTGGCGACAACCCGTTCCGCTTTTCGAAGATGATGACAATCTCACGCCTGAAGCTCCAGCATTGCCGGTTGCAGATGGCTGCAGGGCAAGTTGCGGTGGGCTTTTTGGGCCACTCCAACTCCGTCGGTGCCGGGCTTCCCAGTCTCCAGTTAGGAATTGATGCAGGTTCCAAGATGTGCCAGGTCCCAGGCATGTCAACCGTCAAGCCGCGGTAAAAGCAACCCTTCGGAAGCGGGAAGCCTTTCGCCTCGAAAGCAGCAGCTAAGCGCAGCTAAGCAAGACACAAACGAGCAAAGCGCCAGAAGGATGGCCTGGTCGCTGCTCCACAGTTCACGAAACACGATGCCGCAAACGGTCTGCGTGGCCTGAAGTCCCGCTCAAGACCGCAGCCTCTACAGCCATGGCTACGCCGCGACGCACCTCCTCCCATTCATCGCTGCCTGGAACAAAGATGGCCGGCAATTCGGAGCGAGGTCACGTTGACTCTGACATTGCGACTGATGAGCTTGCTCTCTTTAGCCAAACAAGTCCTTCTGCTTAGGCACCAAAGACTCCGTGCAGCTCAGCTGCCGATGTTGAAGGAGCTTACGAAGGGCCCTTGTGCACTGCTCCCCATGTGCCGCAAGGCTGCCTCAGCGCGGCCGTGAGTCAGCTTCGGCCCTCGAGGTTTACTCAGAGCCCTGTCTGCCGCCTGGTTGATGAAGGTCAGGGTCAGGCTCATGTGTCCTTCTGCCTGCGCAGGCAAGCTCCACGGCTCCGCCCACTCCACACGTCCTCTGAAACTCTTTTCCATCCCGGCCTGCACGTAGCGCCTCCCAGCAGAGTCGGCGCTGCCGGTCCGGAAGGTCAAAACGAAGGGCGAGGACTGCGACCATTCCTCCCGCCAAGCGAGAGAAGAGCAAGACAGCAATACTCACTGACCGTCGCAAGCTTTGGAAGTCTACATAAAGTTTATACACGAGGGCCCCCTTTGCCAGTCCCGCTGCGTCGGCCAAATCCCAAGCTCCGTTAAGCTGCCTGAGGCAGCACAGAAGATCCGTTGCCACGACCGCGCAGAAGGCTCCACGATGTCCGCAGAAATTTCAGATCGCTCAAGCTCACAAACTACATGCCTGCTTCACATGCATATGATTCGCTCTGAGCGACCCTCCGACAACGACTGGCCCACGGCTCTTGATTGATGCAGCCGAAATACTTTGCGACACAAACTCCACAATACCAGCATCAGCTGCTCTGCCATCACGTTCCCAGCAAACTTTCCTTCGTCATGAGTGGGCTTGCAAAGGAACGGAACGTTCGTTCTGACATGCCCGAGCTTGCCACATGAACTGTTGAAAGCCGAGATGACGACTGAAGCTACATCTACTCACAGCAAGTCTCAACCGCCGTGCGGAGCTGGACATCAGTTCCCCACGGGTCACGCCTGCAGGCAAGCATGCAGCACAGCAGAAACAAATTGCGTCGTGTCGCAACTGTTACACATTTGCAAGTCCGCCTCGATTAGTTCGACGCCATTGGCCTCCCTCAATGTGGAATCGAGGAGGTATTGGTGCTGAAGCAAAGCTGCCCTGCTCCACGGTGAAGACTGCTGGATTGGAGGTTTCAGCGATGGCAATCCCAATAGGCGCACCTGGAGCCTGGCTCCGGTCTGCAATTCCGCCGTCGGATGCATTGGCTAACGCCAACACGTCTTCAGAACTCAGCGGCAAATTGTAGAAACGTATCTCGTCGAGCTCCAAATACCCGTCAGATGCATTAGCACCGCCCGGAAATTCATCAGACACATGCCCAGCGAATTGAAGCGGCAAAGTAGACGTGTTCACAACAACGCCCAGGCATTCGTAGGCAAGTGCTCCGTCAATGTAGAAGCGCAAGCTGCCGCTCATCCTGTGGGGGAGAACTTTCGGATTGCAGCGTCGTGAGCAAAGTTCAGCAAAGTCTAAGGACAACAGATAGCAGTGACAGAAGGCATTGGCGAGACAGACGAGCAAGCGAGCGCCGAAGCACAAGAATCTGGGACACACGTGCCGGGTATAGATATAGCTCTATATGTTGCCTAAACCCTAAACCCTGAACTGCAGCCCTGCCCCTAAACCCCTAACTAAGGTTTGTGTTATCCTGGGAGTACAGTGCGATCTGTCGCTGGCAGTGAAGGCAGGCAAAGTGTTGGCCCTGTCTCACTGGTCATTTCTACTCACCCTCTGCTCCTGCCGGCATAGACAACTGCAACATGGGCCCATTGTGCCATTGGTAGCACGGCATCGCCCATTGCCTCCAGCGTCAAAAGCATGACGGAACGACACAGAAGAGCTTTGGCAGCCTGGTCTTCGCCGGAGATGCCGGCGGCTTGGCGTAAGTAGAGGCTGCCGGCAGGCCACGGGGCAGTGGCAACGCCTCTGCCAGAGTCCGACTCAGCTGAGTCTCTGAGTTCTGCTCTGCTCTTAAAGGCTGGGGCCGGGGCCTATCTCAACTTCGCCATCCTCAAAGATGCCGTTCCCATTCGCCATCCCACAGAGCGTATACCATCCATCCTTCCTGGGCTCACAGCAAGCTTCCGACTGGAAGAAACCCGGCAGCGATGGTGCAAGCAAGCTTCTCCAGCTGCACCCAGAAGACGACACTCCAAGCTTCAGTTCCTTCAACTGGACTTCCAGCGGGCAGACCTGTAAACTGGTTGCACACGAGCGGCAGCATTCATGATACCGTCACAGACTCCGAATGCAGTTGCCGCATCAGGCGGTAGACCGTCAAAAACGAATCCTTGAAACGAGTGCAACTGAGGGGCCCATAGATGAGCCGGAGACAAAGCGAAGCGCATAGGCACCCCACTTCCCTGGAGTTCGCTGCACACCGGCACCTGCAGAGTTGGACTTAGCTTCCGGGCTGACTGCACTTGGTGCTGCCAAACACAAATCAACCTCCGCACATCGAATGACCGGCGCAGCCTTGAAAAGTACCATGTCTCTCCCCAACTATGTCGGCAGCCAAATCACCGTCCTCCTCGTCCAACGGCAGGTAGTTTTGCAAGCCTTGGAACACCAGGAAGCCTTTGGCCATGTCCAGCATCGGCTGGGAGCAATTTTCACCACACTGCACTCCGGCTCCGAGCACAATCGTGTCGCCATCCATCAGCCCAAGATTGCCAAGTCCACCGCCCGAATAGGTAGTCCCGGCAAACGTCAATTGCAAACCGGTATCTGTCGTCTCTAAGTTGGTCAGAGGAACTGTCTCGCAGTTTTCGTTTAACTCGTCGCATCTCACCCGATCAGATGCGAGGGTCGTCGTGCGCATATGGCCCGAATTAGCGGTGAGGAAGTTGCTGTTGCACAGAGCATGGCCGTTTATGGGGTCCTCGTTCGGCCGTAAGCACATCCGTTCGGCAGGTGGGAAAGCTGCACAGCTGGAATCCTCCAAGATGAGACGCAACATGTCGCCGTCTTGTAGGTTGACACCCAGGTACTCGAAGCGGAAGGTCTTCATGGTTGGAAGCACCCAGTACTGGTTCGCAACAGGACCTGCTACGACCAGTGCGCCGACTGGCACCCAATATGGGCTTCCTAGGCAGACCTGTTCACCGAATTCGTCAAGTCCACCCATATCTGGGCAGTAGCATACGACAGCTGTTGCAACATCAGGAAAGTAGATGCTCTTACCAACCTCCCCACCATCAAACACAATTCGGTCTCCGCGTACCGTTGCCGAGTAGGCGGAGGCATTTGCACGAGTGAGTCCAACTACGCCCACTGTGCGCCCTTTCTCACAGGCCTCCCTGGTGGAGCTGTCCTCCGTAATAATCATCGATGCAAGCCGAATTCCGCCTCCGGTAGTCAGGCCAACGACATTCTCCGGATTGCGGTAGGGCAGCAAGGATCTGGACATCGAAATCTGCCCCACCTGGCCAACCTGCTTTGGAGGAGACGTGGTACTTCCGCCAGGGACGGTAGACGAAGCCGCGAGAGACGCCTCCAGCACAGCAACCTCGCCAACCTTGAACCACTCGCTAGCGTTCTCTCCCCTATAATCCGGTGTGAAACAAATGTCTAGCCAATTGCCTTTTGGGACAAAGGTCGGCCAGTTGGGCAGAGTGTAGCCCTCTTCTGGACGAAAGCGCTTCACATCGGAACGGGGCCCACCATCAATCTGCAAGGCCAAATCTGCTACTGGCAGAAGAAAGCTCTCATGGACGGCATGCTTGCAGCGGTGTTCCGGATGCCAGGCTGGGAAGACCTGTGCCTTCCATGGTTCCGGCTGGCGTGTGAAAATAATGCGTGAGGCAGCCTCGAAAGGGCAGCCGCCGAAAGGACAGAAAACACAGGAGACGAATGGGATGGAGGCGAGGACTCCGGATGAAGAAGTCGCACAGGAGAATTCTCCCACAGGCATCACTGATGCGGTAAAGAGCTGAACGAATCCAACTTGTTGGAAGAATCCTGCGGCTCCGGTGACAAGGTCGCAACCACTTAGCCCTGTACAATAACAAACGGCAGCTGCTCTTGCGGTTTGCGAAAACACCAGTGGCTCGCTAGGTGGCATCGTGACGAGCGAAGCAGAGTCTAGATGAAAAGATCGGTTTCCCTCTTCACATGTCTTGCCTGCACAGAAAGCGGCAGTGTCTGCTGCAGTCGTGCCACACATTGGAGTGTCAAGCGGCAAGGGTGCCCCATCACCGCCATATAGGCCATCGATGCCTCGAGACCAGGACAACAATCCTAGGTCACCTTGCACGCCCTCGATCGGCAAGGCACAGCTGCCATACTCTGAAGCTTTCCCCAGCAAAGCGTGACAGCGGAAAGAGCGAGCAGCCAGGCAGCCAGCCGTCTCGCAGGTGCTGATCAAACCATCGGCAATCAATTCAACATTCACCAGATCCACGTGGTCATTGGAAAAACTACCATCATCTGAATAGCAAAGCTGTGCTCGCCCAGCAGAGTTAAACGGTATGGGGTCCGCGAAAGACGTGTTGATTTGCCTGCTTCCGCGAGAATCAAGCGTTGCGACACCCGAGGCAGACGACAACGGGGCTCCCACCATTTCTGTGCTAAGTTCCATCATGCTGCCTGCAGCACAAGCTCCGGCCAGCACCTCCTCACGTGTAACCGCGGCGCTTATTGCCTTCAGCCGCACGGAGCCAGAATCAATGACCGAAAGCAATGGCAGCTGTAGTGCGATCTTAGTGATTGGCTGGGCTGCACTGAATTTGATACTTTCACCGTCGATGCCTGCTTTCTCTTCACCATTCGCAAAGATTAAGAAAAGACCTGTTCCAGCAGGGAGCCGGGTAGTCACATATGCCTGTACATTCAAGAGCACGTTCAACAAGTCAGCACGGCCGGACGCAAAAGAACCATCGTCACTGAAGCACAAGCGATACATCCCGCCCTGTAAGAAAGTGGCACCCGTGGCCATGTCAGCAGTAAGTGTTGAAACTCCCTGCGCCACGTTTGCTGCAGTGCCCCAGCGGGCTGAAAGTGGAGCCTGCACAACCTGATCACTTACGGGTCCAAGCTGATCAGGCGCACACTCTCCATTTCTGGCCTCATCTTCCGACAAGTACCCGAAAACTACACGCAAGCGACCTGCGGCCACGTTGAAAAGAAAACCTTGAGGAAGGCTGATACTAATACCGTATAATACTTCACCGGCCAGTATATGAAGTTCCTGACCATCAGCTGCAGATGAAGTCTTGCTTCCAAATAGGTGCACAGTCAAGCTTGTGCCTGCGGGCAATATGGATGAAACAAAAGGACTGGTCTGAAGCCGCCTTTCCGCGGAGCTGGGGTCCAGTGGTGAGGCATCCAGTGACTGCGAGGATCCAGTTGCGGATGTCTGAGCCAAAGATGCCACAAGCGCCCACACCAGCACCCCCATTCGGAGGGTCTGTGGCCACCTTTCCATACTGCACGCCACTTAGGCTGCACTGCGGCATCAAACATGGATGCCAACACCGCACATGTGGAGGTGAGGATACTCTACTACGTCCAAGTCTACAAGAAGTTGGAGTAGCACGTCTTGCAAAGAGCATGTAAGTGGATGTGAGGCTTGACAAGCCCGAAAACACTCCTGCTTTGCAACAGCGTGTAGCAATTAACAAATCTTGCTCGTTGTGAGTTCCTTCTGCTTGCGCTACCTACAGCAAGCAAGAGGCGTAGAGAAACAGCCACCTCTTTACCAAACAGCCTCTGCCACTAGCTAGTTCTGCTCACTACGTACCGTAGAGCGTAATATTTCTTGCTGCGGCCGGGCTAGAGTTTCGCAGTTGCGACCTCGTGCTCAAAGCCCCTTTGCATGACGCCATGCCAGCTGATTCTGTCAGGACCCTTGCACTGTGTTCCGACATATGCCGAAGGCATCAAGAGCTCGAAAAGTTTCAAGAGGACGCAGGGCATGCAGTCCGGCTGCCAGATCAGGACCAGCACTGGGTTCATGTCTATTGTACTATGCATGGCTGCCGGAGGAGCGCTTGGAAACACCAAACATGTGAATTCTTGCGCTGCATCCTGCCCCGGACGCAACAACCTCACCATGGGCTATAGCATACCAGGGATTCGGCATTACTTTGAGGAGCCACGGGTGCAGCGTTGTGTTCGGGTGAGGAAACATGCCTCTATATATACAATCAGATGCCGCAGCATCTTCTCGGCTCCTGATAAAGATGGGAAGGCATGCCGAAGACTTTTCTTGGTCCATGGCCTTGCCTGGACTATCAGATTAATAGCGAGGGGATGGCACGCTGCTGTTGCCATCCCATGTCCCATCGTCATGATAAGCCGGCAAAGTAAGGAACGTACAGCTTGCCTAGTCTTGAGTAATCAACCGCTCAATTGGCCTGCTCGGCTTCTCGGAGTTAGCAGTTTACATAGTACATGTTGTTCAGGATGCCGCAGACCTTGGAAATGTGCATCGCGCCGGCCGGGCTTGTTATCCACTCCGAACTAAGCGCGGAAGCTTGAAAAAGCTCAGGATAGCTCAGGTCACGGCGACGGTGTTCATGAGGACAGCTTAGCCCAAGCCTGGCCCATGCGCCGCTGTCAACAAAGCGACTTGAAACGACTCGGCTGCGTTGACAACTTCCGGCCATTTCATAAGCCAGAAGCAAACATGCAAGACAACGAGTGCAAGTCTGCCTCGCCCGCTCACTTATACACTATACACCCGGGCCTTCCGCATACGCCAAGACATCAGCATTGGACACCTGGCTGCGGAACCTGAGTGAGCTCTTACGTCTAAAGACGGGCTCGGTCGGGGCATGCCAAGGGCTCTGCGGAGAGCAATGCCTGATCTGGGAAGAATCCTCCTTGCCATTGCTTCTCGGAACAAAAACCGGACCTCCAACAGTTCCGCGGGTCAAAGGCTGTGTTTCTACCCTCAGTCCTGGGGCAACGGTCGGCCCGCGAAGGAAGCCTGCGGGCAATCTGATGCGCCTAGAATCTACCCCCAGGCCTTCTTCAAGTTATTCGAGCACACTCGATTCACACCAGGATCGCGGCACGTCCAAAGTGTGGATTCTCCGCTTCGCGGAGAGCCTGCGATATTGGCATGGTTTCCGGTGACGACATGTTGCCTCCCCCGAAGACAAGAAATGCCGCCTTTTCTCGAGCTGCGGCCTGTGGGTCTTCCAGAACACCCAGATGCTGGCAAAGACAACTTTCAGCATCCAAGAAGCAGAATTGCGTGCACAAAGGTCGGCAACGCGCATCGCTGCCTCAGCCGCTGGAAAGAACCACCACTCGATGACGAGACGACTTGCAGTGCAACACCCCTCGCCTCCCAAGCTACCTCGTCCATGTCAGAGCCTATCAAGACTGGTTCGATCCAAGACAAGTGCTGAACCAGGTCAATGCCTTCACAAGATCGAGTTCGGCAAGCTTTGAAAGGAGTCTGTCTCCTCCAACGCGAATGCCACACAACCGACACCGGGAGACTTTCCCATACCTCCCACACTGGTACCTTGCACCAACACCTGTGAATTCACTTTCCCTGGATGCGTCTCTGTTGAAGGCTTTGGTGAAGCTCCTGAAGAGCTTCATCTCCTGCCCGTCCTTAAACCAAGAGGCTCAAACTCTCAATGACAGACGCCTGCTGCATAACTCCCTCTCAGATGTTGGCCAGCTGGAGAAGAGCAGCATTGCACCTGTTGTCGCTTGCCCGAGTAGCATTAGAATTAAAAGAAGATTCGATCATCGATTCACCGACAATCTTATCGACATTGATCCTGCAGTTCAGGCAGGGGCGGGGGTTTACAAGCCTCCCTCTGCAGAGCTCCTCTGCAGCGCCCACATTCAGAGTGGGGAAATCTGAAGCCAGTGCCCCACTGAACCAACACGGTAGCACACCTGACTGTGGGCACGACCTGAAGGTTTCTGCCACGGCACAAGAACCGGGCTGCACATACCATCAATGCAGCCGCCAGTACAGCGGCGGTGTCCTTGAAAGTCGGAGTTCGAACCATGTTGACAACAAGCCGTCTGTCTGTAACCCCGTTCCTAACAGCATACGAGCCAGACAGACTCCATCGATTCTCCGAGCATCTCCATACAGCTCGCTTGGCGTCACCATGGCAGTGAACATCAGGGCGAGGCCATGTTCGCCATCCCCCCCAGTGGCTCCCCAACGCTGCAGTGGCCGGATGCGAGGTTGCGGGAGAGACAATGTCCCAAGTGACAGGTGTGTCTAGAGATCGCTGCACTCTGCGATTGAATTGCATGGAGCACCAAACAATTTCGGCTGATATGTCCATTCCGCTCTGTTTTTGAACTCGCCTCAGCCAGGCTCTACAGAAAAACGACAGAACGGTATATTCGAAAGCATTCAGTGTCTCAGGGGGTTGGGGAGTGGGCGCGGCTTTGAATGCCGCTTCCAGCGCAGTCAGCTGAATCGCACGCTGCTTTAAAAGTCTTCACCAGCTTCCGGATTTTCACGGCATCCAAGGCCTTCCAGAGCCACAGGCCCAAACGAACTCTGGTGTGCATCTCACTTCTCAACGGCCAGGCGCTGCCAGCGTCCTTCATCGGGCCTGGAGCAGACATTAATTTAAAGTCCTTTGCCACCGCCGCAACACAATCGAGGTCATGACCAGCGACATTTCACGTTTTCCTTTTCGACCTTATGGACGGTTATCGACGTGTTGCTAAGAGGGCACATGTCACTAGGTGGCCCACATCCAGCACGTTGTCTTGATGCCCTCTCAGGAACACGATGTCGCCTTCGACGCTGCTCACTGTGGGAGGAAGCATTGCGTTAGGAGACTTGAGCACGCCTGTGCGGATAGGCCCACTGCCGCCTTCACTGGTAATCCTCACAGTCTGCGGCGTCGGGTGATGAGCACTATAATTGTTCCCACTCACGCACAGGCTTTGCTACGCTCTCGGGGTGAGGAAACTTGTTACAATGGTCTATGAAAATGAGCCGCAGTCCTAATCTTCTGCCAATCTCCGACTTCGGTGTAGCGTGCCTGAGCCACGACCAGGACCGGAAGTGAAGGGCATACCATCTGCAAAGAGGTGCTTGGGTTCCGCTCCCGAACGGCCGTACCCACGAAATCCAGGTAAACCTCACGAGGAGATGACGCGGAAGTTCAGGTTTCCGTTGCTTCTCAGAAAATCTGAGACCGCTGGCACCGAGGTGGCACTTCAGTGTCACGGTATCTCCTTCCACCGAAGCAGAGCTCATTGTGTGCACCGATCACGTGTCCCCATCACGACCTCCTATCAGTACTGTCCTCAGAAACCCTTCGAAAAGAACCCTTCAGAAGGATCATCGGTCGGAGGTCTCAGCTTCAGGGATGCTTCACACGGGCACGCAGGCGCCTGACTGAATGGCCCCGCCTTAGAAGCGGTTCAACGGCTTCTGCTCAAGCGTGCCAAGTATGCAAGAGCCCTTGCTCTGGCCTCCACTCTTCTGGATAACTAAAGCCTTCCAGGATCTTGCTGCACTGCAAGGAAAATCCGGAGATGCAGAGACACTGATACAAATGTCGATCTGAGGGAGCAAACTGTCATCCCAGCGCCGCTTCGTTAGACAAGGCTTTGCCGAATTTGCAAAAGCACGAATGACAGAAGCCTGTCGCGGCCCTTTGATCTCTGCTCGTGCTCTTGGATCCTCCAGATCTGTCCCACGCAGACCCGTCGTTCGTGTCAGAGAAATGAGAGAGCCGACCCTCCGTCCTCCCGGTGCTCTGGATATTCCAGATACTTGCCGGTTCTCGCCAGAAAGTAAATTGTGTCGCCTGCTGGCTGCAAGATCACGCGACCAGCCACACAACGACAAGCAACATGGAAATTGCTGTTGATTAGAAGAGTTTGCACTGCATCGACCTAGCCTGAGATGATCGGCTTCCCCGGAGGACCCGAGATGTCAGTCGACTCGATGTAGCCACTTGGCGCACCTTGTCGTACTCGAGCGCAGGAACTCATGCGGAAACTGGAATGAATTTGCGCAAGGATCTTGACCCTCAGCCCGTGTATGCTGAGAAGCGCAGCTGCAAGCAGCGTGTTTGGCTTCTCTGCCATCGAAAGCCAGGCCATCTGCTTATGTCGCGAAGCACCCTGACTGTTTGCTAAGGTTGCCGCTGCGTCTCGGCTTCCTGGCAAAGGTCTCAACCCGAAGCTGCACTCCCTCTTTGACTCTGACAAGAACTTAAAGTTCGTTCGATTTAACATGCCAGCTCTGCAGCGTTGCCGGCGACTCCGATGCTGTCTCGATGTCCTCCTCTTCCTCTTCCTCCCCTCGCTCTTCCTCTTCGCTGGCGACTCCGGACTCCTGGAAAGAGAAGGCAGCAAGAAACGCAGACGCAGGCGTCCTTCCTGCATCTCGGATCCTCCGCAAGGATGCGAGCAATCAGCTCGGCCTGGCTGAGCAGTTCTTGGAGTTAGGGTGGACCTTGAAAAGAGGAGGGCGCAGGCGGCGCGGGCGCCTTCTTGCCGCTGACAGGCAAAGATTTGGATCTGCAGATCTCCTTCAGCTCGGTGAGCTTCATCGCATCCAGCTCACCTGCTCGGACTCTCCTCCACGCAGGATAGGTCGAAGCAGGCAAGGCGCCTGCGGTCGCCCTCAATGCGATGTGAGATCTTGGGCCTGCGCGCAAACTTCCAAGCATTGGTCAAAGGCACTGAGACTTCCCTGAGCTCAGAGAGCGGCGATTGCTCCTCAGCCTTGCTCTCGCTTCAAGCTTGAAAGAGCAAGAAGAGATCTCTGAGACCGAAAACTGCGGATGCTGCATTTGGGTGCTCTGAGCGACAAAGGACACACCCTGCAAGGCGACTCTTCCTTCTCCGATCCACTAGGGCTAATTATTGGAAAGGTTCGCCGCCTTCGAGAGCCCATGGCAACCCGAGCAGCACCAAAAAACGGAGGCGATGACGGCCAGTGCCTCACACGACTCGAGACGAAATCGAAAGCTCCGCTCCGCGCCCCGAGCGCCTTCGCTGCCGCCGCTGCAGGCCTGGGCCATTGCTGGTTACCAGTACGGCGGTACGGTCGTACACGTCAAAACGAACTTGCCCTGAAGCGGAGTGCATTTATGTAACTTTTATGCGGAGGTGCTGCGACATCGCTCAGCAATTTCTAGACCATTATGATGCAGATCTGGCAGTATGCGACAAGGCCTTGCTACAGGTCTGCGAAGCATCTGCGGCACTGCCTGAAGACGAGATCACACAAGTCAGGTCCGAAACAATCCGATGGTAATCCACAGGCAGGCTGGTGCGTCGAGGCACAGTATGCCCGGACATGGCCGCGCAGGCAGCGAATGAAAAAGCTTAATGTCAAGACCAGCGTGGTTTGGCTGCGAACTTCAGGTAGAGGTTGGGATGGACTTTGGAAGTCCAGTCTCCGTGTCTGAAGAATTTGCAAACTTTCCATAGGTTTGGTCTTGGGACATCAGTTGCACAGACTGAAGGAAACTCGAGCCAGCAGGCACATGGTCGTCATCGCATATCGCATACGTGTCCTGTCGCACTATGCATGCCAGCATGCAGCACCTAGGCACGACAGAAGCGCCACATTCTGGTTGTCTGGGCAGAAGCTGGGGCTTGACAAGTCCAATTGCAGAGCATCTTGCCGGCCCAAGCTTTCAGGAATCTGACAGCCGACCACTGCGAGTGACGTCTTAAGCCCTTTCGGGCACCGGCAGCTCGACATTGACCAATTTCAAATTCTGGAGCAGTCGCTCCGCTACAGCAAGCAACCTATCGACGACCCATGACCTTACTAGGTTCGAGCTCTTGAACGGACTCCAAGAAACCGACCTCATTCCCAGTAGGTGACGCAGTTGCTTGCCGAGTCCGCGTGCACACGCATCAAAAAACATGCTGCCTTGTTCAGGTGAATCTTGGCCTGCGTAGCGCTCTGCACTGCACTGCACTGCACTGCACGCACCCTGGAGCAGAACCACAAACAAGGGCAGATTCCGAGACACGGAAGCGGATTGGAAGCGGCCTTGACCCAGGCCTAGGCTCGCGCGTTGCGCCGCAATAACAGCTCTGCTGCGCTGAGGATCCGGCGCTGGCGGCGGGGCGGCGCTCCCGGCGCTCGCGCCTCGGAGGCATCGACAGCGCCGAGGAAAGAGAGAAGAAGCAAATGCAGCAAGCTGTGTTCCTCAGCCAAGCAGCTGCTAAAGCGGGCTCCGCTAAGCGAGGATCGGTTCGCGAGCCCTGCCAGGTGCCGCCAAGGCTTTCAAGGCTCCGTGCTCTGACGTGCTCTGACGTGCTCTGACGTGCTCTGACGTGCTCTGACCTGACGGCGTGTAGACCGGAGCCGCCGGTGTTGCCGGTGCCGCTGGTGCTGCCGGTGCTGCTGGTGCCGGCCTTCGGGCCCCACATCGCTTCCCAATGCATGGCAACACAGTGAGCGTAGCATCAGGGCATGCCAGACATGCGGCAGAAGCGCATTTTTTCTGCTTAGGATGATCAAGTCTTGGCAACAGCCTCTGTTTTTGGCACGGCTCGCTTTTCGCCCAGATTTACACTGCGGCCGAGCTGTGCAAGTGAGTTAAGGAGTGGATTGCTTCGGGTCTTAGCGAAGCAACCTAGCGGACAAGAGCCGTGCCTGCGCTCGAGACACTATCCTTTGCAGCATGATAGATACACTCTGCATACGTTGCATTCTAATCCACCAGAATACTACTGTCACTAGAACAACTCTCACGACAGACGCTCCTAATTTGCTCTGCAAACAAGTTCTATTGCCGGCACCCGGCACTCAAGTCCACAGAGACCCCTGCATGCAGGAATCTCTCTGTTTCGTCAAAGGTTAACCCCTCAGGCTGCGGTGTTTCCATGCTTGCCTGCAATTCAAATCAGCCTTGCAATGCCACACCCAAGAACTAGGTGGAGACAAGGCGGGGACCTTCTAACCTATACTTGCGGACACAACACAGGGTTGAGGGCAGTCAGTTAGCTTTACTCTTGGGACTGACGTACGTGGGCCGAGCTTGTCTCCGATCGTCACAGTCACAAGTTTGAGACCTATGGCACAATGGGCGTTTCGCATACGGTCATCAAACGAAGTCAAGGAATAAGTCAGTTCCCACTGACACAGGCTCCAGTGAAGTGTTTGGCACCCTGCCAAACAGCTCAAACGAGCTGAGTCTTCTCTACGGTGAGTTCACTGGAGGCCTGCTCCCGCGGAAGCTGTCGAATTTTGTGCACAGTCAAAAGGACCCACGCGCAGTGCCATACGTTGTGGCTCAGATGCGCAGTCTGTGCAGGACCCGATGCCACTGTAAGGTCGAAACAGACGCTGCAACTGGAACACTGCGACAGTACGCGAATGTAGTACGTGGAAGTATAGAAAGAAGATCAGCACCGTCCAAGGTGCTATGCGCGACATCTGAGCAAAGGCCCGCAGCGCTGTTTAAATCTGATGCACTTTGGTTGACCAAACCAAGAGCACTCATAATATAAATGGATGGGATAAATCCGGTTGCCCAACTGTACGGAGGCACCGGCACCATCCAAACCCCAATTCCCGATCATTGATGCAGCACTCTGCCTGAATTGCCAGCGGTTACCGCTGCCAGGCAGTTAGCTATGGTGTCACTTGTCAACACTACTGGACATCAACGGCCGGCTCAGGAATGGTCAACCTCATGACGCTTCCCATCTCAACACCTGCGTCCTTCAAACTCTTGCTGCCGGTAATGAGCCTGCCCCGAAAGGAGAGTGTTGGCAGCGGACCTTCCCCGAATCCACAAAGCTTGGCGGCTTCCGCTGTTGCCTCTGCAGCTGATGTGGAAAGATGCACGTCGTAGGGCCGCATCTCTCCAGATGTCGTCCGGATGAAGACTCTGGCTTTCCGTGGAATTTGTGCCGATTTCGACACGACTACCATCTCGATCTTGCTGCCCTCAGTCACGCCGCATTCGCTCATTGTAGCTTTGCCTTCGTGAAGCTGCACTCCGGCATGATGAAGCCGCATGTCCTCGGTTTTGGCGTTGCCAAGGCGACAATCCTTGATGTACTCCTTCAGATCCTTCACGGTGTCGGAAGCTTTCACTGACAGCACCTCATGAGCTCCGTCCATTGTCGAGACCTTGACGTGGATGGAGTCACACACCGAAGTTGCTGCTGTGGATGGTTCGGTGGGGACTTGGAAAGGCATTTGGTTCACGTAAACACATCCCGGTGCCATCGCTGCATATGGCGGATAGTAGGTCATGGATGGCATGCTCATCATCACGCAGATGCTCATGGCTGGGAAACAACGTCCTCTCTTTCGAAGGCGATATCGAGAGGATCGCTCGCTCTCTCTCTTATCCTGCTTGACTCGTAGTGCAAGTGCCTGCGGTTGATGAAACATTGCCAGGAACACAGGAACCGACGAAGGACTGGCACAGCGCCCGAACACGACTTGCGCCTGGCCGGTGCAGCCGGTGCTGGTCGAAACTCCGAGGGTCGAGAGGCCGTCGACCGTGTTGTGGCCTCATAGCCCGAAAGGAATCACATGGTGAGCCCGCTTTGGCTCACTAGATGAGAGTACTAGATCCAGCACTGAGTCTTCTAGGCAACACCAGCACGACCAGCGGTAAGGTGCAATGTGCTCACAGAGCAAACGCCGAGGACCACGCAACTCCAGGACCTTGGTAGTGTTCGCGGGTGACTACTGAGTACCGACACTCACTGGGAAGTCATGAAACAACTATTACTGGTCGGGACCACATTTCAAGGACGGGGCTTGCAACTCGCGGCCTTTGACAATCATGAGACATCGAGACGCAATGGAGGTACTCATCAGCTTGCTGACACTGCTCGACGACATTTTGCGTGCACTGCAAACAACAGAACAACCACTTAAATGCTCCACGTTCAGCATGCCTCGTTGGAGAAACGGCAGGCGGTGCCCCAACTCCTTGCTTGCCAGATTCGAACGATTCCTACAAATTCACATGGCTCGATACTGCTGTGCACGACTCACGTATGCTTGGGCGGCATATGCACACGTGCGAATGCCATCGAATTTGAACGTCTACCCATTCAGTGTCGCGCCTCCAGGCCCGGAGCCAGAACGCGTGGAAGAGCCCCTGGGTGGAAAGCAAAAAACAACCATGGTGCGTTGTGGCAGCAACATGCCTTTGGCTTTTGGCATGTCAATGTAAGAAGCTGAGGCAAGGTCAGTAGCGAAGGCCGCCCTCCCACTCCCTTCAGCAGCATTGGAAGCACCGTCGCTCTGCCGAGCACCCGAGCGGCAGAGTTATTAAAACTGAGCGGGGCACGGGTCTGCTCAGTGCACTCGATGGGGCCTTGACTGCAGCGACAGTCATCGCATATGCGATGATGCTCACGCGGTGTTCCGTGTCAGGCACATCCCGGGTGCCGGGCGGGAGGCGGTCCCACTGGCCCTCCTGTACCAGCAGAGACGCTGGTCCTCGGCAACGCATGTTTCCATGAACAACCATATCAAGAGGCTTGCACCGTCTGTCCTGGTTGATGGGGAAGGTAGTGGAGGGCCCACCTGAGCTTGCTTTATGGCATTCTCATGGGAAAGCGCTAACTGCGTAAGGGGCACCCCAGGTGGTGCAGGCGGCGTGGTGGGGCCTGGCAAGGATGCTAGCGGATCCCATGACCTGGCCGCGAAGGCTCTGCCTGGAGGCACTGGAGGGCCTCTCCCAACAGACCTTTGATCGCGTTCACAACCAAGCCAACGGCTAGGCCTCTGAAGCTTTGGTTGCCTACGGCCCAGGCACAGGAGGAGCTGGCTGCGAAACCTGGGCGAACAGTCATTGACAACGTCGTCCAACGAGCCGCAGCAGTTGTGTTGCCAATGGTGCTTGGTGCCAGGCAATGCGCGGAGCAGCTGGTGCAGACGGTGCAGACGGTGCGGCCGGTGCAGCTGGGCTGGCCGGCGGGAGAGGTGCCCCTGTGAGGCGAATGAAACTGAAATTAGAATTCTTCCTCTGTCTTGAGCTCCGGCGGGGCCTGGCGCCGTTCCAGCCCTTGCAGGAGAGAGGCGCTGAGAGTCATGGGCCACAGTTGAGGAAGCGGCCACGGTCCTTGGAGGTCCTGGCATCCCCGGTGCGGGTGGGCCAGGCATCGCCTGAGCTGTTCAAGCAGACCCATCCTCATCTTCTCTAAACTCCGAATGCAATCACATCATGTGAATCATGTGTCTTTCCGCCCCTCAGCGTTGGGCCACACGGGGTGCTGCCGGTGCCAACGGAGCGCCGGGTGGGGTTGGTGGTGCTGGAGCGCCCGGAGAGGTGCCTGGAGTCGAAGGGGGCTTTGGACCCGTGGGTGCAGTTGGACCCATTCGTGGAGCAGCAGCACCTGGAGCACCTGGAGCTAGAGGCCCTGGTGCACTGGGAACTCTGGGCGCTGCAGGGGGCAGCGGCGCACCGGGCCCAGGTGCAGGAGGTGCACCGGGAGCCGCAGGTGGAACCGGTGCTCCGGGTGCTGCTGGAGGCACACGCGGTGCGGGTGCCGACACAGATGGAAAGGCTGGTGCAGGCACGGTCGGCGTCGGTGCTGGAGGTGAAGGTGCAGCAGCAGCCCGGGGAGCGGCAGGTGCTGCAGGTGCAGCGGGAGGCACAGCGGGAGGCACAGAAGGAGGCACAGAAGGAGGCACAGCTGGCGCAACTGGTGCTGCAGGAGCAGCAGGTGGCAAGGTCGGCCTCAGCGTGCCATGGAAATGTCGACAGACAGTTTGGGCCTACACTGTCAGAAGAAGACGTCCTCTTAGTCCCTGACTGGTGAACGCCAGGTGCTGCTGGTGGAACTGGCGCAGGTCCCAACGGCCTGGACGCATGGACTGCCAACGCACAGTTTCGATGGCTGCAATGCCCAAACAATCTGTGAGCTACTTCGTCATGTCATGCGCGAGGTCTGCCTGCATAGGCTGTGCTGGCTGATTTCTCAGGCTGAGACGACACTCTGTCAAATCTCAACACCAATGCCAGTCCTGTGAACCCACTGAGATCCCAGGCTGCGCTGCCAAAGGTGCCAGAGGAACCGCGGGTGGGCTCGCTGGCGGCACAACTCCGGGCCTTCAGTGCGAAAGAAACAAGACTCCCACATGCACGTATTGCACGATCACAAGCTGCCCGTGACATCTCGAAGGATGAATGCACGGTACCACGGTTGCTGAATCATGAACTGTGAAGCTTGAAATAAGATGTAGTACAGCATGAAATTATAGCGGCTTCTGGTGGTAAAAGTTGCCTGCACAGACGGACGCTTCCGATCTGGTGTGTATTTTGAACAATGGATCCGCTTTTTCGCAGGCCAGCTGGCTCCAATGAGAGTAAAATTGATACCTTTGTTTTCGACAGATTCGAGCTGCAATCACCGTGTGTAGGATAGCTCCTAGGCATCAGAACGACCCGGGCAGGTGCAACGATGCCCCTGCATGCTTGCAAACTCTCTCTAACTACACTGAGGGCTGCACGGGGGCACTGCTGGAACGGCCGGAGCGGTCTGCAGCAGTGACGATGGCCTCGGTTCACCGCCCGCCTGGCTTCCTCAAAGCTTTGCCACGTTTGTCAGAGCCGCGCAGGTCGGGCGCAGGAGGCGCTGCCGGCAGCGGCATCGTTGCGTTCAGCGTGGGCCGCTGCGGTAGTCGGCTTGGGCCTCTTCGGCAAGCGAGATGGGGCCCCCAGTGCAAGAGACGTGTCCCTTTCTCGTATGCAAATGCCTCGTGCCGACCGATCAAGCAGCGAATTCAGTGCTGCTCGATCCTCACGAACAAGTTGCTGATACTGAACATGCTTCTGCGTACGGCCCAAGAGCAAGCCCGCTGGGCAGCACACGCTCTGCGGCGATGGAGTCAGCCCGCGCCTGAGCTGCGACATGAGTCTGCAAGAGGTGGCACCTGGATTGAAACTGCCATCTGAACAGACACATGCACATCAAACCTTGTGCATGCCGCGACCGCGGCATACGACAAAGCACGCACATCCTTTTTCCTTCGCAACAGGGCACCACACCGGCACGGCGACATGGAAGCTTCGGGCGCTTGTCGTCGGACGACACGTGGCTCAGTCTTCTGGATGGAGCTCTGCATGCGGTGAGGACAGTGTCCTCGGACCAGCTGTGCTGCTTCAGGATGCTCCGGATTTGCAGGTTTGCAGGACCTGCGAAGCTGCCGCATGGACAGCATCGCGGTATCGTCTCGTCTCCGGAAGTCACGGTGCTCCAGCGGTTCGCAGTCGCCTACTTGATCATTGCACTGGCCGACGGACGAGTCTAGGAGGCAGGAAGACTCGAGATTCTTTTCTGCAGCCAGCTGATGTCTGACATCACTTCCTGCATCAGTCATCACAAGAACTGCTCGCATGCCTCGTGACGTCAGTACCCTGAGTACCCTGGGCCTCCATCGAGGGATCAGCAAAGTCTGCCAAGAGCCTCTCCAGCACCTGCAGAATGGCCTCAGGAGATTCGGGGCGAGCGCTGAGCCTTAGAGGCTGAGCCCTAGGCTGCTGGCCTGGTATCGTGGGAGCACTCCCGTCACAGCAGGGGCGTAGGAGAGCGCCAGCAGCAACTTCCGAAGACAAACGGGGCACATGAAGCTGCTTCTGCCAGCAGAGTCGTGTGGTCCGTTTGACCCGTTCATCACGCAATGGAAGTAGACGCAGTGAAGGATTCCAAACCTTAGCAACACCAAGGCACTGCACCACTCGAATCTGATGTGGTCATCCTTTCATTCTTTGCTGTGGGAGCCTCTTCAGCTCAGGAGCATGTGGCACGTCTCATGCACCATGGTTCGCATGCCTTGGGCACCACAGCGGGCATCAGCGGGCATGAGGCTCCAGCGCCCAAAACTGCCAAGCAGCAGGCACGGAGCCAAACCGCTTGTTGCTCATGCGAGGCAGATTCCTTCACCTCGCAGGATGCAAGCCGGGTCTTCTGGCGATTCCTCTCATTCGGGGAGCGCCTGCGAAGCATGCAAACCGTTGTAGAAGAACGGTGAGTGCCGCGCGAAGGAGAAAACACCTGAGAACTTGCACGCGAGGTGTGTCAGTGGTTCGCTTGTCATAAGATTGCATCAAGACAAGAAAGCTCTCGTTAATGATCACCTGGACCCTTGCTAACTGTCGTCCAAGGATGTGGTGGCTTGGCTGAGATAAATGCTAGGACATGTGGAAGTCAGAACTTGGCTGGGAGCTCTTGCGGAAAGACGTATTGATGTCATAGGCGGACGGCTGACGGGCACGGATCCGAACAATTCCAAACGAGTTGCCAACCCTCTCCATTGGCTTGGCCTGCCCGAAGACATAATTCCACTCCTCGCCCGGGTAAATGTCTTCCATGGTGATGCCCAAGCGACAGTACGCCTTTCGATGGGATCTTGTTTCAGAGTGGAGTGCATCGAACAAGTCTGCGATCAAGTACTGCTCATGCATGAAGTCGTTCATCCTCTTGCGCATCTTTGCCAGAGACCTGCAGCAGCAATGGACACAGCAACAGCAATGTGTCATTGCACCGAGTTGGTATGTTATGTAAGGGCTTTATACTTCAACAATCCTGGGCGATCGATCTTGCTTGCTTGGGTACAGGGGCTTGTCCAGCACGTCCACTGTCATACCAACGAAGAAGGCCGTGCAATAGTCAATCAGGTAGCTCAAAAACTTCACCGCGATACCTTCACTGAAACTGTGGCCAATCGGAACCAGCAGTATCGTGTCAGTATGCTTTGTTGGCGTCATCGGCGGCTTCATGCGGCGGCTGTAAGTCGTGTAGGTCTGCCCCGTCTCTTTCTTCTCTGCCAGCCAATCTCCTCGCCGCGGCTTGCCCAGTGGCTTGAAGAATTCAAAGTTCGGAGAGCCTCAGTCTCGGCAATCTTAGGTCGTAGGGTCTGCAACGATGGCACAACAGAATGCTCTTTCCGGGCTCTGCGATAAGGTGCCAAAGGAAAATCCAAAGTGCCAAGGCTGCCAATCCACAAGCAAAGCGTGTGATTGGATCCACCTCCTCTTCAACTTTGCCTGCTGCCGAAATGCATTCCTGCAAGACTGAAGCTGACAATGAGCTGAGGATGGCAAGCCGGTTCAGCTGAAACGGTTACAGCCGAGGCAGTCCTCGATGGATCTGAAAGTTGCAGTTCTTGCCGTCGAGGATTTGGGGGCCATGCCCTTGACAGTTTCTCAACAATTCCATCCTTCGCTTGAACAAGACATATACTTGGCAAGGCGTTTCTCAGCGGCTGCGGAAGCTGTGGTGCTGTGTCATTGTCAAGTCACTGTGCCGGCAAAGACCTGCCAAGCCTCGCACACACTTGCAGCGGGCGATGCTGCTTGGCCACGTCTCAGAAGGCTCTGGCAGCAGGTGCAGCAGCTTCTTGCAGAGTCCAAACATCAACAGGCAGCGTGCAGGTTGTATTGCAGGCAGACCCACGCTGTTACAACCAGCCGGCTGACCATCAAAGGCTCCTTGCCAGTGCGAGGAGGCGGAAGCGAGCGAGCCTCCGGATGTCAGACGCTCAAAGCAGCCGCTAGAAATTGGAAAAAGGAGACGGTGCTTGCAAGCAAGTCGCTCGAGCAGTGTCCGAGGAGAAGCTGCCGGTGCCCTACGAGCTGAAGCGGAGTAAGACGGGATAGGAAAAAGCGAGAGTTCCACCGGGGCGCGGACGCCCGCCAGCGCCATGCCCGGGAGTGTGACCGGCGCCGGATAGGTCGGATAGGGCCTTCTGCACGATGCTTTAGGGCCAGCATGATGTAAAGATATGTAAAGCATCTCAGGGCGCTGCAGTGTTTGTGCAAATGCACCAGGGCCAGCTTGAGTAACCTTCATGCACATCGTGCAGCATCCACTCTGAAGCATTGAAAGCCGCTGTTCAAGAAGAGTTGCTGACTCAAGGAGTGGATGACTTAAGGACACAATCGAGGCAACCAAACACGCTTAGGAGACCGACCACACTCGGCATTGTTGACTCAACGGACCTTGCAGTGTGGAATGTCTAGAGCCGGCCCATGCAGTTCTGGATGCAAGTGAGCTTCAGACACAAAAGGGTTCATGGCTCGTGCTACCTCCACGTAGCCACGGGTACCTGCTACCTCAAGAACAACATGGCTGGTGCTGCTTGCAAGCGCCTCACCGGCGATGCCCAGCACTGCTCAAAAGCATCGGGCCTGGAAAGGGGTCTCGTTGCGCTGGTTCTGCACGTTTGGCGAAGCCTGCAAAGCGTTGCACAGCCAAGGTGCAAGCAAGAGATGTCAAGGCACTCCAAACCTGTCGTGTCAAGAGAGCGTGAACCACCGAGAGATGGCCACCTCCTGCAGCAAAATGAAGAGCCTCACTCTTTTCGACGCAACAACGACACCTCGTCCTTTGGAAGTGTTGGAAGAAGCTGGGGCGCAGGCTGTATTTCCGGAGCTGTCGACTGCCTGCACCCTCAAAGCAAGCCACTCGTGGCACAGTCGTCGCAGACACTAGAGTGCAACAGACGCAACTATGCCGCGGTGCGCCGATTCTCTGTCGCTTAGGCTCCAGCTGTGCTTTTGCACGCAGCAGACACTCAACAGTCCGTGCTTTTCCTGCGTGAACAAGTGATGTCGTGGGTTTAGGGCTCTGTCTTTGCTTTGAGACCAGCGCCGGGCCTTGCAGGGCTGCAAGGAGCAAAGGTAGCAAGCCGTCTCCTCGCCGAGCCTGGCAGATACTTCAGCCACCTGCGGATTTTCGCAGCGCTTATGGTGCGACTCGCACCTCAAGGGAAGTGCCAGGATTCTGAGCCAAAGTCTCCACCACCTCGCCAGGTACAAGCACTCCTAATACTCTGTTCCACTGCACCAATTCATAGTCTCACCGTTGTGGCCTCATGCCCATCCCCGAGGGTGGTCGCCAAATGCATGGGTGTCTCCTTCCAGGCGCCGAGGCAGCTAGTTGTGGCACTCGACAGGCTGAGGCCCCAAGGCCCCAGCACCCTGGTTGTCCGGCGTGTCTGTCTGTAGCCTCGGCTCTGTACGAGGGACTCCCACTTCTCTGATGAACTGCGGCCCAGGTCGCGTTGGTCTGCCGGCCACTCCGACCAGCAGCTTCAGTGCCGCGACGCGGCCTGACCCACGCGAACGCTTCCCTCCTGGTCTCCGATTTCCCACATCCCGTCTCCGATCCATCGCCTCCCTGAACAGCTCGGTGCACAGGCGAGCGGCCTCAGGGCAATGTTTCCTTGTCAAAACATCTCAGAAGCATATTCTCAGCAGCGAACCCTCCTTGTTCAGCGTCAATGTGACAACCTGCAGCAACACACGTCTTTGCACCTCACAGAGATCCGTGACCTGGGCCTAAGGACCCGGGCTCGGAGCTGCATCATCACGTCCAGCCTGGGAAGGTATCTGCAGGCTGACACCTCTCGCAACGAAGCGAGGCTTCATAGCTGAGCCCTTTACACTCCTGTGCGACCGTAGAATGCAGCAAGGTGAACCGGAGTGTCCTCAAAGCAAAAGCTTCCAGTGATTCCAGTGAGGCTTCGTCAGACTGCAACACAAACCAGCACGTGCATGCCAGGGCTGCCACGCCATCTTTGTCAGGGGCATCTGAACTTGCTCCATACTGCATCAAAGTTCCAGCAAAATCCTTAGCCACATGGATGTCACTGCAACATGGTCTGCCAACGAATCACGAGCGTGAGTGAGGCATGAACGTAGTTCCCAGTTGCTGCAGAAGCGTGGAGCGGCCTGCACATGTTGTGTCACAGCCTTCCTCCCGAGAGGCTTCAGAACAGGCCAAAGGAACGTCCGCTGGTCCCGATTGCGAGCTTCCAGGGGCGCCTCGATGCGGTGGCCAATCTTCCAAGGTTCGGGCGTGCACAGAGGGTGCAAGGAGGGGCAGGGCAGTGAAGGGCCGTTCACGGTTGACATTGATGTCTTGGGCGCCATGCGCGACACGACACGAGCCGTTCGCACAGAAAGCGCCGTCCACATCTTGCAGCCTCCAGACGACAGGGCCATACATGTCTACTGCGGAGGTCGACGGCACTTGCCATCCATCCATCCACTTATCCATGTACATGAAATAGATGCACGTGCTTCAGGCGGCAAGACTTAGTTCATGTGAGGGATGAAACTGCAGCTGGAATCATGCACACAGCAAGAAGCTCTGATAAGCCATTCGCAGCTAAAGGCCACATGCAAGGCGTTCAAAGAGGGGTCCCAGTGCCTCCAATGATCCGCCTCTCCGTCCAAAAGAACGGAAGGCAGAGTCTTAAGGTCTTAAAGGCCCAGAGTTGCTGCTTTCTAGACTTCCACTCAGCCGCGTCAATGCGTTCTGCCTCGCGTGCTTGTAAACAGGGTGGCAAGCCGCTGGCGATCTAGCCCCTGAAAGTTTCCAGCCTCATGCAGCGGCGAGTTGCCACCTGACCAGACACCAGCTGCCCCAAAATGGTCCTTCAATCCTCACTCGCAGCTGTCTTAGCCCCAAGCAAATGTCGGCTGCATTAACCGAGGCTGCGTTCTGCAGCAGAACCTGAGGTTTGCAACAGGGCCCTTCTCCTCCCGCTTCTGCTTGTCTACTCTGTTTCGTGGGCCTCGACCACGGCCTCCTGGCCCCAGGTGCAAGCGACATGGAGCGCTGTTTTCCCATTGCGGCTCGCGGCATCCACGGGCACCCGCGCCCTGCTACACAAAATCTGGCTCGCGTCACTTGCTGAAGCGAATGTGCGTGTTCGTATGCCACGTGGAAATCTCAATCAGGTTGACGGTTGACAGTTTTCTGTTGCAATCCTCGATCACTTTCGACATCTCTTCGCTTTCGGCTTATCCCGCGCCCGCGCCTCAGCAGCTCCTGAGCCACTGCCACGTGGCCGTTCCGCGCAGCTTCGTGCAAGGGCAGGTCTCCCTCCTGACGGCCAGAAATGGCCAGAAAAGCAGAGCTTGGCATCAGCTTGCACAGCCGTGTAGCCTGGCCGTCTCTCTTTCTCTACCATTACCGCTTTCACTGCCCTCCTCATCACCAGCAGACACCATCATCAACGTCACGAATATGGCAGCAGAAGCAGCGTCACCACAAGCACCATGATCTGCAACAAGGTGACATGTTGCACATGTCGGCAGTCCTTGTCGGCCGCTGCGGGCTGTGCACCCTGACCCATGAGTTGCTGCACCGCCTGGTCGCCGCGGCTTTGCGCGGAGCGCAGAGGACGGGGCTTGTTCGGCCTCAAGCTGCCCTCGCCTCGCAGCCAGGTGAAGAGCCTCGGTTTAGCAGCAAGAAAAGCAAACTCACCGAAAGTCGACCACCAGCAGCTTGCCGTCTTGTCATCAGCACCTTTCTCGTCAGCCGCAGCCCTGGCTCCAGAAACTGTTATAACTGTACTGAACTCCGTGGGAAATCGGAAACGCGTGCTCAGTGCCAGTCTAATCGGTTGCTTCACGCATCTTGACTCGACACCCTGCGACTGTGCTTGACGGATACAAGAACCCACACAAGAACCCACACAAGAACCCACTATCAGTGAGATTGCTGCTGCTCCTGAGCACAAAATTTGAAACTGCTTGCAGCCTGCCCTTGAGAGAGGATTCAGGAGGGTCCGATTGACGCTGTGCTTCACTTTATGCAACTTGACCTGGCCTCTTGGTCAGGAGCAACTGAGCAATGCGAGTGTGTGCAACCTGGCCCATGTACCTGCTGCAGCTGGCACACTGCAAGAGCCAATCCTAACTTTGACGAACGAGTACCATTCACCTCGTCCGAAGCCTCGCAATCCAGTTCATGAACTGATGACATGACTCCGCCACAGCGCGCACGCAGCGAGGTGCAAAGGAGTGTCCCGGCTCCCATCTTTGGCCCCCAGAGCAGCCTCTGGTCAAGGCGGGGATCGCAGCAAGCTATATTGTAACTGCTATCAAGCTCGACTGCGACGGATCAGAATCGAGGCCGCCTTGGCATCAAGAAGCAGCTGCGCCACTCCCGCACTACCTGGGGCCGCCAGATGCTGAAGCTTCTCAATGCGAAACAAACTCACGGGCCTTCATAGGCGGCGATGTGGAGTGCCGTGTGCAAGCCAGCCAAGTCCTTGAAGCTAAGAGGCCCCACGAACAGAGCTGCAATGATGCTCAGAGTCAGGCTGCATGCAATTGGCATGAATCACAGGCTGCTGTAGGCTTAAATAGGCTAATCAGCGACAGCCAAAGAGAAGACACCTCCTCTAGGTTGCTGCGGCTGAGTCCTATGTTTGTGAATCCTTCGAAGCCGCTGCGTAAAGGCCCTTTCGGCTCCTTGCTGTTGAGGCTGCTCCTCTTCTTTGCCAGCGCGGCCTGCGCCAGGATGTGCTATTCCGCAAACCTAGTGTGCACAGGCTCTTGAAATGCGCTGCAAGTTCAACTGCGGCCGAGTCTTTCAAAAACAATGCACGATGGGGAGCTTCGGTCAACCAAGTGACGCACCTGCTTGCTACGTGGCACAGGCAGTATAGCTATTCGACCACCAGGCCTTGGCTAAGTTGACCTCGTCGTTTCGTGCCGCCTGGTGCAGCTGCCTGCAAGGCTAGCAACACTCGGGTAGAATGTGCGAGCAGACTGGACATTCACAGTTCTTCCTGTCGAAGTTGCCAGCAGCTGCTCCGCATGCACTTCCCATCTTCGAAAACACAAATGATATAACACCACACAGTCGGGTGGCTCTTAAGCCGTGTTTTGCTGCTTTTTGTATCCTTGATGATATGCGTCAGGAAGTTTGCTCCGTAGCGTTTCCAGACTCGTTCTGATTGCCGAGCTTTGCCTCTCTGCTGTGAAGTCTGAGAACCGAAGTTGGAGATGTACACTTTTCTTGCATCGCGTGGTTCTTCACGGGACGTTACGGGAACGTGCTCACGAGATCCTGCGTTTCCTCCACTTCCCCTTGAGAACATGGGAAACGAAACTGGAACCACATCCCCAACCTTGTCATTTAATTTCATGTTTGATGGGTGTTGGATAGAGCCTTAACGGACATCAGGAGGTTTTTGATTTGCCTCTTGGCATGAAACAAAGTCGAGTGCTTGCAGCGGGCTTTTCCGAAGGGGTGCTGGCTGGAGCGTCGCAACGAGAAGGTCAGAGGCTGTAGCCTCGTCTTCATGGCCTACTTGTACAAGCACGGACGGCCAAAGGAATAAACGAATTTCCCGGCCTTGGGTACCCTAAAACCAAGGCCAAAAGGCAAAGATGTGTCCAGCAGTGGGCATCGGACGGCTGGGCTTGGCTCAAAAGACAGAGCGGGGAGAGTTGGCAAAGCTTCTCTTCTGCTCATGCTCAGACTCTCGCAGGAGTGAAACACCTCGGCGTCAGCACGAGGGCACAGGTGCTGCCGCAGACACAGATGCAGATTGTCCCGTTTGGCCGCCTGCTCGCAGGCATCAACTTTGGCGGATGCCCTGCCAAGGCCTGCTGACGGAACTCTCGCAAGGAATCTTCTCCCCTACAGTCTGGCTCCCTGCAGTGCGGCAGAGCGTCGGTGCAGGGACGGACACCCGCGGGCCCGGACCTGATCTCCACATGGAACTGCACTGTGGATGCGGTCAAGATTGACAGACAACTTTTGTCTATCAGAATCTAGCAACTCACACCACCTGCGCGGGATGTGCGTAAGGACTTCTCGGGCACACACTGAGCTGGAATTGGTGTGGACGTATTTCCTGCTCAAACATTTGAGATGCCTGTCTGCTAGTTACACTATGTCACTGTGTGCTGTGTGCCACACTGGCGAAGTCGCAAACCGAAACATCTGTACATGAACTGCAGCAGTGCGAAAACACTCCATTTTAACGGCTATCAGGACAGCAGGCGCACCGAAGCATTTGTGAAGCGCTCGATTCCTCCGCCTTGTCAATCCAAGTTCCACCAACTACAAACTGTGCAACCACGAAAGCTCTATGACGATGTAAACAGTCAGAGTTTGCTGATCCAAAACTGACTTGAATGTCTTGCTGCACCTGGTGGGGGAAATGCACTACCACCCTGGTCGATGCCGAGCAGCCCATTCTGGGGCCGCCAGACACAATGATCTGGCGGGATGGTCAGACACGGACTGGACCATTCCGCACTGAAGAGTTCTTGTCTGTGCCTTCGGTGGAGGCGCCAACGGGGCTACGTGGCCCAGCAGCTGCGATCTCTGGGATTCTATTTCCTGGCGCTGATTTGCAGTGACATGTCTCCAGGCCACCAGAAACGAGAGTATGGTAGCAAGCACGGTGGGATCGAAGGGCCTTCAACAAGTTGTTGAAACCAGAATTGCCTCCACGGGGCATTCACAAGTTGGGTACGCGTCTTCCCGACACTCCGCCCCACCGCTGCCAAGGAGCTCATGGGATGTTGTCCCTGATAGTGACGTTCCACGAGGTTCTGGTCGCGAAAATATCGGACGGCCTTGTTGAGCCACAGAGGCAGTCAACTATACATGTGATTCTTCTGGGATTTCCCAAGATTTCCGGCTGGTGGCGAGTGAGAAGCGAACGCGGTGGACTGCATGCGAGCATGTGTCTTACGAAGAGGATGGGGTTGCGTGACGCAGGCAGCAAGGCAAAGCTGTACAAACATGGGGCTTCTGTCTAGAATGACAGCACTCGACATCACCGCAAAACAGCATTGACTGCCGCAAGCTGCCACAACACGATCTCCAAAACTGCTACCATGCCCACAGCTCAACCACGCTCTGCGACCACTGCCCGCACGACCACCACAAGCAACGCCACCACCACTAATCCACTCCCAACCGGGGCTTGTACTAGTCTCTTCCATCAGTGCACAACAGTTAAGATGAGTTTTATCCGGCAACAGTTTGACACTGCCAAGCAAGTATACAGTATTATACAGTCCTTTCTTCCCTACCTAAACAAACAGAACAACAGCACCAGACAGTCGTCCTGCATCGTCCGGCTGATGCACAACAAGGACGACAAGAGCTACAAAGACTTGAGGGAATGCATGGACACAATGTTGAGAAGCTGTTGCTGCAGCAAAGTTCACCGTCTCTGATCATACGGTCAGCGAAACAACGCTTTTGCATGACATGGTAGCTTCTGAAGCTGTAGTCATCGTAGGATAAGTCCGGCAACACTTCTGGCTTCGAGGTCTTGTGTGACTCTACGTCATCATCGTTCATTGTCGTTGCGAGGCTTTGTGGCAGCATTGTGTGTTTCGGGGGGCCAACTGTCCAGCCCCAGGATCTTAAGCAAATGCAGTCGAGTATTGCACCCCGGTGTGAGGTACCAGCCTTCGGTAGGCATCGTGGCCGTCGTCGTCCTCGTTTTATTCCGTGCCGGGCAGACGAAAACCTGCACGAGATCGTCGATGCAAAAACCAGCTGCAGCAGCAGCACCTGGCCACCACTAGGCACACGAAGGCATCAAAGACAGGCAGTTACACGACGAGCAGCGTCCACGAGCACGACCCGAACCAAGAGTTGCCGCGCGCAACAAAACTGACAGGAAAGGTTGCCCGACGCGAAACTCAAATCTATCGAAATCTTTGACTTGCTTCCGCTGTTTCGCCTGGCGGTCTGAGGAAAGTCTTTGCAATTTAAACTGACAAGCTACGCTCGCACAAAACTCCAAACCCGAAGCCGCCGAGAGCGCTGCATCTTCCGCAGACCACCCCAAATACAGGACCTTGCCATGCCGCTCACCAGAACAAAGGAACAAGGCACTCATCGAGGCTATGGAGTGCCGAGAGGCAGCAAAAGCACAGCAAATAGAACCGGATCGATTCTGGCCCCACTCGCCTCGGGTCTGCGTCATCGTCAGCTCGCATCACCATCTATCACCATCCATCACAAAAAAGAAAGGTCGCTGTGACTCGTATGCCAGAAGCCAAGGGTCAATGAACCAGGGTTCGCTGCTGAGCAGCAACAGCCTCCCGGGACGAGCCCAGCAGAGTCGAAAGTGTGCTTCAACCTGAAAACTCCCGAAGGACCTGTCGAACCAACGCCGCGCCCTCTAGAATCAGCTTCTTGGCATGGGCCAAAGCCTCGCAGGCTTCAAGGGAGAGCAGACAAAGGAAGCGGGCACCACCCGACCTGGCAATCTGATCAATGCTAGCAAGAAACGGACTCTGACTCGTGACCGTGCTGGTCATCCTGATCTGCAGGCGTGCCGTTGGAAGGCTGATGCATTGGGAACGTGCGATATCGACTTGGCAGACTCGACGGTCTAAGTGTCGAGCGAAAAACACCTTATGTGTCGACAGCTGCGGATTGGGCTTGCCATCCACATTTCTGGGAGTCACCTTGGCTGGCGTCAGCATAACTGGTGAGGCTGGGATGTACAACCAACTCGCCCTAGAAGCTTTGTACAGTGGAGTTTCGGCATGACTTCAGCTATCGGCATGACACATGGGCTTCTGGCTTCCAGTGACCAAGCTCGGCACGGTCGAGATAACCTGTGCAAAATTGCCATGAGCGGCACTGTACCTGGCGTACGTATTTTCAACCTCTGGCTCTTCACTTCGTTTGCTCAACGTCACTCGCCACGAAGTTCATCTGGCTATGCAAAACTGACTGCAGCTGAAGGACTGGTTTCCGCAAGACCTTAGAACGACAGACCCAGAAGTGCGGCGACTGTCTGCCAGCTTTACATCGCTATGTCCGTGCCATCGACCATTCAATTCTTGCTTCAGGCATCCCTGCCTTGCCTCCGCCGATTCGCAAAGTATGCACGCTTTTTCGGCCTTGTATTTGCCCTTTAGAAAAGCTTCGCGGCCCAGTGGCAAAAAAGGACTCATCTTTGGGAGCGGGGCATAGCCCGGTACATCCTGCGGCGTTGCGGCGGTCCCCCTCAGCAGAGCGCAAGAAATGTCGACCCTTTGAGTCCTCGCAGCCTGGAGGTAACTCTTCATGGCCGCTAGAGTCCTGGAAGGAGACCGGACGAGCCATTTTGGCCCCAAACGCAGTCACCTCTAGAAAGACTGATGTACTCACCAACGTACCAGCTTCAACAGGACCTGTGACCATGCAAAGGGTGCGGTCCTCGGACATTTCGCACCCACAAGCTTCTAGGAAAGATGTCATGACACCGCTTGCTATAGTACGGTACGGCGCTGACAAAAAGAGCTCCAGCTTCAATGCGTTTTCTTTCACATGTTCTATTACTTCACGGGCTGTTCTGAAAACGTACCACGATGGGCACGTTGCGCCCTTGCATTCAGCTTGGCTCGTGCACCTGGTCTCTTCCACTCCCTCTAGGTCTGTGCAGACTTGGCGACTGCGCACAGGCGCAAACCTTGAACCGCTAAGTAGTGCGAGCCACGGTTCGGAAGGTATGGGCTTAGTGTCAGATCGCTCTTCACGACAGCCCGGCAAGATCCTGCAAGTCCTCTTGCTTGGCCCACGCGACGTTGAGTCCGCGAATCCACTCTGACCCTGGTCTCAGCGCATGTTTCGCGCCGTGAGACCGGTGGCCGAAACTATGCACAATGAGCCCAGCAATACCTGCTTTGGCAACGCATGGTTTTTTGCGTAGCTGGAGTAGCTCCATCTTGGATTCATCGCTTGGGTTTAGGGTTGGCACAGCGGGCTGACTTGCACATCTTGCACCAAGCCATTGAGATGCTCCAGTTGTCAACTGTCACAGGCTGTTGACGTGGGCCACCCAATGGCCGCACTTAGGGCTACTGTCCAAGGGAGTGGACTCGTGAAAAACGCACGAGAAACTGCACAACCGCTTGAGCAAAGCGCCTAACACAGCCTGTGGCTAATCCACCTGCCTTCACCTGGTGAGCCGGCATCGGGACTACTTGGATCTAGTAGCTGTCTTTGAATAGACCTACTCCAACCCGGTGTGCAGCGTCAGTGCATGAGAGCAGTGGGGATCCTCTTGTATAGTTTTCTTGTTGGGCTGAGTGATCATCACGTCGGACAGTGGCAGGGCCCGATTGGAGGGCTTCCGCAGCGGAGAGACCTCAGCTCACAGAGCAGCGCGCAGATCAAGGACGCGCTCACGTACCAGGCTACGGACCTGGCTATCGGCAGGACAGGAGTCCTTTTCGGTGCCGGTGGCAGTCCTTTGGCAAGATTGTCAAAGGTTGGAACAGCATCACTCGGCAAGCACGCTGCCGCGAGATTTCCGTATCGCCATGGCATACAAAGGTCAAGGAGGCATGCAAAGCTGGTGGTGCCATTCCTGCAGGCAGTGGCGGAAAGCTACTGCCATTTTCTGCCCACAGTGCGGCAATGGGGGCAGTGGAACGCAGAATGCAGGGTACATGCAACAGGCATGGTGGCAGGACGGATGGCAGCCAGACCAGTGGCACCATGGACACTCGCATCAGATGCCCAAGTCACCGAGGCGCAAGTCTCCTCGGAAGGCCGGCTGGAATACGTCGGACAACGAAGGTGGAAAAGGCAAGGGCAAAGGCAAGAAAGGGCACCAAGGAACTGGCGATGGACAGATCAGGGCGGTGGTGCCTCGAAGCGATGCTCTACCCGCCCCGCCAGTTGGACAGATCAACACGGTTCCCAGCCAACCGGCTGGAAGCAAACAGAGCACCGAACAGGCGGGGCAAACGGCTGCCGAAAAGCAGCTGGAACAACTCGTGGTTGCCCTGAAACAATCCAACGCCGAGTTGCCACCAGGTGTTGCGGAGATCGTGTCGAGTCACGCACAGTCTTCCACAAAGCAGGCTGCAAAAAGCCTACACAAGACAGTGACGATGCAGACAGCAGCACGAAGCAATTTGGAGCAACTACGGACGCAACGCAGACAGTACGCGGCGGGTTGGACAAGTTACTTGAATTCCGTAACCAACTTATTGACGCAACAATTTCAAAAGCAAGAGGACACGATGGCGCAATTCGAAGAAGCGGAGCGTGCATGGATGGACCAACTCAGCGAAGCCACAAGTCAGCTAGCACGCTTGGCCAAGGAAGGCCAGGCACAAGGCTCCAGTGTCGAAGAGGTCGCAGGATCATCTTCCGAAGACGACATGGATGCAGAGGAAAATCATGCAGAGCATCTCAAAGAAAAGGAAGCAAGGGAACTTCATCGAGCGCAACATCGCCAACTCTTGGAGACCTTGACTGCCGCCAAGGAAAACTCAGAAGCCATGGCTGCGGCTGCGGAAAGAAGCGGATCGAGAACCCCCAGAAGAAGGGCGAAGGACAAGCCACAGGGAGTAGAATCGGCAACTCCTGTGGCTTCGGTCCCTCCCTAAGCCCAGAGCCGAGCCTAACGGGACCCTCTGGGCAGTGCCAACTTTTCAGAGTTGGCGATTTGGTTTCCATCTTCAGGGGATGGAGCCACGGAGTTTGTAGAGATCCTACGTTCGTGAGTCCAGCAGCTGCGGAATTCAGTGGTTTGCAGCTTGAGGCTGAAATGATGCTCGAGAGTACAGGTTGCGAAGTTGTTACTTCGCTGATGCCGCTATGGCAGGACCCAAGGGTTGAAGTTGATGCGGATGCCTTATGGCAAGGATGTGATGGAAGGCCAACCGGTTGGAGGCAGCGCGCAAGACAATGCATGGCCTCGACTTCCTCGTTGCCGGCTTCTCTTCCTGCTGATCTTTCGCTCCCATGTCCTTGTCATACGGATGGGACGGCAACACTCAAGCCAGCGCTCAAAATTCAGTGCCCCAACACGGTGCACCCTGTTGGCAAGGACAATTGCGATAAGCGTGTGAGGTTTGATGTACAGAATGAGACCCGCAGTCGGCCGTCACAGAGCACGGGCCATGACGGTACGCTCAATGGCGCTTCCAGCTCACCTTGCTGCAAGTTTTTCGAGATTCTTGCTTCAAGCGAGCATGTACATGAGGGCTTGACTGATGTTTCACATACCTCTCCCTCTGAAATCCTTTATCAAACACAAGCCTCAGCAAATGCGGCAGCGGAGCTTGACGCCAGTATAGGTCTTCGGTTTCCGCAGCGTTTGAAGCACAGTCCGAGTGAGACGAATGAAAGCTTCAGGGAGCTTCCTCACTCAGAAGGCAAATCACTGAGCTTGAGTGATCACCTTGTTGCACATAGTCCAGGCAGCGTTGAAGAGCTTGAGGCGATTCTTCAGCATTGCAACGGCCAATGGTTCGATTTTTGGCGGCATGATGTACAAACGCTGTGCCTTCCTTGGAGGCTTATGGCCTCCAACGACTGGGGTCCTCCTCCATTGGGGGTCCCTACAGCGTTTCGCGTTTATGTTGACGGGTCTGCTCGTGGAGGTCGCGCTGGCTACGGCCCCATCCTGTTCGCTTGGCATGGTTGCGCTTGGTGTTACGTCGGTTGGGCAGGAGGGCATGTCCATGACGGTCGCTTTGCAACTAATAATGGAGCGGAAAGCATGGGCTTGCTCATCGCAGCGTGCTGGGCCTTGAGCGTCCCGGCTTGGGTGCATGTTGAGTTGATTGTCGACTCAGAGTTCTCCCAAGGCAGTGCCTTGGGCACCATTGCTTTGAGCAGCAGTTGCGACGACGATCCGGCGAAGCTTTTGCGGAAAGTTGTGCAAATTCATGAACATAGGCGAGCACGGCTTGAGGTTTGCTGGACACGTGGTCATGCGGGTGATTTTGGCAATGAGCTTGCAGACAGGGTTGCGGACTACTTCCAGCATGGCAGGGGTCCATGCTGTAGGGTTCCGCGAAGTGTGACGAAGCTGCTTGCGCATCCTCTGCTTGCGTGGGCCTGGGCTGCAGGTCGCAAAGTCCGGGACTTGCCTAGCTTATCTCACCTCGCCAAAGGGAATTATGAAACTCGGGACGTGCTGCCCCTTGAGTGCGCTCAAGCGGTATGTGCCGACGTGAGCAAACTGGCACAAAGGCGGCGAGAGACAGTCAGGCTCTGTATATGTACGGCGAATGTGTGTACGTTGAAGCATAAAGGGGCGATTTTACGGAAACAACTTGAGCAAGAAAAAGTGCACATCTTTGCGCTGCAAGAAACAAGATTGTCAAGCGATGCGGTGTACTTGTCTGATGGATGGGTGGTGATCCACTCGGCAGCGCTCAAAGGCAGGGATGGATGTGCCTTCTGGGTGAACACTTCAGCCATGGCGGATGAGCTTGAGCTTTTAGGCGGATTTGGATGTGAAGCTGTAACGGTGCTGCAAGCCAGGCCTGACTGGTTGGTGATCAGGCTGAAGGTTGCTGGGGTTGATTTGGTCCTGGTAACATATCATGCGCCGCACTCGTTGCAACCTGAAAATGTCATACGTGCTTGGTGGCGGCAAGCGCATCAGGACCTTGCTGGAGTTGAGCATATTGCTCAGTTGCTTTTCCTTGGCGATGCAAATGCTACAGTATCAAGGCACGATCAAGAAGTGGTTGGATCGCTGGCGGGAGCACAAGCTGACATCGCAGGAGAATGTCTTGTGGGCATTTGCAGTCGTTTTCGACTAGCTTTGTTCAACACTTTCCCCAGCCATGACTTTCCTGAGTCGTTGCAAAAGACCTGGAAGCATAAGTGCCTTGATTACATCGCGGCCCCTTGTGCTTGGCATGGACTCGTCGAAGCTTGTAGGGTTGAAGTTGATCTTTGCAATGTGCATGAGGATCATGAGGCATTGTGCGTTCTTGCTTGCATTCCTTGTGTTGATAGCGATGTTGCGATCGAACAACCACGATCCGTCAGGAATCATGGCAGCACAACTGCCTGGGCAAGCAACGTCCACATCCACGCGGAATCCCTGTTTGCACGTGCGCGTCAGCAACAAAAGCGGTGCCAGGTTGCTGTCAAACCCAGGAAGCCTTATGTGTCAGAGAGGTCATGGTTTTTGCTGCGAGCAAAGAAAGCGAATAAAAAAAGGATCCTTGAGATTAGGAAGGCCTTCGAGAGGGAGACTTTGCTTATTTGCTGGGCAGCCTTGCGAGGACGTGAGCGGAGCAACGAGCGTCGCATTGGTTGGGTAGTACAAGAAGTTCGAGCCGTTTTTACCCTGCATGCAGTTCGCCGGGACCTGGTGAGGCAGCTTGTTGTGGACAAGCGCGAGTATATCAGCAGTTTAGGCCACCAGGTGAAGGGCTCGGCAAATGCAGGTGCCACTAAGGAGATGTTTCGGGCTCTCAATTTTTTTCGGCCAGCCGGAAAAAGGGTCAAGAAACCATTCAAAGCTCTACCGCTCCTTCGGGACAAATCCGGAGTTGTCGCTGATTCTTTTGCGGCCCAACAGGAGCTCAAGGCAAAACACTTCGGAGATATGGAGGCGGCTGTGAGCATGGCCCCACAAGATCTCGTGGAGGCCTTCAATAGCCTCCCGCACTCCCATGAACTTGAGGGGGCCCAGTTCAGTCTTGAAGACCTCCCCAGCTTGTTTCAGCTTGAGCAAGTCTTTAAAACCATGCCGAAAGGAAAAGCAGCGGGGCCCTCAGGAGTCAAAAACGAACACTGGCTCCAATATGGGACGCTTGCCGCCCGCGTTTGGTTTCCAGTTGTCTTGAAGTCGCAAGTGAGATTGTGTGAGCCCTTCCGGTTCTCAACTGGCCTGCTCTTCAATCTTTTCAAGGGGCAGGGGGCAGTATCAGAACTTGACAATCACAGGAGTATCTTCCTGATGGAGGGAATCGGCAAATGCAGCAGGAAGCTTTTGCGGCCTGAGTTGATTCGGTTACTTGAGAAGGATGTTCCGGCCCTGTTTCAAGGGTGCAGACCAGGCTCAAACAGCGCTGCATTGACTCATTATGTCGTCCTTTGGCAGAAGGTGTGCAGAATCAAAAAATGGAGCGCCGGACTTCTCTTCATGGATTTGCGGAGCGCATACTACAGAGTTTTGCGCTGCAGACTTTTGGGCTTTTCGTGGGACGACGACGCGATCGTTGACGTGCTCATGCAGATGGGAGTCCCGCCGGAGTTGTTTCAAGACATCTTGGCATGGAGTCAGGGACAAGTGCTCTTGAGTGACATGAAGCCGCATCACCAGAGGGTTGTGCGCTCATATTACATGATGTCTACGTTTATTCTCCCCGGGACGCGCAAATTCCATTGCTCGCGCTCTGGAACACGACCAGGTGACGCTTTGGCCGACTGTCTGTTTTCCGTAGTTTTTGCCGATGCAATGCAATCGATCAGGCAAGCCCTTGACATGGCTGGCTTGACGTTGAGTCCCGCTGCTTGCAGGGATCCTGAAAACCCAGTCTGGGCAGACGATTCAGTCGTCCCCATTGCTAGCCCGTGTGCAGGTGAGTTGGTTGACAGGACATTGGCAACATGCAAGATTGTTCATTGTGAGTGCGCGCGTCGAGCTCTTCAGCTAAATTACAAAAGAGGCAAAACCGAAGTGCTGTTGAGTTTTGCTGGAAAAGCTTCTGTCAAACATAGGCGTGACGCTTTTATTCGGCCCGAGCAGTTGTCTTTCGAGGCGCATGGACAGTTGTTTCAGTTGAGGCAGGCTAGCCGGTACGTTCACCTTGGAACCAGTGTTGAAGACAATGGTAGTGCCGGGCAGGACTTGAGACGCAAGCTTGCAATTGCGATTGGAGGCGTGCGTCCACTCGCAAAACCGGTCTTGCGCAGAGTTGCTGTTGACATGAAGGCCCGTAGCAACATATTGCGTGTCATTGGTGTGAATGCGGCACATTTCAACTGTGCCGTGTGGGGCCCTTTGACAGAACGGGAAATGCACACTTGGATACAGGGACATGACACGATGTACCGCATGTTGATGCCAGATGACAGGAGTACCGGACGACCAGCTTGCCCTACAGTTTATGAAGTCTGTGGCGCAACCGGCCTTCCGACACCACAGGCATATCTCAGCATGCTTAGATTGAAGCACGCCAGCAGGCTTGTTGAACAGGGTCTTGACTCCGTTTGGTCATTGCTTGAGGAAGAGGATGCTCGTTGTCGTAACTCCTGGCTCTCTGCTTTGCGTGAAGATATTATGTGGTTGCAATACTGGCAACCCAAGCTGGCAGGGATTGAACCTGCAAATGCCCAGGCAGACGACCTTGCAGTTTGGCTATCGGAACACAAGCTTGACACGGCCATCAAAAGGGCCTTGCATGCACAAGCCAAGTCCCTTGCTGAATGGTATCACTTCCAGCTTCAGTCCCGTCAGGCAGGCTCTTTCAGGGGCGTCCAACAGGTGTGGCAAGAGGTGTGTCAAAGTCCGTCGCTGACGTGTTACTGGTGCGAGTTCTCGTGCTGCACGGGCGCTCAACTGGCAGCACATCTTGCGGCATGTCACGGGCATCGAAGTCCGACAAGATGGTTTGCTACCGGTACTGTCTGCAGAGGTTGCCTCAAACAGTACTGGACGAACAAAAGACTCTGTGCGCATTTTGGTCGTGGTGGGCCCTGCTTGGCGCTCCTTGTCGCCACTTGTTCTAGTCGTGAAGAGCACGTGCAGCCCCGAAGTGAGGATGAGCTCGTTTCTTCCATCACTCCTCCCCCCACTCAGTCCCAGCCCATGACTCATGGCTTTGATGATCCCGGTAGGGCCCCTGTGTTCCGAGTTCAGGGCCCGCTGAGGATGCCAGGAGCAGATGCGGGCGCATGTTTTGCTCAAGCCTTTGCTGAAGCTGACGAAGCTGAGAGACACGTTCTTGCTAAAAGCGGCTTGTCTTTTTTCGGAGGGAGGGATGAGCTGATGTGCAACTTGATTGAAAGCCTAGTGCCAATGCATTGGAGCAGAGGGCAAGCCAGGAGGATTCCTAAACAGATTGATGGACGTCTGCTCATTGCCAAGGCACTCGGCCGTTCTGGTTGTTAGTAGGCCTTTAATTATCGCATGTTTTTGTCACTACAGTGCCACTGTGCACTGACTGGCGCCGGACTCGGACTCTCAGTTCATGTCATGTCATGTCAACTGTCAGTGGGCTCCTTGAGGCACGCGGCCTGCGATCGGTTCAGCAAAGGGCAAGCGGAGCTAGACACTCGCAAGCCTCCTCTTTGCACTTCTGCAAGGCTTTCCACAGCTCCACAACCTGGCAAAAGGCGGTGCAGTGACAAGCCGAGAGTTGACGCCAGGCTACGTGAGAGCCTCATGCTGCAGGCGCAAGCTGATTCGGCGTCTCTGCTCGCTGCCCTTGGCCCTGGCAGTGAGGTGAGGGAGTAGGAGCGAGGGAGTAGGACTGAGTAGGAGCGACAAGAAAACGGGACGTCGAGTGAAAGAGAGCAACAACTCAGCGAGCGAGCGAGGAGGGAGGCAGGGCGCGGGCGGGCGGGCGGAGTAGAGAGTGAGAGTGAGAGTGAGAGTGAGGGAGTGGAGAGAGAGTGAGAATCAGAGGGAGTGGAATGGGAGTGAGAGTGAGGATGGGAAGTGAGCCTTGCATGGGAGGAATGAAGAAACTACCAACATAACCCTCGGTCTTTTCACGACGCAAGCGTCACGTCTTCTCAGACTTTGCGCTTCCTGTTGTAAATCCTGATCTCCTTCTTTGTAGCTTCGACTGCAGAGACACAGCTCCATGCAGGATCGTCAACACCAAGGAGAGCCAAGCAAGCTTTCGACAGTGATCGCGAGTGGCATAAGCATCGAATTATCGCAAGACCGGGCCCCTGGCTCGTCGCCTGGCTCGGGCGCGGGTGCCTGCAAGGAATGGTCTTAGACAAGTGCTCCCGGAGATTGAAGGCCCCTGCCCGCGATGCCTTGTTGTGTGTGTCCGCAGCAGGCTCACAAGCCTCAGAGACGGCTGCTTGGAACGGGTTGCTTCGAACCCACTCAGGCAACCCTGCATCCTCGGATAGATTTACGAATGTCGCCAGATCTTTTCGTCCGACTCTCCAATCTCGGCAACAGCGACACTGTCGCAGTGCGGGCACTGCAGCGCAACCGAAGTAGAAAACGAAAGCTCCCTAGATCGGGGTGTGGAAGTGCAGAAACATGCAGAAACATCACTATGTAGGCGACAACGACCTCGCCCGGCACAGGGCCCCATGCAGGCGACTCATCATTTCGGGCATCAGCTCTGCGCAGTTCCTCGCCTCACAGCCCTTAGCTCTGCATGCCCAAGAAGCAGGCATGGCATCTCAACAAGCCCCACAGCAGTTCCACCTTTAAGTCTCATCTGCCGTGGCTAGGGCCCTGTTGGCTCAAGCTCTGCGGTTGCAGGCCGACTTGCTGCAGCCTGAGCTCATCGAGGACCAAGCTGCAGCCCAGCACTGTGTCTGGAACAACATGCAGAAGAAGAAGCGCCGCTTGCCATTTTTGCGCCTGCTCCACACAAGTGTTTTGGTTTGCATCGCCCTGGGTGCAGCCGCTCTCCTTTTGCGTGTTTCTTCTTCCTTGTCTCCTCCTAGTCTTGAGGAACAAGCACCGTAACTGTTGCCTGTTGAACTTCAGCCTTTACGCATTCATTTGGGGCACACGAGACAACGCTAAGTGTGATTTCAGCTTGTTGACGGCGAGCAGGGGTGGCTTGCTGAAGCCGGCATGAAACATGTCGCCCACTCTGGGTTGCAAATCCCCTCGCTCTCGCACGCGCACCTGTGGAAGCATTGGAACTCGACGACGAACGGCGACAGCTGCTATTTCGAACTGCACATTTGCTATCCACCGCTGTGCATGCAAAGCGGCTTCGGCCGATAAACCAAACCTGCCTGAAATGCTTCGAGCAGACCCACACTCCCAGACACACCAGTCTCTGTACCCAAACCAAGTTGCACCGATCTGAGCCCATTGCCCATGCCAGTTCTCCTTAGCCTTAGCCTTAGCCTCACTTGCAGGTTGTGGTTTGTAGCAACTCTTTCTTTCACGAGGGTAGCGGAAGTCTCACCCTCTCTCTCTCTTGCTCTCGCTCTCCCCAGCAGGGCTCCTTCACGCATGCCCGGAGGGACGCATCCCGTGCCACAGCGTCGCAGCGCACACTTCGCTGTGGCATCTCCGCAAGCAGCGCGAGGCCGTGCATCCACTGACCGCAGCGGGAAGCAGCACCTGAACACAACATCGGTTCTGCCCTGCGCCGGGCCTGGCTCTCTCGCGACACGCGAACAAGAAACACCACGCACACCAGGAACCGCACTCCACACACATCTCCGTGCAAGCAGTGCCAGTACAGCGTCTACACACATGGAACAGCGAGAATTGCTTCCAGAGCCACTGATGGCAGCGCTGTAACTGAGCTCGTCCTCGGCACGGTCACCATCTACCAGTCACAGGCTGAGCCGTAGCAAACCCCTCTCATCCCCGCCCCCCCTGCAAGCACTGCAAGCCTGAGCTATGGCGACATCCAGCATGCAGTCGAGGAGTGCAGCGGCCTGGCGCCACTGGCTGCCCACGTCGCAGGCACTGATGGCCTGGGAAGCGGAAGCAGTCTTGTCAGCCGCCCGTCGCAGAACGGGTCACCAACATCCAGCTGAGGAGCACTGTTGTATGTTATCTGGTTGGGCACCACCTTCACTGCAACGTGGCAGTACAGGATCACCACGCAGTCAAACCGGGAGAATCAAAAGACGAGTTGCCTTCAACGCGGGCATCGCTGAAAGCAGCTCGAGGGATGCTTGCCACTCCAGTGCTTTGACACAGGCACTGATTGCTGAGCTGAAAGTGACTACGGACGGAAGGACCTGCCCCGGCACCAGGAGGTAATACTGGAGAAAGCAGAACTTCCACGCGCTGGCACGGGGACGGAGCAGCCTTCTTCATACCGAAACCGAAGATGTCAATCATCGCCCATCCGAGAAATGCCGCCTCTCCTCTAGATATTATGTCTCCCCGTCATAAGACCCCAAACCGGCTCCCATCTTGGAGTCCGGCCCGGAAAAGCCGGCTCTCTATCCTATGACCTGTCAACGAAGCTTTCGTGCAGATGCATGCAGCCTTGGCTCGTCGCATCATACTCAACAGGTCCAGTGCCAGGAGCCAGTCCTGGGCGGTTCTCAGCGAATTAAGCCATGAAGCCAACTACTGCTGTTGCAGGATCTGCTTCATGTACTGCCATCCAGTTCCCCCATGTGTTCTCATGGCCCTCAAGATAAGAATGTCTGTTCGATTCTGTTCGGTGACGGAAGTGGCTCAGGTTGAACCGAGGAGAAAGACTTCTTGGAATGGCCGCTGCAGGTGCTTCATGACGTCGCCAGGCACTTAAACTTAGGCTCCGTGGCTATTTCTCCCGTTTGGAGCCACCAAACTTCATGAAGCCAATGAGAACGACACGTGCTCGTCAGTCCTGTGCCTTCTCGGCAGCACTGATGGTGGCATTGAAGCCTGTGAAACTTACGCAAGGCACGTCAGACGGACAGAGAGCTTCACTGACAAAGGGTACTTAGTTTCGACAGCTTCCACTGTCGAGACACTGACGGTGTTTGGGGTCACCTTCTTCTGCCCCATCCTCGTCCTAAGCTGACTCGGCTTCTTCGGGGACTCCAATCGCTCCCACTCACTACCAAGGTCACATGCGTAACCAAGCATCAGCAAGGACAGAGCACGCTGCCATTCCCCCACATTGGCACAGGCTGAAATCGCAGCACTGTAGCTCACCACATCTGGGGACTTGGTCGCCTAATCCAGGGGAGGCACAAAGTGCCTTTGGCCAACACTTCCAGCCGGGCTCAGCTGGGCTCCTCCTGCCTCACCCATGGACTTTAGCAACTGCAGCGCAGGCTTCCACTGACGACCCCTCTCGCAAGCACTGATGGCACTGTTGTAGCTGACAACGTTTGGAGTAATCCTTACTGCCACGAGGAGATGCACAGGAGGTCAGTTGCTCTGTTCGCTCTGCTTTGATCTTCTTGCCGCGGGGCATCTGATCGTTTATCATGAGTCTGAGCACGTCGACTGCCAAGCGCCATTGCCCTCCTTGCGCGGCCGCGCTTATCATCGAGGCGCAGCTAACAACATCCTGGCAGACCTAGCAGTGGGCGCACAGACTTCGAACCATTCGGCAAGAGTCTGGCAGCTGTGCCTCGTTTGCGGCCATTGTGGCGAAGAGCTGCAGAGCCTGCTGCCACTCACCGCCTTTCCCGCACGCGCTGATGGCTGAGCTGAAACCGATCACGTTCGGAATGACCTGCCTCCAACAGCACACTCCAGACAAAAAGGACCGGTACCATTGGCTGTTGACTTTGTGTACTAGCAATCCACCTTGGCCGCATCTCTGCAAAGAGGCCAAGGGCAACTAACCACTGAGAGGCCTTCTCACAGGCACCTCGCAGGCGAAAGACAGCACCAACGATCGCCACAAGCGGAACCTGCCGAGTTATCCTGGCAGCAGAGGAGCTCACACTCGAGCAGTAGCTCACCAAGTTGGGAAGCACCTGATCAAGACGCTGCAACCAAGAAACGCGCAATCGCGACGGCGAACTCCATGACTTGACTGTTGGTGTAGCATTACAGCACACGGACACGTCAGCATGACGCATGTGAGCCGAGGTGCCTCATGCCTAACCATGGCATGCAGCGTATCAAGAGCCATCAGCCAGTTGGCCGCCCGCTCGCAGGCGCTGATAGCACTGCTGAAGTGGAAAATGTTGGTCTCAACCTGTCACACAGCTCCGCCCACCGCACTTGAAGATGCTGCAGCTGCAGCGAACTCTCGGACAAGGATTCAATTTAGTAGCAATCTGCCAGCGGCCTCGTCAGTGCGCATCCGTCGCAAGAGTTTGCGCGACTCCTCACTTGGACTATTCGGTCTACTGCACTCTGGGAAGAGTTTGGACCACGATTCGAAGGCGAGACTTCAGCAGGGTTCCTCCGCCTTTGCAATACGCGCCAGGGCAGAAAGAGCCTGTGTGGCAGCCCGTGGCTGGGCCCGCCAATGCCTTGGCACCGGGCCTGGAACAGCAACATGCAGTTTCAAGCCCAGTGCATGGACACATGTGCTTCTTTTCTGGAGTTCTTGGCTTGCCTCCTGCCAGAATTCTCTCCACGGTCTGAAGAGTGTCGGGCATGGGTTGCAAAGGGAGAAGGGTGTGAGCGTGCAGTACAGGAGGTCGAATTCTGCTGAGCTTTGAGCCTTGAGCGACAGTGATTCGATCTGTGACACAGCGGGTGAACGAGCCAGAATGCCAGAAGGAGCTGCTCTCAGTCTCGCCCTGCCCTGCCGGAAAGAGGATCAGGCTGCCAAGCGAGCTTTCAAACCTCGAACCTGGCAGCTCAGAGCCCTCCCCGAAAACAGCACGCGACAAAGAAGTGCCGTTGCCTCCCCACGCATGCGCACACTGTGACGCCGCAGGTCTTGACACCGTCGTGAAGCTGTTGCTAGCTCCTGTCCGCTCGTGATGGCCCGACATGTGCCCGGCGGGCACTACGACGACGGCGACGACTGTGACGACTGCGACTCCGAGGCTCGACCGGAGTCCTCTTCTTTCACTTTGAGCTGCGCCTCGGTAGAGCGGAGGGCTCCTCTCGCCTGCAAAGCAAGAAGCTAAAGCCAAAGAACGCCGAAATCGTGACCTGCAACATGAAGCATGCTCGAGCGTGTTGCCCATGCCGTCCTTCTGCTGCACCGACTTCTGCTCGTCGCGGTCCCGCACGAGGCCCTGTTCTGCAGCGCTGCAGTGCAGTGCTCTCAGTCGGGTGGAATGCGGCCCTGCGTGGCCCGCTGCGGGCCTCCAGCTGCGCCTCGAGAGCCCGCCGCTCCTCGAGGCGCTCGGCGAGCAAGCGCTGCTGGCAAAGAACCTGCGAAGCGCACAAGCGCACCGCGCAGCGATGCGCATAGCGAAACATAGCGAGCATGCGTAGCCGTCTGTTCCCACGAATATAAGGCAGAGCGAAAACCTGCTCGAGCCTGCTCCTGCAACCGGTCCGTCTGCTTTCCAAGGACACACACCCTGCAGGCAAGGGCTCCCTCTGCTCAGGACACTTTCTGTTCAAAGAGAACAGCATCCACTTTCTTTCAACCGTGGTACACGTCTCGATGCGGAAACCTGTCAAGAAGCATACAAGTACTACCTCTGAAAGGACCTGCAGAAGGAGTACTCCTCCACCCGTCGATACAGTAGGCCTCTCGTCCGCCAGTGTAGACTTGTGCGGCTCCTCCGGGCACTCGCCAAGCTCGAGGCTGACGAGAAAGCGACCGTTCTTGTCCTTCTCCTCGCTGGGACCAAAGGCCTCTTCCACCTCCGAGCGTCCGTGGAAAGTTATCAGGTTCTGCCCCACTGAACGGCTCTAAGCCCGTTGCTCCTGGTAGCACTGCCAAGAGCTCCTGCAACAAAACTGCAGAGCTTCCCTCCGTCCCCCTGCAACAAGGCTTTAAAGTCTCCTCCAGTCGCTGCTCCCGATCACGCAGCTCTCGGCGGCTCTCTTCAGCTGCCTCTGGAAGGGTTCAGGAGCGCTGAAAGGCTTTGCAGTCTGAAGGGGTTGGCTCGCTCCTTGGCCCAGCTTTCGGCGGCACAGCGCAGCTGCTGCAACTCGGCCCCGGACGACCTCTGACACAGAGCAGCTCCACTCTGCAAAGAAGAAACTGACACGCTGTTCAGCTGCAAGCATTTCCTGCATCACAGGGGGCCGGACTCGAGGTCATCTCTAGAGACCTCCAACTTGAAGCGCAAGGCATCGACCTTCAATAGTAGTGCTCCCTCCAACGACTCGGTTTCCAGTTCTTGACGAGGCACGCTCGTGACTCACACGTGCACAGACACACTCGTTGCCTCTCTCCTTCTCTCTCCACAGAATCACAGAGGTCGCTGTTACAGCAATAGGTGGCTGAGCTCTGCGCTGCAGCATCGAGAGCCTCCAGCTGGTTCAACGCCTTGCTTTCGTCATTTTGCCGGGGATGCCGGCCAGTCAGGAGAACTGTGTGTATCCTCATAAGCACCGGCATGCTTTTGCTATAATCGTCCCTGGCATAGAATCTGCCGTCCTCGTCTTTGAATGCCAAGAGCACTCTCAAGACATTCGCATTGTAATGATTCTCCACGTTTTGTCTTGGAACCCTGATTTTCATGGCGTACGAGCTTTTTGGGAAGCTCGCCTGCTCGCATAGGATAGGAGTCACCCAAGAAGCAAGATTGCACAGACTTTTGAGTCGATTTGAGGCTGACGTCGTCTTCTTTTTTTGGCTCTCGCAGTCTCCCGCTACTTCGCTTGCACAGATCACGGCGAGTCGCACGAAGAAAAGAAAGACGCGCGCGCCTCTTCGGATTGCTGCTCGAGCCGCCGCTCCTCGCAGCAGGACAGCGTGATGCGGCAGCACAAAGAGCAAAGGCAACGAGTCAACGGGTGCTTGTTTCCGCTCTCCTCGGCAGTGAAATCATCCTCGTCCTGTGTTGGAACTTGCAACCGAACCCTGCAACTGCAACTCCCACCCATCGAAGCCTGTCTGGATGCAGCTGTCTGTGACTCTGGAGACGGCTCCTGGCAGATTGGCACATGAGAATGATTCGCAGCATCTCCTTGGCAGTCTGGCAGGGGTTCCTTCTGAGCAAGCTCGGGAGGCAATGGAGGCAGCGGTGGTGGCGGACCTGAAGTGGCATGACACGTGCACTGGCGTGAAAATTGCTCCGCAGAGCCTTGCATCGCTGAGAGTCGCACCGAAACGACCTTGAATTGCCGAAAGCACCAGATCCCTGGCACAATGGTCCAAAAAATCTGTCGTCCCGTTGAGCCCTTCAGTGGCATAGAAGTGTCGCCAGGCCCAATTGCATTCTGCGAGCTGCATTTTCCAAAGGCAAGAACTTTGCTACCGTGCCCCTGCCATACTATTGAGACTGCCACACGAACTAGCCGAAAAAGCCTCTCGCACGATTCGGCTGATTCAATTCTGAAGATGCTCCCCACCGGCTGGGTCTGAATCATGCCGCGCGAGCTATTGCTGCCCTTGCAAGTGCCTCTTTGATGCTTAAGATTGGTGAGGTCACATGACTGCAACGATCGCACAACTGCCAGACCCATGACTCGAAGATACTCGAAGGCAATTCCCCGCCAGCGGCACGGCCCCTGGCTGGGCAGATGTTCCATCAGCTTTGCGGCGTCGCCTTGCAGTTGTGATTCTCTGGCCGTGAGCACCCAGCCACTGCAACGGCTCTACGCCTAATCTAGGCCTGGGACTGCTTTGGCCCGCCTTCGCTGTTTCGTGCCCTTTGCCTCCCAGCACTGGCCATGTTCAACCCACAATACATAACCTCGATGTGGAACACGGTGCTTAAACTCTCTGGCCTTCAGGCCGCCACAACCTCGATCGAGTGGCCAAAAACAGGTGGGCCTAACGCCTGCACACATACTGCCGCTTAGTCGCGAGGCATCGCCATCCTGGCCAGGATCACGAAGACTGAGAGCCAACTGTTTGAGATGTCCCGCCTGGGCCTGGGCCACCTGGGTGAAGCGCTCTCGCACACCGATCGCAGATGCGGGACGCTGGCAGACTGGAGATGCCGCATATGCCGTTGCACGGCTCGGAAAGGCTGACAGTGGCCTTTTCCTTGGGAGGCTCGCTTTGCTTCCAGAACTCGAGGGCGCGAGGGGTGTCTGCAAGGGCGATGAATGGAAATGAGAGCTTGCAGCGGCAATCGATGCCGCCAGCACCTCCTGCGACTGCGAGTGGGAGAAGCAGGCTGCGGCCGACGCCGACTTCGGGGCATCCGTCGTAGGCGACGGGGCGGCCAAAGGGACTCCGTGTGAGCCGTCGACTTCGCTTCCAGCTTGGCTTTGGCCCTGAAGCTTGCTGACTTCGGCAAGCCGCTCGCGGGCCTCACGGTGACGCTGCAGCAGGGAGAGTCTCGAAGCATTTTGCTCCTGTGACTCTACCATGGGGTCCTATCACACTCCTTTTTAAGTTCACCCGTAAGTTTAAGAACTTTGGGCCCGCTATCCAAGATCGTCCACACACACAGACGCACACATCAGGGTAGATTTTGTTGGGCTGGAGAGACGTCCTTCCATGGAGCCAAAACGATGGCACTTCGAAAGCGGACAGAATTCTGACTAGCTGCATGTGGCTAAAGCTTGGAATGAAAGAAGCACATGCAGCGATGGATCGCATATCTTTTGCCACTTTGTGCAAACCTCTCAGCGCAACTTTGGGTTGACGACAGTGTGATCGAAAACGTGTCCGAGCGAGTGTTGCAGTGCTGTCATGGTGCTCCGTGCACTTCGGTCCGATTCTATTTGCCTATCGCGACACTTCCCTCGATTATCAGGCTTCCCTAACTTCTTGCGAAATCTGATAAGAGTCAACACGAAACATCTGATCGGGCACCGGAGATTCACAGCAGCAACAGACTCTCCAAATATGAAGTCAAGAGACAAGAGCTGTCGTCATCGCAAACGCTCGTGAAACCGCGTGTGTGGCTTTTGCCAGCAAGGGGCCTCACAGCTCACTTTGCATGCCTGTGTCACACAAGGCTGAGCACGTCAAGGCTGAGCAGCACGTCGCTGCCAAGAAATAGCACAATCTCTGAGGAATGTAACGAAGTGCCTACTTTCAGAACATGGCTTGGTCCAGCCGAGGATTGGAGCGACGTTGGAGATTTCGAGCCGGCTCTGAAGTGCTGCATCCAACGCGAGTGGAGCTCTCAGAGCTCACCGAAGACCACCTGCGCGGAGATCCTGGTCAGAGGACGAGGCCGTAGCCGGGGGGGTTCTACGAGACAGGCTTTTCTGAGACAGCGGCAACCTCCGCATGCCGAAGCTTCTGCTCCTCTCAGCAAACTCGCTGTAGACAAAATCTCCTAATTACTCACTCTGCGCTATTTTGCACGGCATGTGATAGCTTAGCTTCAGTGGGTCGTCAGTCAATCCTGAATCAATCCTGCATTTGAGAATGCAATTGCCCGGAACGTCCGGTCGCTGTCCGGCAGCGGCTTTCAAGTCGCCTTCTTGGCTTTCTGACTCCCTCTAGTCTTGGGCTGGACCCCTCTAGCTGCCTGATGCGACTCATACAAAGCTTCTTTTGAACCCGTCACTTGTCCTGCTGTTCCAGCTTCGCGTTAAGCCTCCGGACCATGTCCTCCAATCCGTTCATGCGCCTCGGTGATAAGACAACTCAAGCTCTTGTACGACATGATAGCGAACTTGACCGTTCAGGCCGTCACTCCCGCATGCTGTCATTTTCCTCCATCAGCTTGCGAGACCTGCAACAAAGGTCCCACCAAAAGCGGTGTGCTTCAAAGTCTGCGTGCGGAGCTGAAGCTTCGCCCGAAGACATGGTTGCAGGCATCCGAGACTCTCGCTTGTTCTTGTAGAACTCACAGTCGACAGCCAAGTGCGCTGGAGACACTGCTGCCTCTTCCTCCTTTTTACAAGAAAAACATGTCTCGCTGGAAGCTCCTGGACATGCAACGAGACATGCCAAGCTTGGCACGACAGGCTGGCCGACAAGGGCACAACTTCACTTGCTTCAGCTGTCTAGCAGCTCTAGCACCACACACAAAGTTGCTGCAATTTCGTTCGTTCGACATTCCGTCCTCTGTGGGGTTCAGGATGGGAAGTGGGCTTCTGTTGTCGGGACTGACCACATTGCCGTCCTGACTCCGGGAGCGGCATGAGTTCCATAGGACCATAGGAATCACACTCAGCTTTCCACGTGCGGCTGTGGCGTGACGGGAGGTGGGCCTACAGGCAAATGGCACTCTGCATCGGAGTGGGACCGCGGACGGGGCCTGGCCTCCTGGGAGCTCTCCGTTCATCTGTGCCATGGCCTGCACTCTGTGCTCGGAGGTCTGCCCAGCTCTACTTCGAAACGCCTTGGCGGACACTGCATTGCTCTTTTTCTGCCGTTCTGCCTATTTGCGATCGGTATCTACGAGAGATCATCAGTTGACTGCCGAGGACTGGTGACGCCGGCAACTTTACGCTGGGGTGAAACACCATGCATGGGTTTTTCAAGAGTAGCGCCTGGCGCCTGAGCAGGCTTTGTTCACGAGTCCTGCCTCGAACGCTGAGCTATGGCACCCAGAAGGAAGCATGAGTCTAAGGGCTCAGGGGCTCAGCGCCAAGAGATGCGTAAGCACACTTGCAAAACTTGCGGATGCATCGCTGTCTTTCAGGTGCATCAGGTCAAAACTTGGTTCTGGCAGGAGCCTAAGCCTAGGGCACACTGCTCCCGCAAAGTCTATATACATTGTTGCACAGTGTGACCAGCTGCTACGTCGCTACACTGGTTGCACTCTGAAAAGAACTATCCGAGCATGCTAGAACGCCCACGATTCAAGTGAACCGCTTTCTGTGGGCACAGGAGCTTCGATGGTCTCCTTGCAAAATTCTGTGGCTGCCGATTGCAGGGATGCCACTGTTTGAGTCTCGCTCGGCTCTTCGCTTTCAACCGCCACGACAAGCTGAGCGTCCTGAGTCGACTTGGACAGGTTTGACCTGATCAAGGTCTCCTCCTTTGGAGTCTCTCCAGCAAGTTCAAGCTCCCTTGCCTTCTGCTCAGCCCTCTCGCGACGGATCTCTTTGCTAATCACCATGTAACAGCCACCCATCCACCACCAAACCACAAACACAGCGAGTATCATCACAAACAAAGCCGTTGCCATGACGCCTGCCACGATGCTTCGGTCATAGAGCAGAGAAATTGCGAGGCAAAGGCTTGGAAGAGCAATGAAAGTAGTGGGCACATAGATAACGGGAAACATTCGCCAGCAGGATGCGTAGAAGCCAAGCATACACGCTGCTTTCACAGGTAGTGCACGTATAAATGGCACGGGGAACCACATAAGCAATCCAAAGATGTTGAAGAACAGATGGCATAAAGCAATCTGCAAGGTGTCTGGATTAAGTAGAGCCAGCGCCGCGATGAGGGACGTACACGTTGTTCCGAGATTTGCACCGATGGTTATGGGCAGCATTTTCTGCATCGGCAAGACCTGCATGGCACAGAGAGGAATTAAAGTAGAGGTTGTCACGCTACTCGATTGTACAACAGCAGTGACAGCGAATCCGAGGACCACAGCAAGATAGTCGTTCGCTTGTGCAGCATGTCTCACCATCTTCTTGGCCCAACCAGCAAGGAGTGCATTTAGCACTGTGACAAGGCAGAGCAGCGACCCTGCAACGAGCACGAAGGAAAGAAGCAGCCCCAGGGTACCTCCAACAACATCGCCGACACGGGCGAAAATTCCAGAATCAAGGGTACGAGCACCCTCAATCGAGATCTCAAAGAACTTGCCAGCTTCCAAGTAACAGTCCGACGATTGCACGCAGCCATCTGGGAAGCTCAATACATGACTGCACTTTGTCAGAGAGGCAAAACCGTCCAGGTCTAATTTCCTCCAAGCCTTCTGCATAGAAGTCGACACACAGAAATACTCTTCGCAGTTCAGCCAGGCTGAGCACAGGCTGATGTTCACCGCGGCAGGCACTTCTCTAGGTAATGGCGATCCCAAAGACACGGCTTTCATTACGTTTTTGTTTGGATCCAATAAATAATCTGTCAGAGGAGCCACGATCGACTTCGTCGGGGAGCTAAAGGTGACAGCACGAGCCCCTGCGCCCACTGCAGCTTCCGTAACTGCCTTCGAGGCAAGGTACAACGGTCCACCATCACCAGTAATGGATGCCACGACTATCTCCGTGGGCAGCAAAAAAAGAACTGTGAGCAAGTTGAACATTTCATGCACCGTCGCTCCCGCAAAGGCATGCTCCAGCTCAGTCGGACTAGCAGTGTGCACAATGGACACGATTGTGTTGGTTATTGATGTTCCTACATTCGCACCCATGACCACTGGAATGGCCTCACGTACAGATATCTGGCCGGCCCCAACAAGGCCTACAATGATGGAGGTGCTTGTCGACGAGGACTGCACAAGAGCAGTGGCCAAGACGCCAATCACAAGGCCCTTTATGGGATTTCCTGCAGATGCAAAGAGTCCAGCAGCTCCTTTACCACCCAAGACCAACAATGCTCTTCCCATCAGGTCAAGTCCCACCAGAAAGAAATACAAGGCGACCAGCACTGCAGTGATGCGTGAGATGAGTAGCTGGATCCCCTGACCTGTGCATGCCCTGGCTTTGGGCTCTGAAATCTCTGAAGACAAGGCCGCGACTGCAAGCATGCTCAAGCGACTACAAATCCGAGATGAATGGCTGCAGAAAGGGCAGCGGACCGGAGCGTTGCCGTCTTTCGGCTGCGGGTCTTTCAAGCCAATTCTTTGGAATTAGCTGCTGATGTCTTCCGGGTAAGGGTCCTTCGAGTTTGAAGCTTCGGATGTGGATTTTCGGGGTTCAATTTCCCGCAGGCCGAGAGGGTAGAGCATAGGCAATGTGTACATGTATCATTAAACTCACGGGCAGATGGATAGATGGATAGATAGATAGACCGGTAGACAGATAGACAGACAGATAGACCGCTAGACAGACAGATAGACAGATAGACAGATAGACAGATAGACAGACAGACAGACAGACGGACAGGCAGACAGAGAGATAGATAGATAGATAGACAGATAGATAGATAAACAAATAAACAGATAACTAAAGGCATGCAGGCAGGAAGGCAGGTATGTATGTAGGCATGCAAGTAGGTGGTAGAAAAAGAGGCCTGCATGCATAAACAGCCATGTGCGCAAATGGATGGATGGATGGATGGATGGATGGATGGATGGATGGATGGATGGATGGATGGCCGGATGGATGGATGGAAACTGTATGTATGCACGTATGTACGCACGTACGCATGTGTGTATGTGAACCTACACTAGATGGACAGATAGACAATGTTCAGGTAGACAGCTGCACAGATCGATATGGGAAGTAATCCATATTTTCTTAATTCATATCCTGTGCTAGAGTCATTTGTATTAACATAAGTGTCCAGACTGTGGCTGTTGTGTGTACTACGCTTGTTGGGATCATCTTCTTCATGTTGCCCATTTTACTACTATCAATACGACTGATATGAGTATCTTCACCATAATTCTGCTTTCTGTTAAGTTCGGACTCACTTGCCCAAAGTGCCACCATGCCTCTGGCTCCATGGCGATCGACAATGTTAACTGTCCCTCCTGGCAGCCACTTTTGGATGACACGGCATCCAACCGTGTAGCGATACTTTTCTAGATGTCGTGCTACATGTGGACCCGTACCACATGTCATGTTTGAGCAGACAACTCGATTCGTGTTGAACAGCCTTTGTATGACTTAGGAGAGCCCGCCTGGCTGTGCAGGAACGACATCACAATCATGAAGCGCGAAAAGTTGACGAACCTCAGGGCCGACAAGGGTTTTGCACATTGCAAATCGCGGTGGTCCGCTGCCCAGGCATTCTAACCCGTCTTGCATCCACCTTTAAGCACCACGCTCTGCACGAGTTAAGGAAATACCACATGAGTTTGAAACGCAGCGAAGTTACTCATCCAGCTCAATCAAGCCATCGCCATTGACATCGAAGATCTGTGAGAAACGCTTGCACCTGCCAAAAAGCTAAGGCTTCTAGAATCTAGAACTGCAATGCAGTCAGGGCAAAGGCGAACCGCAAATACTCTGAACCTTACCTCAGCATTTAGCTGCGCTCTGCAAACGAAGGGGTACCCTCTCGTAGACTCCTGACACAAGTAGATAAGGAACTACTAGCTCTAGCTCTAAGTATTCTGTTTTTCAAGCGGCATTGCAATTACTCCGCTAGCCGGCTAGCCCGGGTAGGGGAAACGAGATTGTGAGGCACTCGGCTACTCCGCAAGAGTCTGCAACATCTGTATGCTCGATATATGCTCGCTAGTAGGCCCCGTATGTTGAAACTTGCGGCTCGGGGATATAACATGGTTTTTGCAAGCAGAAACTATGCAACGACCGTCCTACATGCACCACACACGACCGAGTTCTGGGAGCCAAGCTGATCCAGATCCAGCGCCATGCCTAAAGCAGACAGCACACACAACACAGGCCGTCAGATGTTCTAGAAGCCAGACGGAACCAGACTACAAGCGATCGAAAGCAGCCAAGATGCTGTGAGCATCGGCCATGCTGCGCACCTGAGAACGTAGAGCCCTCTCTTCTCGTATCTCTCAGCTCTAAGGTGCGAACCATCGGAAAAAGTTCCTCGGGCTCCAGGGTGCCGTTCTTGTCCTGCCAGCAGCTCAAGTACGTGGGTCTTGCATTGCATAAAGGTTGCAACTAGTCTTTTCAAGCGTGGATTCAACGGTCGTCTCTGCATGCATGTTCTGACTGCCGCTCCACTCGTGCCTTGTCCAAGTCCTGGAAGAAGGTGACACACTCGGTCACGAAGCGCTCACCTAAGTCGCTCTAGCTATACGGTTGTCGGCAAGTCTGCTACTCGATTCCGGCTCCGAATTCTGGCTGACGCCGATTCTGCGGGCTGCAACGGCCAAGTTCCGAATCAGCAACCTTTGGAAATCGGCTTCCGGCTCAACAAGTCGTTTCGGAGCCACTGTGGCAGGAACGGGACCACCTGCACAAACAGTAAAACATACTAAAACATGCTGAGCAAAGATTTGAGGTCTATGACACAGCACCTGCTGCAGCAACGCGTGTGCCCATTTTCCATGCAGCTGTACCAGTTCAGCGGGCAGTCTCGGGCATGCATCATTGAGTGCAACGCATTCGGAACATGCTTATCCGCGAAATCGAACGAAGCCCGAATTTCCGAGTCTCGCTCGACTTCAACCAGCATGTTTGCTTCATTGCTGAACCGTTACTTCGTTTGAAAAGGTGTGCTTTCTGGTGTAGATAGCTCAGTCACTCAAGCTAGCTACAGCCTAACGTGTCCTACCTGCGGTGACGTTGGGAGCATCCCCGGGCCTGCGCTTAAATTGCAGCCAAGTTCTGGTCAGAGCTTCCAAATCTTTGCGCGCAAGACCCTTCTCTGCACAGGAAGGAGCTCCCCCCACCCGTCGAGAACCGCCACATCAGGCGAGCCTGAGCATACCAACGTGCCATACTAGAAAAGGCACTGCAAAGCAGCCCACCAGAAAGGGTCCTCGTGGTCAATCAAACAGGAGGCGGCGGTCGCAGAGCACTGTCCTGCTTTCTGCACAAGATGTGAATTTAAATAATCGCGTAGAAAGAAAAAAGTGCGGACTTCTGAACTGTACTCGAACATCTGCCTGGAGCATCTTGTTCAGCTGCCCCGCAACGTCTAGGCAGCTTGCCATCTCACCGCGGAAATCTGACCTGGTCCATTTGTCGAACCGAAGCATTTCGGTACACGTAGAGAAGCCAGACTCCAGGCAGCTGGCTCTGATGTCTTTTGTAGAATGAAAGTACGAAGCGTATGCAAGGTCCTGCAGGCTTCAAGGGTGTTTCAACAGAGACTTCTCCGCCGTGTTGCTTCTCTGCTTTGTCTTAGGCACAGACTGCCCGAATTGTCGAATCTTGCTCTCGTATCCCTGCATTCCGCGGCATGGGGCAAAGCCGTGGGAACTGATTCCATTCCAAATCTCTGGGTTGCGAGCCTCAAGGTTTGCGGCAGTCTCGTCATCTTGCAACTGCTGCCCTTACTAACTGACAGGCTATGACAGGCTGCCACAACATTCAAGGGCAGACAACAACTCTGCCAAGCTCAGCACGTTTGCTGTCGTATCTAAGCCGAATGAAGTTGACCTGATGGTGCCACATCGCTTTGCAACGTCGAAATTTCTCGAGGAGCCCATGGCCTGTTGTCGCAGGGCGACAGATCGCTCCTTGAGCTCAGGCCATCGTCTTTGCTGGTGCTGTACTCTAAATACCCAAAGCACTACGTCAGAAGAGACGGCTTTTGCTTGGCTTTCGTACGTCAGCGGCCTGTCTCTTGTGTAGACCAGCACGACTCTTGGAGATGTCAACCAGCCAGGATGTGGTTTTGCGGTCTGTGCGCTGTTGGCACGCCAACAACAACGACGGGAGCTTCTTGCAAATGCATCCGCATGCACTTGGAGACTCAATCGAGGAGAGCTGCACGATATTGCGATATGAAAACGACAATCACATCAACCGACGAAAGCGGGTCACAATTGTAACACACACACACACACGCACACCAACTCCAGATAAAACGGTCCTCGAGGTTCCTCTTCGACTCTTCTAGCTTCTGCAACTCCAGGGCGCCTTTTTCACTAATTCCGTCTAAACTGCTCAGTCTGAACTGCTCAAGGCGGATGGAGAGCGCCGCCACTTGCCTTGTGCTTTCATATCCTCGATCTTGTCGTACCTCTCGGCCATCTCCTGATCGAGCTAAAATGCAGGTCAAAGAGGCAAGGTGGCTAAGAACATTGGCAAGTCGACATTCACAAGACCCAGTGTTGACTGGCACCGCATACCTTCTCGTACTGCTTCATCTTTTCCTCAACCTGCGCAAATTGTCTGTCCATGTGTGTCCATCAACTCTGTGATCAGCACTAGAATCTTCTGGCTGGACCTGATTTCCGCGAGTGCGGTGCCTGAGAGAGCTCTAGGGAGATCTTGACGTCGAGGCTCTCGATCTTCTCGAGTTCTCCTTCACCTGGGCACTGCCGGTCCCGGACGTGGCAGCCTCTCTCTCTCTCTCTCTCTCGCTGTCTCTCGCATATCAACCTCTTCTCGGAGCCCTAGCGTTTGGCGAGCTCCCCCTCCAGGCGGCTCCTGCGAGGCAGATGCAGAACTGCAGCATGTGCTCAGCATGTGACGAAGTCCCCAACCCCCCACCTCACCTTACACAACCAGAACAAACACTTGAAGGCCCTTCCAAAAACCCAGAATGTCATAAACTCGTCAGTGTCAGTGGAGAAATCTGTCGTAAGATGCCCAACCGCACAAGGCCCTTGCTGTGTCGTTTCCGAGTTCTGCAGCTGTCGGCTCTTGAAGTCCAACCTTGGCAAACAAACTCGGCTCTGCGTGTCCCGTGCCGTCCGGTCCTAGAGAAAGAACTCACGATGCTTCAGGGCATGCTGGCACGCAGGTGCGAAATGCTCGCCTTCCACACTCTTGCTCCACCAGGAGCGGTCGAACAAAATCCTGAAGTCTACTGCCCGACATCTGGCCCGAATCGATGCATCTTGCAGCTCTGGTGTTCCTACATGCTCTTGGCGAGCACGAAACGTTTGGCTTTTTCTCACAAGAAAGGTAGCCTATCATTCGGGGACGTTCGAGGGATATAGGGCCCTGGCTCATCCTCCATATCTCTCAGGTGAGACTCCGGAGTGACCTGACAAATCTGCATACATCTGAGTTAGCTGCCAGGTTCGACAAGCAATCAGTCCGACCATTGTGAAACCACAAGAGGATGCCAGAACTATCTGGGGGCATGGCATCGGTCGGCAAGTCCAAGCTCTTGGAGATGTTTTGCAGGAGCCGCTCAATGCTCTGGCAAGGATGGGCACCATGTGAGCTCTCTCACACAAGAGTACCTACCTGCCTGCCAGCCAAACTACCTACATGCATACATGCATGCATTCATACAAAAGTACATATATGCATTCATTACATACACGACATACACTACGTACATTAAAAACGGTACATACATGGTCACGTGCTCCCGGTTCCCCACCCGTTGCTCCCCGCATGGTCCAGGATGCCCCCCCGTGGGGTGTGGGGCCCCTCTTCCTTTTAATGGGGTATAAACAACGGCTTTAGGAGGGTGTTCGAGGTGTAATTTGGTTAGGGTTGACGGTTTATGCTCCGCTTTAGACTTAGAGCCTGCATTTAAGCGGCGTTTAGGGTTGGGTGTAGGGTTTAAAGTACAGTACAAGTTAAGGTTAACAAAACAGGAGCACGCCCTACGTTATAGGCTTCATGGCTTGTGTATCATCCCGGCCCTCTCTGCGAGCCTGGCCGCCTCCCCACCGCACCCCCCTGTGTTGTCCGTGTGCAAGGGCAAGCTTCAGGGATCATCCCTGTGCCCATATCCTCCCACAGAAGGGGGATACTTGGGGGCAGTTTTCTGGTAGTGGAGCCCGTGGCCCGCTCGCTTACCACCACCATAGCGGTTGGCTCCGGCCAATCGCTTCCATCGGCGTGCGCCGGAAGATACTCAGAGGACCAGACCTTTCAAGGTCCAGCGTATTACGCCGCAAGCCAGGCCTTTGGCATCTCGAGTGAGAAAATGCTCAGCCATCTCGGTATTGCACCGAAAATAGCACCCGCTTATGATGGCACCACTTCGTGGTTTGAGTGTGAACAACTCATTGATGACTGGTGCGACATTACGACGTTGGATGAAAAGAAGAGAGGACCGTCTCTCAAGACGCGGCTCCGTCTTGCAACGGTGCAAAAAGAAGCACTGGAGCGAGAAAAGCTTACCGCCATTGATGGAGTGGAATAATTCAAAAAGAAGATACGACCTTTCTTTGTGAAGGGTGAGCAGTATGTCTTCCTGTGGAGATTCCTGGGTCTCTTCAAGGCATGGAAAGGCAACCAAGGCTTCGGCACTTGGATCGCCAAGTTCGATATCGTCCTGCCGAAGTTGCGAAACTCCTAGATGGACCTTCTACCGGAGGTAACTCTGGCAGACGACTCACCAGAACTCGCTAATGCCCTCAAGCAGGATGCGACTTTCAACCGCGCACAGGACGCCGCAGAACAGGCGACATGCGCTGAAAGGCAATTCCGGGAATGGAACCGTGCGCGCGAAGACGCCCACAGGCATTCCTTCCCGGAGCAGAAGGCTACTGGCTCCAAGACGAGGACACCCTTGAGGAAGGGTTCCTCGCAAACGAGGACGAGGAGATTCAAACGTGGCCCAACGTGGCAGAAGACCTCGTATGAATCCGGCTTCTCCGGGAAGAGCAAAGATCACGAGGACGTTTCAGGCCCTATCGCTCAAAAGGGAGAGCCAACCGGACAGACGGTCAAGAGGATCCATCCGAACCCAGCTACTGCGGTAAAGGACAGGATTTTAGTGGCAAGGGCAAAGGAAAAGAAAAGGACAAAGGTGACAAAGAAAAGTCCTTTAACGGCTGAGGCCGCATCCTCCACAGGGGATCAAGCGAACGCTTCCCCTGGAGCATATGAAGCCGCCGTACCTGACTGGGTTGAATGGCACGAAGACAGCTACTACGCTGATCCAGGATGGACCATAGCTATGCCTCATACAACGAACAACTGTCTTACTGGTATGCAACGTTTGCCTTGAACCGAGGGACACGGAAAACGAACAAAAACAAGAGAAGAACAAAAGGACCATCAGGAAGACGCACACATCGGAATCCGATACCTGTCACAACAGGTCAGGAAGAAGACGGTGGATTTCAAACTGCCACAGCAGTATTCCCAAAGCAGCATACTGCGCTGTCTCATCTTACCGAACATATCAATCTTGACCGAAACCCTACATATGTCAGTCTTGACAAATGATGCACTCGCGCCACGGGTTCCCGCTATGCAGTCAATAGACTGATCAGGGCGGTGGAGCGCCATGCACGCGGCAAGATTGAATTTACTTGGATACCTTCCAGCACCAAGGTTTTCTTTTGCTGACAGTGAGACTGCTCTTTTCAAGGAGAAGGTCCCTCTGTGGCTCAAAACCACGCCACCATGCAACACCACGATTGAAGTTCTTGACCAAGGTCGCGTGCAAGGGCCCTGTGTACAACTTGAATTTACCAAAAGTGGTGAACACCTCGGACGGTGGAATCACCCTTGCAGCGCAGAACAACGTACAGGCGGTTGCGAATAGCCAAGCCTGGGGTAGCCGATGGGTGGTCACAACGGCCACGGAAAACAGCACCAGCCTGCAAGCCGTCTCCCGGCAAGGGATCGTCCACTTGGGGTGGCTGGACAGCACTGGCAGCCACACAGAAGGCCTAGGGCCAGGAGCAGAAGAAGACGGGACGCTAGGGAGAGCGCCAGAGGCAGAAGGCGACGAACCGCCCCGCGACGTGTTCAACAAGTTCCCAGGAACCGGAATTTGCCTCAAGTTCTTGCAAGGCACCCCGCAAAGAATCAACAGCCGACCTGCTGGTCTGGAGCAGAGAGCTCAAAATCATGCAGGTAGCCTCGAAGCCGCAATGACCGAGGACGAGGCACAGGAGCAGGCGACTCGGAAGGGGATGGTTCAGCGATGGGCCGAAGGCACGAAAAGGGCAGACCTGAAAAACCAAAGTTCCAGAAGGGTGGAGCCGCTGCCAAGGGCCGGACACCCTATCAGATATGGTTAGAACCCCTGAAGCACAAAGCCCACAATTTGTGCCACACTCATCTTTGAGCCCCGGGTCAGCACAACTTCACATTCAGCCTTACGACATCAGTGTCGAGTTTTGCGGGGCTTGGTGCACTCAGATGTGTTTAAAGCTTGAAGCTTGAAGGCATTGAGGCTTGGACGCGTTGGGGCTTGAGGGTTTGGGGTGTTTGGAGCGAGGGATGAGGGGTTTTGAAGTTCAGGGCTTGCGCGCCAATCATTGACTCCTTCAACAAGGTGCTGCGTGCCGAAAGCCCCAAACCCCTCTTAGAGCCCGTGGGCCAGTCCTCATAGCTGCTGAAAGGAATTGGCTCCATAAGGGCTGAGCGAAGGAAAGCCCCACCACCACTGCCAGGACCCAACCCCAACCCTCCCAGGAGAACGAAACCCCCCGCCCCTCCCGCCTCGTACCGGAAGAACGACCCCCCCACCCCATACTCCGAGAGAACGAACCCCCCGATTTCGCTAACGGCACTATCAGCAGACACACAGACTTTCTCACTTATGCTTACACAAATAATGTTACGCATACCTATGAACCTACTTATGCACGTACACGCAAACAGCATACATGTACAGGTAGGGATTGAGAGAGACTGACAAAGGCATAACGACTGAAATTGCTACTGATATGCGGGTGTACAAGATGGACAAGCAATGAGAACATAAAGAAAAAAACAAACCAATCGACGAATGGATGGACGGAGAGACGGGTGGACAGATGGATGCACACATGCATGCATACGTATCTATGCATGTATGGCCGCATGTACGAAATGCAATCGTACACATATATGCATGCATACTGTATTGCTGACATGTTTGCTTCCTTATTTCTGTAAATGTAAACACCGTAGCTCGCAATGAGAAGGAGGCAGTTAGCTAGGTCCGGCGAGGTTTGGTGCGTACATATAGATCTGCGTGCATGCCTACATCAACATCTTTGCACATGCCAGGCATGGGTGCAAACTACTTGCTTGAACTGTCTGCCCAGTAATTGGTGCACATGATTTCGTTCTCCACAAGTCGCTTTCTGCCCGCTGAAGATCAATCTCGACACACGTGGATCGGAATCTTAGAAAAACGCCGTAAAGGCTGAGAGCTACTTGGTACTACTTGGTTGTCAACCAAACAAACCAAGGCAACCCTGGCTTGCCAAGGAAACGCGGAACTTTGGGCCTGCGGAGACTCCTGCCTGAGTCTTCCTTGATTTGACAGACCCCAAACCTAAACTGCTAACATTGACCCGCAACCATTAAACCCTAAAAATCCCACAAGGCAGTCATTCTGCCTTCGACTTTAGCAAAAACGCTACTGTGCTTGGTGAGCGCGCTATCCTTTTCCGTTGAAACCCACTTGATCCCCGGCTTTGCCAAACGCAACGGTGAAAAAGAAACTGCCCACAACAGTAAACTCTGACGCCTAAACCTGTGCAGCCGTTAGCGGACAATGTTCGTGACACATAAAGCGACAGCTTCGCCCCTGCAATGGCACGCCAAATTCCGCACAGACCCCAACATGCGACAAACTCTGACCTCAAGCTCCAAGCCTTCACCCCGGAACGGATAGTGTCTGTGTCATGCTGGAACTGTCGCACAGGTAGCCGGGCATCTAATCGTCTGATTGCAGCATATTACAGCATTCCGGAACTCGCGTGTGCGCGCCACCAGACGGAACGTGTCTGAGTCTAATCGGATCATGTCTATTCATACGCCATGTGCTGCGACCCTCTGTGGTGTGTCTGTCTGCAAAATATGCACACACATCACATCACAGAGTTGGCCAGCTTCCCAGTCACAGGTGATCACCAAGTTCTCAATACAGTATGAAGACACCAAATCTGCCCGAGTCGGTCCAAGCTCCGCATTGTCTTGGCGCCTCCTGCTTTTCTTTGATCTTTCTCTCCTCCTCTGCCTGGCGCTACAGCAGAACAATCGCTTGCTCCAGCAACACAACTAGGTCGCAGTATGGACACCACTGATCTGGAAAGCCATATGGGTCACTAGATCCTTCGCCCACTTTGAGGCCAATCATGCGCCGTCTCTGTGGGACGTATTGCCGTGGTAGGAGAAGTCTAGTCACTATTTCGTGCCCGGCGGGTCACATTCTTAAGCTCTAGGGCCATGGGTTCAAGCTCAATGCTCGCACGAGTATGGAACAGACTGGGCTTGCATCCTGGACGCTTAGGCTTGAGTTAACCGTCACGGAGCGTGCGGGATTCCCGCTGGGCGCCGCACTCCGGGTTCCGGAAAATACGAGAAGCTCAGGGCGAAGAGCGGGCAGTGCAAGCTCTACTCTACAGATTTGCTGGCCTGGATGTTGCATGCTAGGCTGCTCTAGGCGCCTGTTAGGCTTGGGAATATGAGGCGGAAAGGACGCGATGAGTAGCGATGTAGGCATGACTCCCTGTTGCGAAGAAACCAGTTATCAAGTGTCACACAAGGATGCTGCACATGGAGAAAGTAGAGCTTGCAGAGACTGCACCTTGCTGTCGGCAAAGCCCTCGATGAAGGCCGTCATCTCTTGGTCCTCCAGGCCGCTGCCAGTAGCAACCAAACAATTGTTGCGACAATTACAGTTCAGCTGCTGAGAAGCCTGGACATGAGGCTCTATGAATCATGTGAAGGGCCCGAGGCTTTGCTCAGTCGCGGTCCTTGGTAAAGAGGATTTCGTACTTCTGTTGGTCGCTGCTCTCATCCTGCCAGCATCGAATGGGTGTTGCACGAAGACTCTGCATGCGGAGACATGGGTGCACAGCCGCAGAGCCTTCTTTTCTTGCGCATCTGCTTGAACCTGGCGGTCCAAAAGTGCCGACGTGCCGAGCCTCTCGCCAGCAGGCGGGACAAGGGCCTCCTTGATCTGAGCTCGAAGGCGCTCATTGTCAAGCTTCAACTCACCTTGCAGCCCCGAACATAGCAATGCAGCAGCCAGCACAAGACAGTCATATAACTCATCACCACCATGCCCCAGCTCCTGGCTGTTGTTTTTTTCTGCTGCAACGATCTCCCCATTGTCGTTCTTGACCTGCATTGGCCGACCAACCAGAATCAAGCATTCAACCATTACTTACACTGACCATCTCACAACGTGAAGTCACGGACAGCCTTCGACAGAAGGATTTCGCGCTGCTCCGGAATGCTCATGGACCCTTGTTGGACCTCCTGGCCTGGGCAGAGCATCGGGCCCCGAACACCCACAAAGACTCGAAACGTGTTGCTCAGGTGGGCACGAAGTTGGATCAGCTGATTTTCAAACTCACGTCGTGTTTGATCTTGGCGGACATGGAAGTCGCAGAAGCTTTCAGCACGTGCGGGGGGTCTCAACCCTATGACAGGAGGCCGGTGCTTAACTGCTGATGTCGTGTGCGAAGAGGATCGCTTCGGAGCCTTCCGCGCCGAGTGCAGATACTCTGCTACAGTCTTTCTGGCAAGTGTTGCTGAAGCTGAGCTGGCTCCGTCTTCGACCCCTGCTTTAGTGAGGTAAGCGCGAGCGCCATCCGGCTTCTCTCGACAGTCAGCACCAACACTAGCTTCTGGATTGTCGTATCATTGGTATGGGCCGTCATACCTGGTAGCTTGACTTGTCCGCACAATATGGCATTGCTCTTGGCCGCAGCCTGTACTCTGGCATTCCTCCAGCTGTCACTTCGTCGTTCCACACAGGCCCGTTTGCTAACAGCGACGTCATCTTGTGGCAAGCACGGATGCTAGCCGCATAGTTAGGACTTAACAGGGTGCGGCGCTCGACCACGATAACTCATCCACTACAGCAGTGCGCTGGCGAGCTCTTCCGGATCCTGGCCTGCTTTCCACGGCATTCAGTCTTCCACTGACCTGTAGCATCAAGCGGCATCAGGTGTGGCAACTTCTCAGCCAGAGTCATTCGTGGAATTCTCCCCCAGACCTGGTCGAGCTCGTCCCGCGCCTCTCCGAGATCAGAACCTGAACGAACAAATGCAGATGCTCTGCGCATGCACCGAAGAATGTGAAAAAGCTTCACTGTGTCAGCTAGGCCCATCACTAAGTCGCTTGGACTCTTCCCGCAGCTCTTCGTACTCACGGCCTCGTCAGCTCAGCCGCTGGGCCCATCACAGTTAGCATTGTGGCACTGGGGGGGAGGCGCTGATCTGGATGGAGCTCGTTCAAGCGATCCTGGTGCGTCGCAGGGCAGGAGATGACCCGAATGTGGCAGATGCTTCTCGGAACCGACACATGCCAGTAGTCCTCGGCTGCGCGGGCAATGCTGGCGATCTCCTGTTCCATGCCTCAAGAGCCAAAGCATGTTTGCAGCCCAAAGCAATCCGCAGCTCCATGGCCACAGTCCGGAGAACTCTGCAACTGTTCCCTGCAAGCAAACAACAAACACTTGATCAAACCTGAGCAAGCCAGGGGCTGAACGTCCGATCTCCTCTTCATGGCTTCTTTTCTCAAGGAAAATCTGATCCACATCAGCTCGCTGCTGTTCATTCTGAGACCTCCGCAACTTCCCACATGTAAAAACCGCGGGATGAAAGCTTTGCAAAAGGGGCTCGGGCTTCATGATGGTGTACATATGGTGAACTTCTTCTGGCCGTGTGTCTGTGCCTGCAGCGAGCTCAGTGGTTCATGTCCGTGCATCGGAACTTAGGCACCTAGCGTTGGATGCAAGGCGAGGGACGCTGCTTGTCTGTGGCCAGGTTGTGATCTGCGAGGTCACCCTCAAGAGATCGCACCGTCTTGACAAGGTTGTCGTAGCCTCATCTTCAGACATCGGTCAGAGCACGGTTAAACTGGCATTCCAAGGAAGGAAGCGCTGCTCTCGGCATGCAACGCTTCTCCAGCGACGCATAAACGTTGTTGTCCTTCCAGTGCATCACCCTTTTTTCTGGTACGTGCAGTCTCACGCACAAGTATGTGGTCCTGCTGGATATCGTTGATCTCCTTGTTTAGCCTGGCAACCTCGTCGACAAGCTCCTGGCAATTCCAAGGACACAACCATACACAGCCAAGCAAAGCACGATGATTTCTGCAGCTTTGTTCGAGGCCAAGGTGGCCTAAGCTTTGTGACCCGGCCTAAGACTGCATGGGCAGCTGCATGGCAGCAACACCCTGCTCGCCCACCCCCTCGCCCCCGCGGAAGAGATCAGATGGACACGCGAAACTGACTGCGGGAATGACTGCTCGCTGCTTCGCAGAGCAATCAAGCCAATCGCCTTGCAACGACTCGCCTCTTGCATGTGGAGTCTGCGGTCAGACCTATTTCACCAGAATTGGCATTCCCTTAAGTGGTCTCAGCTCGTGATGGCTGGCTTCTGCATTCCTTGGTGTCCGAGGCATGAGCTCTGGATTCGGTACGACCAAAGCCAAATTTGCTGCCTTTTCCCTGTCGCTACCAAGAGTCTTCCACAAGACATCTGCCAAAAGACCTGCGACAATGGCCGAACCACCCAGGGCTTGTGCAAACGTCAGATGGAGGCCATATACGGCGTAGTTGAGACAGCACGTGGCGACAGGCTGCAGAGTCTGGAAAGCAACCACCGTGGTAGGTGATGATACCTTGTTGGCCCATGCACTCACGCTATAGTTGTATGCCGTAACGAACACAGCAGCGTAGGCCAAAGCCATCTGGGTGATGAGGTGGTCTGTGCACAGCCAGTCTTTGGCTGCAGGGGCGGAGTAGCAAGCAGAAGGGAGGATGCCGCAAGCTGCAATTAAGAAGGAGACCCCAGCAACAAAGATGGGTGAGTAGTTGTGCAAAACTCCACATTGTTTCTGGACCACATTGTAGGCAGCACCAGCTGTGACGTTCACAGCAAGAAATAGCCAGCCCACTTGTGTGCTGCTCGAAGACGACAGCCCCAGAATGTGCAGCTCATGTCCAGAAACTATGACGATTGTCGCACCCATGGTGCAGACACAGATGCAGATTGCTTTGCCTCGGTGAAACATGCTCAGGCACGCTTAAGGTTGCAGCCAACTCTGCTACTTTCTGCCGCTCTGAGCGGCCAGTTGACCAGGGCTCAATGCCCAGTAAAGTGGACATCACTGCAGCAATCACTGGCAAGATGGGTTGGAAGATCGCACACACAATTGCCGGCAGTCCTGGACAAATCTTCTGCAGCGTACCGTTCAGCCCATACTCACTTGCACAGATGGAAGAACGAGAAGCAACGCAAGGTTCGAGACTTGCTTGACTTGGACGAAGTGTCTCGCCACGGCCATTAGTCCGCCGATTGTGTTCAGGCCGAGCAAGCATGCCTACGTCGTCAACATGCGAAGCATCCCAGGATGTGACTGCAGCACCCTCACAGAATCGCGAATCATGCTGCTTTAGCCAGCAATTCCGAGTTGCTAGAATGAAAAACTTGTCGCCATCGGATCGCAGACATCGCACGATCTCCGACACTGGATAAAAGGGCTTGTCCGCCCTGGACCGGGCTGCTGGAATGCAGCACAAGGTCAGCATCATCAGTGCCGAACCCAAGAAGCATCTGTAGAATAAGAACCTCACCGTGTACAGTCAGGAAAAAGATGCGACACTCCATGCTTCTGATCGAACGCAAATACCTTCACAAGACGTTCGCATACTTCGTCGTTGCTGCCGTGCCACAGATACGGTGAGGTGCCCTCGGCCATTGCTGCCTTTGCGATCAAGTGCCAGGCGCCATAGATGCTCGAAACCTTTGCTCAGCTGGAGCTTGGATAGTTGCATAGTTGCATGCGGGAGGCATGTTCCTGTCTTTCGTAGAAGGGCAACACCGAATCACCTGGCTGGGCTTAGACAGCAACTGATCACGACCACGATTTCATCATTATGGAGGCTTGTTGGGTCAAAACTCCCCTGTTGTCTCTTGAACTATTCTAAAGCCACACCTGGTTGTGGCACCTCGACACTATGGACACCACGAACTCAGACTTGCGGTAAGTCGTTTGCTGATTCTAAAACACGTGGCCCGTGTAACCGCAGCTGTTGATTGCCCTGTTGCCTCAAGACTGCTGACTGTTTCAAGTTCCATGAAGATCGTGTTCAGGTCTTTCGACATCTGCAATGCGGCTGTCTCAATCTCATGTTCACGCTGATATAACTTACCTTCCCACGGCCACTGGACCAACTCCAAATTACAAACGCCAGCAAGAGACGCCGAAGGGCCCGGAAAATGATTCAACATAAAACCCTTACCTTCTCAAATACTGCTGCACCATGCTTGTAAAATGCGCGAATGCTGCAGAAGGCCATGATTCGATCAGCCGTGGCACCGAAGTCAAGCCAACCATGACAAGAAGGTCGGACCTCACGACATCTCAGATAAAGGACTAGCAGTAACTAGTAGCCGATGAAGAGGGAAAATCCGGTTGACAACCTATGTCCACGCGTCCTGCCACGAGTGAGCTGAGCTACTTCCAGCCTACCCTTGGTTGAAGCGCTGTTAAGCCGGCACGAATCCTTTTGCCTACACTGAGGTTGAATAGATCCTCAGTATCAGCAGTCGAGATCGACTGCGGGACCAGCAACACTGTGAGAAGTAGCCACGCACATCCCCAACACAACAGGAACTGCGTTGTCTAACCACTGCCTGTAGGCTTCTACTCTTCCAATGCGTTTTGCGAGATTCTGGCGTTGTCCGAAGTGTGATGGTATCTCCCTAGCTCGCACCATCCTCACCACTGGTAGTTCTCAGTACTGCTACTCAGCCGTGCCGTAATCCAGGTATGTTCCAACTTGAACCAAGGCTCCTCCAAGCATCCCATCTGGGCTCCATACCGATAGGCCTAAAGATAGAACTTGAGCCGAAGCAGCTGAAAGGCTCATTCGTGCCAAGTTCGTCGAAACCGCTGAAGTCCAACGTGTCTATCAAACCGTTTTGCAAGTCTCCTGACACCGCTTGCGCAGCTCGACAAGGTAGTAGGTCTTGTCCTCGGAGCGACATGTTGTCTACGCCTCTACCCTGCATGCTGCTGAAGGACTCGACAAGATGCAGAGAACTGAGTAGCTACGTTCATCTCAAGCCTCAGTTGAATCCTAACTCCGTCTGCCTTGCTCGTTGGTAGTAGTTGCGTTTGCGTGCACGGTACTGCACCATCGCATCTACCTAGCCTTCCGCTGCGTGACTCGTCTCCAAACTGCTCATGCACCCGAATCCTTCCCGCTCTACACATAAGATGCCGCGGAGAGAGGCGAGATAGGCCATACTAGAGCTTTTCGCTGGGCTCGCGGCATAAATCTGTCTCTTTGGGCCCATAGAGCCAGTCTTCATCCCCATGACACCTGAACCCAGCGCCCAGAAAAGGCAACTACCCAGCAAGTCGAAGCCGAAGAACACATCCGTCTCGTTTTGCAGCGGTTGTGCGTGGAATCCGTGTCGTACTGCGCACCCAAACAGCTGCGCTTCAAGTGGCTTTAAGAAGACACATGCGTCTGCCAGTACAGACAGCTGTCTGACAACCGGGTTGGCCACCTCGCTCTCAACAACGCAGATCACCTCTGCCGAGGTGCCGCATCGTCTCACTCAGCAGGTGACCAGCCATGAAGATATCTGTGCTGTTTAACAGCAACAGGACAGCATCGTGTCATCAAAAGATGTTTCCCCGAGCTGTGCACAACCAAAGGCAGAATCTCCGCACGGATGCTCTGTGAGCAGATCCATGCATCACACATCTGCCCACCCCATGTCAGCACGTCTACGGCTGGAAACTCCGAGATAGCAGTCTCGTCATCTAACGAGGGTGGCACAGCACAAGCTGGCATGCCAGTGCATGCAACTGGGCGTGCCGAAGAATGCATTTCCTTAAACGGATTGAAAATAGACTACTTGTTGACAGAAAAGTATCCCTTTCCTCTGGTGAGTTACTTGTCGAAGGCCGTGAAGCCCCACATCAGAGGTCGGAGGCTGTTCAAGAGCACCTGCGCAGAAATCTGCATCCTCAAGGCTGGAATTGCAAACCCAGCTGTACGGACTCGACCTAAGGCCATTCGGGCCACTTCTGAAGCTCTGCTCCGTGAAGCCGCACTGCATCCAAGCCGCCAAAAGCAAGCTGCCGCTGTCACTGAGAACCCCAAGGGTCAGACCCAAGTGGCCTCGGACTTTGGCGCTGTCAGATGAAACGTCTGCGGCACATGGGCGCATGCAAAGAGAAGCCCGAGGCGCCGGTGGCCGCCAAGATGAGCGCGCTGAGCTTCACCACCAGTGCCTGGGATAAGGAAGGCCGAAAGGGGTCAGGCCCCAAAAAGGTCACCAGAAATGGACGTGGCGATGCGGCGGCGATGCGTAAGCGCAGCCTGGCGTCGAGGGCGAGGTTGGCTCGGATGAGCTCCTTGCAGCTCCTCGCAAAGTAGAGGGCCTGGACAAAGCGCAGAAGCATCCGACCTCCACTCCCGATCACCACATCCTCAGCTCCGGCCCAATCTGGTAGAATCTAAGAGTGGTCTTGCATTCTGTTGCCGAGATGTTCTTCCCAAGTTCTGGAGGCCACGTTCCACCTCGCTTGTTTGCCAAGTTTCCGCGGCATCCGTGGTAAGCTGCAGCCCTGCAGCGATGGCGACCCCCACGTCGGCGGCAGCGAGCGCAGGTCCATCGTTCAGCCCGTCTCCAATCATCGCAACCACCTGCTCAAGAGCAGTCACGGAAGTGCTCAAGAGAGGGTCCTCGACTCGGAAGGCCAAAGAGCTGCCGCCAGAGCCGGCCTGGCGGCTCCTTTTCACCACCAGGGCTTCGCTCAGGCCCGAGCCCCCTTCCAGGTCCACCGGTCGGGGCCCGGGCTCCTCCCCCGACTTCACCCAGTCCTCAGCTTCCAAAAAAACACACGCTCCCTCTCTGTCCCGCTTCTGACAACGCGCCGCCTCCTTGGCCGTCGGCGTAAGTTTCGCCAACCTGGCAGAAACAGTGTCTGCGCAACATTAGGCGGTGCCCTGTCAGTGAGCGCATGAACAGTTCATTGCTGCAAGCTGAGATACCTTTTCTGAATGCCCAACTGCTCGCCCACCACGTTCGCCGCCTTGTGCTCATCGCCGGTTAACATGGTGATCTCCACTCCAAGTTGCTGCAGGGCTCCGATCGCCGCCGCAGCATCCTCCCTGACTTCATCCTCCAGACGTAGCATCATGACAACCTCCTCCTCCAAAGTCATGAAGACTGTGCAGTACACACCTCCTTCTGCCTCCCACGATGCCAGCTTCGCTTCTGCTGTGTCTGGGAGGCTGATGGCCATGGAATCCAAAAAGCGCCTGCTGCCTGCACCAACAACTTGACCTTGCACAATTCCCCACACTCCCATCGACTCCACACGGGTGAAGTTGGAAACCTTGGGCAAGTCCGGGCCATTGGTATCAAAGTCCGCCGCACATCCAACAAAGCTTCTTACGAGAGCACTTGCTAGCGGATGGGAATCTTGGGACTCCAGTGCCGCAAGCAGACGCAGCAGATTCGTCTTCTCTCCATCGAGCACCACGACTTCGGCGAGTTCAAAGGTACCCTTGGTCAAAGTGCCGGTCTTGTCCGTCCCAAGGCTTGTAACTCTTGCGAAGCCTTCTAAGGCACGGGCATCTTTCACCAAGACCTGGAGATCCGACAAAAGTCGCACGAAGCAACAGGATTGCACCACCGGAGCTGCCGCCACCACGGCACAGGGGCAAGCAGACACCAAGACCGTGAGACCCCTCGTTAGGCTCTCGGATAAGATGGCAATCACAAGCGACAGCCCGAGCACCACCGGCGTGTAGATCTCTGCGAAGCGGTTCACGAGCTCTTCCATGTCGGATCGAGAGCTCCGTGCGTCCTGGACAGCCGCCTTCATGCGACCCTGAAAAGAGTCTGCTGCCGTAGTCGTGCACTCCATCTCTGCCACACCAGTGGCGACAACTGTCCCAGACAGGAGCTGAGATCCGACAGACTTCTCTGCTGGAAGCGCCTCACCGGTTACCGCCGACTCGTTCACCATGAATTCTTCCGCACGGAGAAGGCGGCCGTCCGTTGGCACCACGCTGCCACTTTTTAGCAGGACGACGTCTCCCGGGCTCAACTCCTCGATTTTCACAGAGACACCTCCCGTTCGAGACCCGCCCTTCTTGAAGAGGAGAGTGGCATGGCTGGCAGCGCCAACCATGCTCTTCTCCAGCTCATTCTCGACTGCCTGTTGCGATCGTCCAACGATCCACTCTGAAATGTTCACAAGGAAAGCCACGGTAGCAGCTTCGGTGAACTGCTCGAGGTAGAGAGCCCCAAGCAGGACGATGAGCATCAGGACATGCATGGAGATGCGTCGTGCCACAATGGCCTGGCCTGACTCACTTTGCGCATGGACGCTTTGACGACTCGATGGCTACCACCTGCTCTTCATAACAAGACTAGAGACGACAATGGCTGACGACGACCGATTTCAACTAAGCACCCCACATGCTCTTCGCAAAAGGCCGTGGGCAAGCAGCACCGCGACCTGGAACACAGAAAGCTCACTTATGGCCAATGTCACGCCAAGAGCAAGAGCGAAAACAAGTACAGGGCCACTCCAAAACAGCCCCCCACCGAACCTTTTGCTTGATACTTGCGTGACCCATCTTGAAGGCTCCATCCAGCATTGTCAAGACACTGCTGTTCAGCCATGCTGCAAGTGCTAGCACGGGACTCTGAGGACCAGGGATGAAGGAAGTTGAGAAGGCAGCACCTGGCACGCCAAAATCGCTGCAGACCAGTTGCCCCGTCAATGGCCTGCCTTGCACCAGCAGCAGCGCACGGGATGCCTTGCCTCGGCTCGCACGCAAGGGTCTGGAGATCTGAAGAGGCAGAAACGCGGTGCGAACCAAGGACTGTCTGCGTCCTTCAGAGAGTGGAGGAAACCCAGCAAGCCAGAGCTCTTCTCCTCCTCGTGTTGAACACCGCCGGACTGAAGGATTCCTCAACACGAGGCACAGCTTCTCGAGTGCAACTTGAAAGACTCAGTAAATGTCACTTTAGCCATGCACAATCGACCATTTCTCTCGTGTTTTCGAATTTGGGATCCAGGGAACCTACATCCAAACCTTGCAATAATTGAATTCAGCTCCGCCAGCCCCTTCTGCATAACTATTCCGCACTCTTGTGACGCAGGATGCTTGTATCTAGGCCCTAGGCATCAGGCATCAAAACCATGTTCAAAAGTATCTAACCCTTGGAACAGATTGCAGCTCGGCCCACTCTCTCCTCACATGAGTACTTACATTCACGGCTTCTCCCGAATCTGACAGTCGCCAAGGGTGGGTGGATCTTGACAGAGTGCTTGAGCTGACGCTTCAAGACCTGGCCTTCAAAAAGCACTTTTCAGAACGATCCGAAGAAGAAACTGCTCTTGAAGACGTCTCTGCTGAACAGGGTCCATGAAACGTTGGAACCCACTGATGCGAAATCTAAGCCGAACGGTGAGGCAGCAGAAACTACTTGGCGCACCGCTATTTGCCACTTATTCTCGTCATGAGCGTGAAAACCGTCAAAATCAATCATTTGACTACACGAACAATATGGCTGGGAACGGCGTAACCTTGGGTCTTGTATACACTTAGTCCGTAGTAGTGCCCCGTAGAAAACTGCAACCCGCAGGCCAAGAAACACCCTCTAACCAATGCCTGCAGAGCGATTACGTCCCAGAAGGCCGAAGGCACGTCTTGGGAACGCACTGAACCCTCCTGTGAACAAAGAGTTTCTCAAACTGTAGGTCGTGGCCCACCAATTCCACGAGGTCAGATCCCGAACTTGCGGCTTTGCTGTCAGGTTGCGGGCGCCCAACATCAAGCGGTTCAGGGCCGCCACCAAACCTGAGACTTATAGGTTCTCTTCGCACGATCTTACTGGAAGAATAGAGGCTGCAGGTTCTGTGGCTCCGTAACTGTGACCAGTAACGAATAGGCCAGGACATGTCGGGTAGGGACGTCCCGGGCTCTCAAACTTGTCCGAGAACAAGTTCGACAATGCCGTTTTGCGAGCGTGGCATGTGCCGAGGTTTGCGATGCATTGCTTCGATTCTTTCGTTAAAAACGGTTTGTGTCTAGGGGTCATTAGTGCGTCGCGTTTGATGAGGGACTGCGAATGGAAAACCTCCAACCTGTGGAGGTGTGCCCTGATCACCGCACCTAGTACCATCGAATTTCCACGCCACACTCAGGCCGGAGAAATGGGTGCTGCCATACATTCTTCCTAACTTGATGCTACGAGTATCATTGTTGTGCGCATCACCTAGTCGTGCTGGTAGAAATCTTGCTCTGGTTCATGTTCAGTTCCCACCTTTGTCTTAAAGCCAAGCATCTGTCAGCCTTCACCTTTGACAAGTGGGTCACCACAGCAGTCTTTGTTCCAGCGTTTGCTTTGACAGCTGCCTTGCTGATTCCAAGGCTGGCTATCGCTTTCTCAATCAGCTTGACTTCCTTGTGTGACTGGCGTGCACGGGATGTGAGCAAGCGGAGCTAGAAGAAAGTCGAAGCTTTGTTGTCTAGAAGCAAAAATTTGCCAGATTTCTTCTGCCCAGTATCCGAATTTCAGCATAGGTTGTCCACCTGATCACGCTGCACCCTCTGCTTTCGACCCAGTCGTCAACGCCAAATGCAGGCAAGCCACTCCGAGTACAGTTACCTCGAAGCGGCAGCACGGGCGATCGCATTTCTCTGTCGAGTGGACAATGTCGCGACACTCCTGCTTTGCAGCCGGAAGAGCTTGGCAACTCAAACGAGCAACAGCTGCTTCTTCTGCACGGTAGGTGAGCCGTTTCTGTCTTGTAGACTTGTAGACGTGACGTACGTGTCTTTTTCTAGCTGTGTATGCCGGTTCGGATGGGGCTTCTCCTTGCCTGGTGCTGCCTAGGTTACCGGCGACGACTACGAGTCGACTGTGTGTGGGACAGGCCTCGCAGTGAAAGCAGATCGAGTGGTCACAGACCTCGTGAGGAGACACGAGTCCGGACATTGCATTCATGGCATCCGCAGCTGCACGAAGCCTTGCACACACCCGAAGCCAATGTTGGATCATCGGCCTTACAGACTTAGACATGCAGTCGACGAGGACGCCTTTGTCAGCCTTGCTCTCAGTCACCGGGTTGCCGACATTCAAGTCGCACGTGACCTCGCAGTCCTGCCTTTGCTCGAGGTGCTCGAGAGTGCTCCACGAGTGAGTTTATTTGATGTAGAGAGTCAGAGGCAGCTCGCTCTGGCCTTGAACACGGCATTCTCGCTGAAAGGCCGCGGGTGAGCTCTGCCAGGAGGCTTGAGCCAAGCAGCCGGAAACCGCATGCGATTTTGACACGTGGTGACAACTCGCACAAGCACGTGTCGTTTGCGACGTGGCGCACCCTGCATCGTCATCGGCCGGTCGGACACCTTCACCTCCGTCATTGCGCCAACACCTCGGAGAAAAAATGCACTGACAACCATTGGAGAAGCAGGGATTTCGCGGAGTCTCTAGTACATGCATATATTTGCGCTCGGCTCACTGGCACATGCACTACAGCCACTACAGCCACCTCCAGCTCTTCTTGCAGCTTGGTGGGGTCGCCACAAGGCCGTGTTGAAGAGACTGCAGGACTTGCAGGGACCCGATGCGCAGTGGCATGCAAGAGCTGGCGCCAAAGCCGGAGTGAGAGCCGAGAGGCACCGGCTGCGGCTTGAGCTTCGGAGGCCACCAACGGGGCATCCGGGGCTCTTCCCATTGCTGCGCTCTGAGCCCTTGGCCCAAGACAGGTTGTCCGGCCGTGCCCTGGCGCGTTCGGGAAGCGCTCATTCCTCACAGGGAGCGGATGCCACAACAGTGCAGCACGGCGATGTCCATGTGGATGCGCTGGGGACCGAGCGCCCGCCCTGAGCTGTCGGTACCTCCACTCTACCCCTTTTTGCGACGATCCCCAGAGCCCGCCGAACTGAGAGGGCTGCTCGACCAGTTTGGCCCATGGGGTTCTGTGTCCTGTGCAGGACAAGTCTTCATCCACAAAGCCGCATGCACTCTGCCAGGGCTCCGGGCCCTCCCATCTGCGTGCCTGGGCGCATCGTGGCCTGCACAGGCATCGCGCCATGCGCGCGCCTTGCACGAGAGCCTTGTGGCCTGCACTGGGCCAAGGCCACCGGTGCTCATCCCGGGCGCAGCCCTCAGAGATGGCAGAAGGCTGCTTCATGTGTCCGCAGGAGCTCGTCGGAGTGTCGGGGCTCAGGCACTGGGCCCATCCCGCGGCTCTGCGGTCTTCCAGGCGAGGCCATTCTTCTAAGTCCCAAACAGGTCTTCTGTGCCGTGTCGCACTGTGCTCCAAACTGCATCCAAGCTTCCTGATGCTCCTAACGGGCACTGGGCACAGTGGGGCACAGTCCACGTCTAACCCGGCTGTGAGCCCGAGGCACCAGATCCAAGGCACATGATGCCACCCGGCCACCAGCACTCCGGCTCTGAGCTTGTTGCGAAGAACGGGGGGCGTAACGGTGTAAGGCTCACAGCTTCAGATCATCTGCGCTCCCGAAGGCCTGCTGAACGGCTTCGTGGTCGCGCTCCAGGGCTGCGAGCAGGTCCTCTTTATCCGACTCCAATTTGTGATGCGCATTCCCGATCACCGTGAATCTCTGCGCCGGTCCTCGATGCGTTTGCTGTCCTCCAAGACCTTGACGGCTTCAGCAGCTGCAGCCTGCAGATGGAACCGTTGCTGTGTCAGCTACCCCCGGCTGCCATCTGAGGCCAAGATACAACAAGCAACGGGGGGGAGAAGAGTATGTCCCACTGCGCGCCTCTCCATCAGAGCTGTGGAGATAGCTCATGATGCAGAGGAACCTGTCCGCGCAACTACCGGTTTGAGGTCTGAACGCACAGAAACCAGCCAGGACTAGCAGAGACCACCTGGCGAAATCCAGGAATTCGTCATGCCGAAGAACGCCGTCACCGTGCAGATCAAAAATGGAGGTGAAGGCTTCGCACCTGAGTTCATCAGGTCTGGACTCACAGAAAAAATGCCAAAGCATGACGAAACCTTCAACTACGTTGCAAAGCATAGGGAGGAAGCACAGGTGATCAAGGATAGCCGAGTCGCTGCTGCTGTGTCACAGCGAAGGGCTGAGAAGAGGAGAGCGAGACAATGATGTCGAAGAGCCTGGACCCAACTCTGATCAAGCAGCATCTTTGCACTGAGCAGCTTGCAGCATCCTCTTTCAAACGTCGAGCAAGCTTAGCACATGGCTCCGCGGGTTCCAACACTCCACTTCCATCCTGGAGGTATCATAGACGACGAGGAGCTGTGCAAGGCTGCTATGACTACGAGGCCTTGTCAAGAGCCTTGAACTGGTCGGAGAACTGTGTCACCTCGAAACGTCGAGTGATCATGCTGAGTCTGAATTCTCCGCAGCCGTCCAATGTTGTCAAGCATGCCAGGCTCTCAAATCGCTGGCTCACCAATTCGCTGTAGATGGCCTCAGCTGGCCGAGGCTCTCACCGGCTGTCATCAAACGAGAACTATGGCCGAAGCTTCTGGCAGCAGAGGCATGACCTACATGAGATGCGCAGGTCGCTTTGCCTACAAGCTGCAGGCTCAAAGCCTTCACAATGGCATCGCGGTCTCTTTGCAGCTGGTGCAAGAGACGGTCCACCGCGCGACTGCTTTTCTCGACCTGACCGCGGTCCGTTGTCGGCTTTGGGGGGATGAAAAGCCCAGGCCGCCAGGCCTCCACCTGCTCCTTCGCCTGCTGCCCCTCTGGAGTTTCCATGAAGGCCCTTAGCTGCTACCACTCTGCTTTGGGACCTCGAGGCTCCCAGGCTCCCGGCATGATCATCATATAACGCACCTCGGTCCACAAAAACGATTCCGTCCCTCAGAGATGACTCCCACATGGCTCTTGTCCTACCGAATTCGGCATTGGGGCCCTCGCAAAATTCACAAACTCGTGCTTGGCAATGATCTGTGCAAGCAAAGACATCTGTAGGGTTCGTTCTGCGAGTGGCCGACTATCTGCTCATTACAAGGCTGATTCCGCCCTGGATGCGGGACTCCCTCACGAAGAACCGGTGCAGGGCTGCTTCTCGCACATTGCATTCTCATGTGATTTGAGGCTCGCACACCATTTCTGTCGATATCGAAAACGTCGACGAACTTCTTGCAGTGCTCTTCTGTGAGAACGAAAGCGTGTGCCTGCGAACACCCAGAAGGTTCGGTTGGGGTCTTCTCGTGTCTCTTTTGCAATTGTGCCTGAGTCAAGTCCTGAACTATAGGTAGAAGCTCTGCAGGCTCCAGGGTGCCGTTGCCGTCCTTGCAGAGTGGAAGGCGCCGTTTGTTTGCTTGGGGGGACAATAATCCCTGCCGGGGTCCTTGTCCAGCTGTGAAAAGAATTCGTCACACGACAGCTCGAACTCTGGACTCGAAAGCTCGTCGATGAGGGACTCGGAATAGCACCGCTATCATTAGATCGCACCAGTTGTGCCTTCCCTTTGCTAACTCCCATGGCTTTCAATTCACAGAATGCATGGCATGGCTCTGGCCTGTGGGAGGAAGGGCAGCACATCCCAAACCATCTCAGAGCCTAGCTCTAGAGTTGCAACAGCTCCAAGACAAATCAGAAACTGAGTACCCGGCCCTGTCTGAGCCCCTGCAGGACAGACTCCATCTTTTCTTGACCGAGCATCACGTCGGCCATCAGGGCATCCTACCAACTCAGCCAGTGCCGCAAAAGCTTCAAGCTCCGATGCCGATCCTGGTTCTCCACAAGGTAGGTGAGATATCCCATGACGATGCAGTACCGCGCCAGGAGCAAAAACTCGGCAGGCCTGCTCCACAACGGCTGGCTGACCGAGCTATTCTGCAATGGCTGATCCAAGTAGAAGACGTCACCGAATTCTTCAGCTCTCGATCCTTGTTGCATGCAGGAGATGCCGAACGACATTAGATTATCTTGCGAGGCACACCGCTACTCTCTACAACCCGTCAGAGAGTCAGCCGAGATGCCCATCGGCTCATGAAATGGTTGCACTGCTCGTCGCTGATTTTGAAGGGGTGTACCTTGTCAGAAAACGGACCGTTTACTGGAGACTCTCACAGATTGTCTCGCGGTGCCTGGATCAACTGGTTTATCACCTGGGAGCGAGAGAGCTGATCCGGGCGCGTCGTAGGTTTCGGAGATCTTTGAGGCCGCCACCGGCACTAACATGCCTGGAGGCACCGTGCTACCGGCATCGCAATCCTCCCCAGCTGCGGCCTGAATGTCGCGATGCGCCCCATTCGTCTTCGTGCCGAAAAGCAACAGCTCTCCGGCCTTGAAGCCATCCATGCAAGCCTGATAGTTTCGAGCACACGAACACACCGCATCCCCACAATGCCAAACACCAGACACCCTGCTGTGAGCTCAGCCTTTTGAAAATCAAGGCTGGTGATCTCCTGAGCTGAACGTCCAGGCAAGCTCAACAAGGACTCCGAAGCCAGATCTGAGTTGACAGCCCAGTACAGCGGCTTGGGCAACTGTTGCAACATTTCTTGCAAGAAGTCCGGATCCTCAAAAAGACAGCAAGGCATGGTTTCTGAACCGTCCTTATGCACCTCTGGGACGGCCTCATCGAGCATCTGCAGGAGCACCTGATTCCTGTCAGCACCCTGAGCAACGTCGGTGGCCTTCTTTGAGACCTGCAAGCTGCGGTGTGCTTGAAAACTTTTGCCGAGCTTGACCTGGGCTTCCCGGCATCTTGTCCCTCCTCCGTGTTCGTGAGGAAGTTCATGACTGACAGGCAGCAGGCACTGCATCATGACTTAAGCTTTTGAGCTCTGTGAAAGCATTTTCATACTGCAATGCTGTTAAAGAGAGTCAGGAAGCTTGCTGCAACACTTGCTCAAAGTGCTCAACCGAGAAGCAGCCGGAGATGTGTACAAAAGAGCTTGACAGGCTGTGTCAACAGTGTGGTCTCATACTGCCAAGCTGGCTTCTCGACCTTCCTGGTACGTGGTGTTGGCAGGTGGCGCCGCGGAATGGGCCGAACGCACAAAATCACGATGTCGCATTTACATGTGCGCACACCATGCAGACACACCTAAATCAATGGCAAACCGCCTGAAGGCGCATGTACGCAATACATTAAAACAGACATGCAGCCACACATCTATGCAGACATGCAGGCGCACATCCAAACGCGCATACATACACCGATACGCCGATAGGCAGATAGATAGACAGGCAAATGAATAGGTAGATAGATATAGGTGGTTTGATACATGCACAAGTGGACAAGTAGACAAATGGATAGGTATGTAGGTAGAAAGGTACATAAATAGGTAGGTAGGTTAGGTTAGGTTAGGTTGGGTCGGGTCGGGTCGGGTCGGGTCG